GTGAGTGACATTTCTTGAGTGCGAGAGCTATAATCTCTGTGCCTGTTTGTGTTGGAGACAGAGAGTCTTTGACACGTGTTCAGATAAACAGTAATCTTGTTGTCCACAGTCACTTCAAATAGAAAACACACTGTCGAGACTACAAACGAGCACAATATACCTTTAAATGTAACTTTATTGAATTGAATTTATTGAGGGCTTTAGGTGTACCAACTACTGTTGGTAGTTACATTTAAACATGGGAGGAGCCTCCGACGGGGAGGAGCCTCAGAAGAGGAGGGGCCTCAGAAGAGGAGGAGTCTGAGAAGGTTCAGCGGTACGGCGTACTTCAGAATCTACACTCTGCAATACGTCTCTTAACTTAACTTTGGACGAGGAAACAAGTGCAAACAGACAGTGATAAAAAGATTATTTAAAACACCTCATCTGGAAGTAAAGTGTCTGCAACAGTAAGAAGAGTCAGGGGGCAAAACAGGATCATCATGGAGGGCAGTCAGTAAGTGAGGGAGTAAATTGTTGTCATTGCCAACAGGAATAATGGCCCAATCAACCACAACAATAAAAAAACAAATTGAATTATATTCTGAAAAGAAGTTTGGATTTTATAGTAAGAGTCAGTGCTTACACGTTCTTAAAATACACAAACACTTACATCCCCTAACTCCTCGCACCTCCTCGTTGTCTCTAAACACACACACCTACACACGCAAAAATCCACACGCACGCGTGCTCTTCTGCATGCTTACACACAACCACGCACACAACCTTGCTCCCTCTATTATTGATTGCCACCTTGGTTTGAAATAAAAAGGGCTTGCACCTCTTAACGTTATTAAAAATCAGTTAATCCTCTTTCTTCTCCTTTTCCTCTCCTTCCTCGTGCCCCACGTCATCCCTCCGTCATCCTGTCACTCCACCTGGAACACCTGACTCCGTTAGATCAACTCATTTGTTACTTTGATTACAATGCGCTTTGTTGATGACCTTTCTCTGAGTGTGTGTGTGTGTGTGTGTGTGTGTGTGTGTGTGTGTGTGTGTGTGTGTGTCCTTCACTCCTTTGGTCTCGGACTCTTTTCTCTCTCTCTCTTACTTCCCTTGTCTGCTTCTCCCTTTAGTGGTTGTTATATCTACTTCATACATTCATTACTGAAGGATACTGCTACCCAGTGGTGTGTGTCTAGTTTTGTGTGTGTGTGTGAGTGTACGAGACAAAACAGAAAAGAGAGAAATGACCTTGTCACTTCAGTCTTTATTTTCACTGTCCCCTCTCTGTCCGGTGACTTAGCCATTGTGCCAGTTTAATTTATTGACTCCTTTTCTGCACGCGCGTGTGTGTGTGTGTGTGTGTGTGTTACAATATATTTAGCCTCGACTCCAGGGTCTCGCTGGGGGAGCCATCAACACCGGCTCAGTTCTCTCATCATTTAACACAAGCCGACCTCCTGTGCCACCTCGGCACGGAACACACACACACACACAAACACACACCAGTGTATGCAACTGTGCAACCACTATTGTTAACCAAATACAAATGGGGGAGTTATGCAGATATACAGACAGGCAGACAGATACGTGGATGGATGTTTTCCTCCATCCTTCTCCGTCTCCGCAGTCTGCCAGACACTCAGTGCTCATTCAGCTAAAGGCCAGCGAGCTGGTCACCTTTCCCCGTCTGTTTATCTCTTCAAGCACACGAAGCTTTAGTGGCCGATGTTTAATAGCCGCAAGACACATTTTACTTTTGTAAATTAATAGCAGGTTGGTAACCATTGACCAGCATTTCGGTGACCTAATCAGCCCCTTGTGCGTTAGAAACAATTTATCGAATGCTACATTTACGGTGATTCTTTAATGAGATAAAAATGCAGAAGGGCGGTAGGAGTCTGTGAGCCGGTTGCCCTTATTCCCCCTGTAGTTTGTCACAGATTTTTCCATCCGTACAGTCACTCATCGCGCAACCTCCTCAGCGTAATGAACAATTAACTCGAGCTCTTGGTAGCTTTTTTTAAATTTATTTCTTCATTAGTTCATCTCCTGTTGCAGAGCACACTCCACTTTGATTGGCAGATCACACTAATTGCAAGTCAGACTGTGAGGCTCTCAGACACACACCCCTGCACACACACTCACACGCGCACACACGCACACAGGCACTCTTTCAACTCATGAGTTACTTGTATGCATGCTAGGTCATGCATCTTCTGTACACATTTGTATGCAAACTTAAGACACTTTGGGTAATATGTGCTCTCACACATGAAAAAAATTAAATAATTCTACACACGCACACAGATACACAATGGGATCAGTGTGATGATTTTAATTAGATCAGCCTCCGACTCAGAGAGGGAGAGAAGCCAGATTAGAGCTGCCCAACATTATAGCCTTCCAACACTTTATCTGAGATTATGGTGGAGGGACACAACCTCAAGGTCAATGCACTATGAAGGAGACGGGGTGTGTGTGAGCGAGTAATCAATAAATTGTGATTTTGGTACCAATGAGAGTGTATCGATTTAGCATCATGTGCAAACACATGCAAAGAGAGTTTTGATTTGATAGAAACACACTTTTCTGCTTTGTGACATTAATATTAATGTTGTAGTTAGTAGACTTTAGACACAGCCGTCCTGGAGTCACATGAGCTGTGTGAGACGATGAACCACTTCCCAATCAGCTACACAAACTTTTCTATGCGCATGATTGATTACAGGCTGATTACAGCTGGATTCGGCATCACAGACTGATTTCTAAGAGATTGCACAGAATCCATGTCGCACACACACGCAAATCAAAGACCACTACAGATAATCACAAACTGAAAGACACACCCTGAAGGAATGTCAGAGCCTTTTCCTTATAGTATCCAGACTGATCCCCATAAGCACATAAAGCTCATGGTTTATTCTTATCCTCTGCGATCCATAACTCATCCCCTGATTGCATTTTAGAAGCATAATTGACTGAGCTGTTTTGAACTTTTCAGCCTATGGCCTGAGATGAGATACCAGTGAATATAATATGATATGTTTTTAGCCACACATGATGTGTACCTTTCATTTTGGCCCGGGTGTTTCTGAAGTTATACTAAAGGGCCTTTTGGTACCGTTTAAAGCATCATACAAATAAAATGTATTCTTTTTTTATATACGTTTTCTACTGCATCTTTGCAGTGTTTATATTTCAGACAATACACTTTCAGGCAAAAATATAAAATACATTTAAATAAAATAAATACTCTTCAACAAATGTGGAGTGGGGAAATGAAAGTGGGATTAGTGAGACACTAAGAAGCTGCAGTTATGGTCCATTAGTTCACGACGAAGGTCTCACAATAAAAGCTATATGTATTCAAATTAATCCATCTCTTTTTTTCTCCAACTTAATCTTGTTCTGACCTCTTTCTTTCCCGCTCTGTAAGCACACCTGGCCCATAATGGACTAATATCCCTCTGAATAAAGCTTTTACCACTAACCTCATCTCAGTAATTATTCTTCTTACGGGATGATTACGGTACATGATGTGCATGTGTGTGGTTCTGTATTAGGACATGCTATTTACAGAATGTTTTACTACATGTGGGAGGGCGTGAGGGCGGGTCAGTGTGTGTGTGCATTGCATCTGTGTTTATGTGTGTTTCCTCAAGCGCACAGTGGAGGCTTCCCTCTGTGGATAGACGGTCTTTGATGCTAATATGAAGCGACATGTCTTCCCTCGCAGTGTGTGCGCATTTTTTGTGTGCTCGCTTGCGCGTGTGTGTCTCTGTGTGTGTACAGTATTTGTGCTGTGAGAACTTATGCAATTAGATTTTCTCTTTGCGTTACCACACTGACCGAAATGCTGATGGACGTACAGCCCTAAGCCGACACAAGCCATCCCTCCTCCGCCGTGTGTGTTAAAGTGCGTGTGCGTTAACTCTTAGGGCTTAATGTTTTGTGACTGAGAGCGCTGTGTTACACACACACATGCGTACGCGCTGTCTATGAATAGTCAGTTCACACAGCGGCACCGTGGATCAGAGGGCCAGTTACTGTAAAGGGGATTTCATAAGTTGAGTTCTGAAGGCAGAGCTGATCTGTTCAGCAGGTCCTCTTCTCCTCCTCCAGCCTGAGAGCTGAGAGGGAGGGAGGGGGAGAGGCAGACTCTTACACCGTAACGTTAACCGGCTCATTAATGGTATTTTTTCAAAACTGCAGGAATTCATGTTTTCTCCACCATTTACAGCCTACGGTATAATATATCAACTCTACCCCCAAAAACGTGAAAAACTAAACTTCCGCTTATTATCTTTTTGAATGCAAAATATAAAAATACATCAGCTGTTGATTTTGGAAACATACAACAAGAGCAGACAATGGATACAAAGGTAGAAAATTGAGAAAAAGTACCAATCTGAGATAACACTCATGATCCTTGATTTCTTCATGCCTCCATGTCGTTACCATGACGCATCAGCATGTGCTCATTTATTTTTTTCGCAGTGGAAAAGTGTCTTTCCCAGAGAGAGGCACGCGTTAAGATTCAAACCTCTAAGCTACATCCTCGTCTCCACTTTCCCCTTCCCACATCTGCCTCTCGACTGTTCCACTTTCCTTCCTCATCCGCCTGCTCATTCTCTCTTCCAACTAATCCACTTGTACAAACATATTTTATTGTACCTAATTCGACTTTTCTGTTTGCGGCCGCCTTTAATTGACCATTTCAGAGAAGCTGGTACTCACAACACTGCAAATTTGATTCTATTTTTAGTTTTTAATGTTGTCTTTTTTATGTTCTTAACTGTTTTTAAATTTGGATGTTTTTTTAATGGTTTTATGTGAAGCACTTTGAATTGCCTTGTTTGTTGTGCTACACAATTAAAATGACCTTGCCTTTTATTCTCTCTCTCTCTCTCTCTCTCTCTCTCTCTCTCTCTCTCTCTCTCTCTCTCTCTCTCCCTCTCTCTCTCTCTCTCTCTCTCTCTCTCTCTCTCTCTCTCTCTTTCTCTCTCTCTCTGCAGCCATCGGTGTCCAGATGACTCTGGACATGATTGAGTCTAAATTCTGGGCTATTGCGTCACAGGTGAGTATATAAAGGCTCAACGTGGTGATGTGTGAGATTTTTGTGTGTATCGTAGTACAGAGACACCTCATCATCACGTGAACACTGAACTCTAAATTTGTCCTTCGTATTATTTAGATCAAACCATCGACAAACAATAAGTCCATTTCTATCTTAGTTGTTGGCCAGGTTTGCACATTCTTGCAGGCAAACCAGTCGCATTTAATGAATGAAAGACAAAATTATGAATCAGTAATGTCAAGGACTTTTTGGAAATTAAATCCTGTGAATTGAGTAGTATTGCTTTAGCTTTTTCCATGTGAGATTTGTGGTGTTGATTTTTTAATGTCCACCATAAAACAAGTTAATTGTAGCACTACACTGGCACTAATGAGAAATGTCTGTTTGTATTTATGGTTATAGCTGTTATATTGATCACTGCCTCCCTCCAGAACTCCTTCTGTATGTAGATGCAACCCGTAGTCGTCGTCCTGTATTCAGGAAAATCCCTTTGGACCACCAAGCTATTGGAAACCATTCATTGCTGTCTGACACGGACTCATTTATAATTAGAGTTTTTTTATTTCTCCTCCATTAGTTGGTAATTAAAGCAATTTAACTTTGTTTGATTTAAAGCTTAATGCATTGTTTTCCATATAACTGCCATTAAAGCCCTGCCGGAAATGTTATTTTGAAAGCTTAAAAGACATTAATAGAATTGCTTTCAGCTGATTAATTATGCAGCTCGGAGAATTGCATCCGTACTACTTTCCGTGGAGGAGCTTGTTATCCTTTCAGTTCTTCAGACCCCCAAAAAAGGCTTGACGTCGCATCGTCGCTGTAGCGGGTGTCTGACGGCTCTGCCGCTCCCCTCCTCTGCTCCAATGTTAAGAGAGCATTTGGACTGCTGGTTAGCCATTGAATGATGGATGGCTTCCACGGTGACTCCAGAGTGTGTGTGTGTGTGTGTGTGTTTCTGTGAGTGTTTGAGGAGATGTGTGAAGAAGAGCGTACCGTATATACGTATGTGTCTGTTGAACAGGGACCATATGCACGACCATCTGCACACAAGTGTGTTGTTATGTCCATAATCATCAACCAGAAGGTCATTAGCCGCATGTGCAGTAGCCTTGTTGTCCACTCGGGTTGTGCTTTAAGCGCAAAGTAACATTCTCATTCACTGTGTGCACCTTTGACTCTCTTGATTTTCTCTCCTCAGCCCTCCCTCTGCTCAGATGGGTTACATAATAACTGTCAAGCATCTTTATTTAGTCGGGGTTTATGTGTGTGTCCGTATGCTCTCACAGCCCGTGCTTGTCCCGAGTGCGAATGTTAATATCTCTCCATGCATGGATGTTCAGTATGTGTGTATTTGTGTGTTTCATATTCTGTCGCTGGTCTATTTTGAGTGTTAAGCTCCCTCTGGGGGTGGGGGGGATACTGGGCCTATAGTCCATACTGTATGACGTATATTTAGGAAGAAGTGCAATAACTGGTCACATGGCAGCACCATGTGACCACCCACACAAAAAGACTTGCGGTAAAAAGGGCATCATAGTGGCACTATGCACAAGCAGTGCTGTAGGACTTAATTGAAGAACCCCCCCCCACAAGGCAAAAAGTACAGAATTAAAACAATATTTTTTTATCATATTCATCTGGGGTGGAAAAAACATTTATTATACATATATATTTTTTCTATTAATAAATATTGATAAATATTTACTCAGATGTTCACACTACTCCATCTTTAGGTGTTATTAAAATAAATATATCCCAGTTCCTGCGTAGTTCCTCAGAGATCTCAGAGTTACATAAGTGAGGGAAACCCCGTCTGATCTTGTGGCTCAGGCTTTAAATAAGACGGCATAAATGAATTATGAATTAGAAGGGTGGAGGAATAGTTCATCAGCTTCCATCTCATAGGGATGAGTCACCACGTTGTTCTCCAAATGTTCTGACATTCCTCCACAGAACTCTCAGTCTTGTGTACTCGGTGTGTGTGTGTGTGTGTGTGTGTGTGCGCGTGTGTGTGTGTGTCTAAATCCATGGTGTTTAGGAGTTACACGTGTTTTAAAAGGGAGAGAGACAATAAAAGAGAACGAAGCAAGTAGAAATACAACATTGCAAAAAGCGCAATGGCTTTGCTCCACTGACTCACGTACTCCTGACTCATGTGTTTCACCTCGGCTGAATCTCCAAAGCCACACAGTTTAGTGAACGCCGCAGTGCACGGATCAAGCTGAGATGCAGTGAGAGGCCGCGAGGTGATGCCACATCACGCCAAGCTGTTTATCTCGTGGGCAAGACTGGGACGCTCTTCCTTTCTCCGTAACCCCATATCTGTATTTCTTTCTGCGTGGGAGAGCACTGCACTTCAAATCTGAGATTCATATTTACATTAAATGTAATTAATTCAATCCCGTTAGTTTACTTTGGTAAACCGTCAGAAACTTTCTTCAAAGTATATTGATATCATTTGTTAAATCATTTATTGACAGTTGATTAGGATCAACACTGCAGCAAGTTGCTTACCTTGAGATCAAGTGTGTACCTGAGCAGGATCGTCAGTCCCATCAGGAATGTGATGGATAATTGATGCTCTCAACATCACCTTGACTCCTCCTGGAGCTCCCAGATGAGAAACATTTACCAACACAGGAACGGCCTCTTAAATGCTCTCCTTAACTTAAAGAAATGTTGCTCTGACGTCCAAGGTAAAGAGGCTGGGCGAGGGATAGATGTGTTACTAATAGAGGACACACACTTACACAGTAATTGGGCATAAACAAACGGGCTGTTTTGATTTTAATTCATTTGTGGCGTGATTGCGGATGGTGGGGACAGTTAATTAGTCCATCTGGCAAAGCCGCTGAGAAGTGTTTGTAGTGACCTGGCCTTATAAAGGGAAATGATGTTTAGTGAACAATACATATCATGATGTGACTGGCAGTTTTCAATTAGATTCCACTATGCACCTTCCTGCTCCCCTGAGGCGGGAAACTTTTCCACTTTGGACACTTCATTAAACCCAAATAGCAAACGTGCAAACAAAATAAAAAAATCTAAAGGGCAGATTTACAATTCATTTGCTTGGCAAAGTAACCCATTTGAATTCAAGTGCCCGTGCATGTTTTGCAGTGCCAATGATCATGACAAAAGGAAAGGAAGGTTCTTTAGAATACAGAGTTCTCTTAAATCAAATCCACTTTCCAATAGTTTTGTATACCTTGTATCTCTCATCCAGCCGCTTTATGTACCGACAGCATGTGTGGAAGGTTCATCATTTCTGTCAGTCCACTCAACGGAACGTAGTTCATTCCAGGAGGCAGTGTTGGGAAGTGGAGTGAAAGACTGACACTTGGCTGTAATAGGATTGAAAAGGATGATGGATTGTCTCATTCGCACTTTGACACGCTCTATGTGGCCCGACCATGGTTCTAAAGACATATTGTCCACAGACTCCAATCCGCACAAACATGACATGACATTAAAGTCAGATTAAAGGAGAGCTGTTGACTCATGACCCTTCCACTGATGAGGGAAGGTTCTGGGAGGCCAAATTTGCACACAGTGCTCATTGGGAACTTCCAGTTTCCACATACACAAATCCTATTTTAATTATTTTCATACCCTAGTTTAGATGTTTGTTGATTTGTTGGAATGCTGCTTGAAAATCTGTTCAAATTATAATTAAATCTCCAGACTTTTTGTTTTTTCCCAGTGTTGTGGGATGATGTGTGGCTCTGTCAATGTCGGCTTACGCGTCATTAACTGAAGTAATGTTTCTCTCTTCTTCATGTTCTCTCCTTGTTCCTCTGTTGGCGTCTCCTCAGCCAAATGACACAGACGTAAGTGAGCCTAATTCCCCCCTCGCCTCGTTTTTCACAAACATCGCACTGAAGCCGGCTTCACCCTCCGCTTCAAACAAATTACGTGCAGATACGTACACGCAGCCACAGTCACCTCGCGAGTCACAAGTCACTCGGAAGCTCACCGCAGGTAGAAATAGCACATGTACCAACACTTCCTCACCAGCGGTGACGCGTTTGTTTCACACTCACTCGCACCGGTCGACACTGACACATGCTCAAGCATAACACCTTCACAGCAGCGTCACACAAAATGTGTTTGAATCATTCACTCACACACAAACATGGCCTCCTGTATAGATGTAATAACGCAAATCCCACTTCCAGCTTTTATTTTAGAATTCTAATATTTTGCTTTCTCTCTGTCTCCGTGTCTGTCCTCCAGTGCTCTGACACGGACGGGGTTTGTCCTCTTCGGTGTGACAGCTTTGTGAGTATAGATCTTACTGTCTGTCTGATACACAGTGAATGTGAGCACAGTTCAAAAAGCATTTTACGCTATTGTACAAAATTACAAAAGGGACATGTATAGCTTCAGTTTTGAGTCGAATCATGAATTATTTTGTGCTTTGTTATCTTTGTTTGGGGAATTTTTCGCTACATAACTTCTAAGTGCTTTCTCTGTCTCTCATCTCAGGATATCGCATGCTACGTGATTGATAACAATGGCTTTGTCATCATTTCCAAAGAGCGTACTGATGTGAGTTCACACACACACACTCACACACACTCGCTCAGAAAGTCTGCTTTCTAGACTTTTAAGCGTTTGACTTGATTATTTGAGTGCTCTTACGGCTTTCAATTTTCCTTACCTCCAAGTAACCCACTCAGAATTCCACAGACACTTTGTCCCTGTTACTTCGAAATACAGTCACGTAAATATTGCCTGTGTTTCAGTGATAGAGTCCCACTTCTCGTTCCACGAACCTTTTGTTGAAGGAAAGCTGAGGTTCTTTTCATCAAGGACCCTATTTTCCCTTCTTTTTTTTTGTTTCTAAGCGACTAATGGGGACAATCATTTCTCAGTCAGCAGCCACTGAACGGGTTGCCATGTATTCCCTCTGGGAAATTTACCGACCGCGGAGGTGCGTCCAATAGGAGAGCTTGTTTTTTCTGCTAACAGGCAAGCGAGGCGGCACTTAGTTACACCACTTTGTGGTCTGGCTTCCTTGAAAAAATTATACTTTCTTGATTCTTTTGTTGTTTTGGGTCCGCACCCTCATGGTTGAATAGACTTATTGTAAATTGCTTTGAATTAAAGAGTCAGCTAAATGAAATGTAGCAGGCTCAGATTGTAATTAGATGTAATTAATAACTTGATGCGGCCAGTCACGTGACAGCTGCGGAAACCTGAGGGAGAGTCTTAGAGTGGATGGCCAGTGTTGTGAGAGTTTGTTGTGTTGGAGTAAACAAAGCACAGCTCAGTGTTATCCACGAGATTTATCAAGAGTCATGGCCCAATATTTAGCCGATTTTGGCAGTATCGATGCTCTGCAACATTTCAGGCAACCGAGATTAAGTAAAAGGTCAAGAAAACTTTTTTCGGTGGTTTTCATTTCAATTTCATTTTGTCAGACATTTAAAATGAAAAACTGTGAACTGTGAACATGCCAGTGGCAAAGATTCCCCATCTCAGCCGACCCGCAACATTACAGGAATTATGTCTTATTGAGGGGAAAAGGCGCGAGGATGTCAGTTTATCATGAAATAAGTAATTGCCATCAGAAGAAAGGGGAGCTCCCACAGTGCTTTTTATTTTTCACACTTTTCCTTTTCTAACAGGCGGGCCGATTTTTCGGTGAGGTTGACGGATCAGTGATGACGACGCTTATCAAAATGGGCATGTTCAAAAGGTAAGGGGCTGGTCGTCGTTTTCCTGACTGTTAAGATGCCGATTCGTCAGTCTTCGCAAAGGTCAGGTGGCTAGCGAGTTCTGACTTGTTCTGCAAGAGCTGCAACATATTCAATTTAATATGAACTTCTCTAGATCAATCAGGCAAGAAGGGACAGAGCGGCCACATTGCACAAACCAAATTCTGCATCCCGGTGTCTCACACCACGCGTTTAAATATGGCTCGTGAATGTGAGCATGTTACATGTCACCTTCGTGCTGTATCACAAACAGAAGTGTGGCTTGTAAATGTTTTTTTGTCAACCTATTATGTTTTTATTCACTTGCATCAGTATGCATCTGCAACCCAAAGCCTGGAGGGCCTGCGTTACCAGAGACTCAAAAGCTTTGTTCGTATTGCTTCCCAATTGTATAGTCTCTACGTGCTGATGGTAGCTAATTCACCCATCTTTGTACCTGCGGTGCCTCTGCTTTACCCTCCTGTGCGTCAGCACAGAATTCCTTTCTGTGTAACAGGATTGCACGGAGGGGTTCCGAGAAAGTGTCACCAGCGCCATATTACATAACTGGTTTAGAGCATGTCTGAATGCGTCTTCAAACGTGTGCTCGTGTGTGTGTTTAAGTATTCTTGTGCTTCCACCTTTCTAATGGCAACAAATAAACAATGTAGCAGAACAAGAAAATGTCTTTTCACTGAGTCAATCCTCTTTTTGAGAGGAAAAATACTCCTGGCCCCAGGATGTTTTTTCTCAGGTTTCTTTTCCAAGCTGAGATAGAGATCAGGGTTTCTACAAAAGGTTAAGCTCTAATAGTCTGTGAGGGGTCAAGGGATGAAGTTGGCGAAGGAAGAGCAACACCATGTGCTTTTGTGTCTGTGTGTGCGTTTGCTCAGGGTCTCCCTGTTCGACTACCAGGCCATGTGTAAGATGAACCTGCACTCTGTCAGCAGCGCCCGGCCACTTCTCAGTGTAAGCGCAGAGTACACGCTCCGAATGCAATATTATGACCCAACTGTCCAGTCAATACCGCAGTAACTGGGATCTACCTGCTTGTCTCTTCTAGCCGTTCTATGGTTTGGCTTCAGCCCTCAAGTGGTTCCTCTCCAACTTCCTATTGTAAGTGTTTACTATGGGCAACCAGAATGTCAGTCTGTCCAAAATAATGTAATGTACATAAAAATATGTATCAATGATCCGTAAATTCAGATTCATCTTTTTACTTTGTAAAAACATCTTTTTTTATTGGTTCTCATTGCAAAAGTATTATTGGAATAGTTTCACATTTTGAGAACTGTTTATTTTCTTTCTTTCCAAGGGTTACATAAGAAGAGCAATTTCACTCTCATGTCAGTCAGCTGACTTAGCACAACGACTGCTAACTAAAATCAGTTGTTGGCTGTTTAACGCAAAGTCATGTGCTGCACTGATAGCGTTTCTCTTTTTACTGCAGTAATTTGAAAAGGCTTATCCAGTTATTCCAAAAACTGCTACCAATTACTGCTGAATAATATGAGGACCCATTTTCATATTCCCATGACACAACTTTGAATCCTGGCCCAGTTTTTGGATGCTGAATGCAATCTGCTTGCAATCTGCTTTGGTCCACAACGACGGCTAATTGACTCCCTCTGTGTGTCCACTCTCTTCTTCTCTCCTCTTCATCAGGTTTCTCCTGGAGTTCAATATCTGCGGCTTCTGGCACACGGACCATTTTGCTGATGGTGAGTTCTAGAAGAAAAAGATTTAGCCATTTAAACGCAAACTTCCATCTTTGTGACAAATGTCTATTTATATGTGCAGAGAAGTATGAATCATGTTTCTGTAAATCATCCCAACCGTGAGAGCAAATATTCAATATGATAAATGTGAGTTAGTCAGTTATTACACATACCGTTCACATCCACATTGATAAATTCTTATGCGATCATGACACATTTTAATCATCAATTAAATAAAGTAATGAATGATGGCTCACACAGCTGTTTTGTCAGTCCAATACCTGGAGGGTTTACTGTAAACACTGCAACAATAATAAAAAAGATTCATTGTGGAACGTCACATCCTCGGATCCCCTCACCACTCATCTTCCTCTTGTCTTTCCACCAATCACATATTCTCTTCTTCATTACTCCAACTGTCAATCTTCCACTTTACTCCTCGTGCTCCACATCATCATCATCATCATCATCAACATCATCCCTTCATTCAGCCAAGCCATCTTTCAGCGTGTGTGAGTATCTGTCTTGAAGTGTTTTTTAGGACGTCTTCTATAAAACTACAGTACCTTTTGTGTGTGGTGTAGTGTTTGTAGTATACCGGTGTCTCTGATTATGTAATTAGCCTTACTGGGAACAGGCACAACCGCCAACTTCTACAAAACAAGACCAAAGCATATTGTTACACTGTCGACTAAAGGGAAAAAAAGCTATTATGGCTCTTATTTCTGGTTTTCAAACTCATATATGTACTCGTTAAAAGACACCAAATTCAATTTTGTTTGGCGTACACAGCGAGGTAGATTACCTCTGGTCATGGTAGAAAAAGCAATAAATGGCTCAAGTGTGAAGCATTTAGATTCCCTCCATTCCCTGTCACACCCTCTCAGCCTGTCACTCACCAACAAAACGTCACACGCACACTTTTACATACGCAATTCTAATTCCCGACCTGGAAACATGACCCGTTTCTATTCCTCCATTAGCCTCAGCTCATAAGAAAAGAGGGGACATGCTGCAGCCGTGCGACACAGAGTACCCCAGCTTCGTCTACGAGCCGTCAGTCAAGGAGACCAACAGCATCATTAAGTGCGGACGCTGCCAGAAGTAAGGACACACTCATGCACACTTATGCGCGCACACATCTGCAGTGCAGTCCCCTCGAAACGCCCTGGACCAGTCATATTAGATTGGCCCCCCTAAATGGAAAAAGAGGTTGGCGAAAGGGGAAAGAGGATGCATCTTAGCCTACGTGTGTCTCTGTTTGTATGTCTCTGTTTGTATGTCTGTGTGTGTGTGTGTGTGTGTGTGTGTTTGTTTTAAAGAGGGAGAGGACAACGAAAAGGGGGAGAGACTGTGGTAATATTCCATAATTGACGTTGAGTGTGACTGCCCTCGTGAGGCCAAAAGTGGTACCTCCAATAACACTGATTATAAGATTATTGGATTTCAAAATGTTTATAATCCATTTTGATCCAAACATTCAGTGGAAATTAAGCCTCTAAATCATTATAAAAAACATAATTTGGAGTTTCAAATAAAATTATAATTGTAAAAGTGTTACATGTCGTGAGAGGTCGTCCCCGCGCTTTTATCCACATGTTGACGCGTTCATTATGTGTGTTTGTGTGTCAGGATGTTTGTGGTGCAACAGATCCCAGAGAGCAACCTGCTGATGTTGGTGGTGCAGGCCGACTGTGACTGCTCCAGACAGTACTCACCCATCACCATGGCGCCCGAGGAAGTCAAATATATCCTTTGATGTTTTGCTGTTTCATTGAGTCCGTTATTACTTTGAAATAGTTACAGTTATATGCTCTGGTGACGCTGCACACGGACCAAAAAACAGGAGTTGCTAATGTTGTACAGCTAGTCCAGGATATCAACCAGCTTCCAACTCTAGCAACTCTTGTTGATATTTGAATGCAAGAGACGCCCGTTTGTGTTGTTGCTCCTTGACGCTGCGGCACATAATGCCTCAGTGAAGTGTGACAGGATGAGGTCCCAGAAGATTCGCCGACGCCCCGAGTCCTGCCACGCCTACCACGCCCAGGTCAGCCGCTAATGATCCATCCCATTCTCTTTTTTTTATCATTACTATACTGGTTCTGTGGACCAAACAGTGTACACTCCTAGTAATACAATCTTAGCGTGTACTGTATATCTGCTCTCTTATTTAACTCAATTGCACTTTACGTTTTTTTTTCCCTCTGCAGGAGAACGCCAATGACTGTGGAGGAGCTTCTGTTATATCTCTCTCTGCCTCTGTCTTTCTCACCTGCCTCTTCTTTGCCAAATGTGTCTCCTGATGATGGACAACTTTGCATATAAAGGAGGGCATTGGAATGATTCCAGAGATGTGTTTGGACACTGGACACCTCAAGTGGATTTCTTGTTTGTTTTTTTAAACTAATGTTGCACATTTTGCTCATGGCATTTTTGCTCCACGGATGGACCCATGATGGGGGGGGGACGGGGGGTTTCTCATTTCCCAAATCCCACAGAACTTGAAATTGCAAACACACACATGCATATTATATATGCAGCTGCAAGCATGTAACACTCTTGTCACCCTGAGTGCTACGTCTACCTATCGAAAACGCATTTCTAGCCATTAAATAAGAGAAGGGCTGCGGCAACATATGGTAAACATTGTGGTGTAACACCAGTTTTGCTGCTGAAAGTTTGTGTTTTACAAGGGTGTTTGCAATATCAGTTTCTGTAACTCTTCTGGAAATCTCAAGGGGGTGATGGCTCGGTACCAAGAAAGAACTGGAGTTGATACAAATGATAATTATAAAATCGGAATGGAAAGCCCCTTCACCATCTTATTTTTTACTTGGATTGCATCCAGGCATGTTGTTTTTGTGACATTTCTTTTATTTTTAAGTCTGCCTTTCTGTCTTTATCAGCTGTGTCTTTCTGTGTGTCTGTATGTTCTGTATGTTGTCATGCTTGGCTGGACAACACTGTGGAAACAGAATGTAGGTCTACAATCAAATTGGATAACACATGAAGGTTGATCCGACCAGGTTGGTTAAAATAGTTTTTTGTTGATTTATAATAACGCAATTACATAGTTTCAAAGAAAAGCAAGTACAAATACAATTCCCGCAAAAAGTCGCAGTGCCAAAACGTTTTTTCCTGAAAATCATTTTTATGGCGGTGACACAAGATTGCTGTGTGGAAAAAAATTAAAGAGGTCCCATAATTGCCATGTAAATTAACAGTGTAAATCTGATTGAATGGGGTATTTTTGTATTGTTTTTTTTTCATATTTTGAACATAAGCATTTCATTGTGTTTTGGGTTGTGAGTGTCCCTTTGGCTTTTTAAATATTTCTGAATCATCTTGCAAAGCATGTCTTTACGTTAAGCCTATGATGACAAAATTGCCTGTTTATGTCATAGACTCAGATACATAATGTTTGTCAGTGTGCATCATTACAGGATGTTGTGTTTTGCTGAGATTATCTGGATAATTTTAATACTTTGTCTCGTATTTATTCATTATTTTCACTGTACAATATCCTGTATATTGTACGGTTAACATGTGACCAAGTTATATGTATGTTTGCTGACTGAAGTCTGGATTTGATCAACTAAATTAAATGATCTACATGGATTTTGTACTGTATTTGTTGTCAGTGAGTATTCTGTTGTTTGTCAAGGATTCATTTCATTGCACACATTAGTAAAGTCTAAAACAGAGAATCAGTCAAGGAATTACACCAAAACTCAAATGAGATGTACAGCATAATTTATATCCTGAATCAAGAGGATTCTCAAAGCTTTATTCTAGAAAGAAAGAATCTCAATCCAAAGAACATCAGTCAATTACACTAAACACCAGACATTTTTCAATAATTAAACCTTTGTAGAATTCAATTAAGAATTGAATGTGCGCCTTGTAAAAGGTGCTTGGATGTATTGGTATTGTGACAGGAATAATGCAAAGATAAGAAATCCTATCTGCAACTGCAAAACATCTTTATGGGATGCCGTTGTGGTGGTGGAGAGGTTTAAGGATGCCTCCTGGGTGCCTCCATAGGGAGGTGTTCCAGGCACGGCCAGCTGGGAAGAGGCCCCCGGGGAAGACCAGGTGGAGAAATGATATCTCTACACTGGCCTGAGAACGCCTTAGGATCCCCCAGTCAGAGATGTGGTACATGTGGCCCCGGTAAAGGGAAGTTTGGGGTCCCCTGTTGGAGCTGTTGCCCTCGCGACCCGACCCCGGATAAGTGGTCCAAGACGAATGGATGTTGTGCAATGCTTCATGGAAAAAGTATATGTTGCGTGGCGGTCACTTGTCTTAACTGTATTTCCTTCCACTGGAATTATGACTAGCAATGTACTCCTACTGTATTTATACATCAGGTTTTATTTTTAATTTCCAGATGCTACCACAGACTGCAAATGACAAATGACTCATCTGGAGCAGCATCCTGTATCTTAGCCTACACTCTCAGATTTCTGCATTCAAAGGTGCTTCCTTTCATCTTGACAGGAAGTCAGAAACAATGCACGTGCAAAATAGACAAATGCATCAATGTTATGGGATTGATAGGCACGATTTAGAAAAGGATTACGTGGTCAAGTCAAAAAGGAAATTCAAGTTTACTTCATGAAAAACAAATGTTGAGGTATGAGGTAAATAAAAATAATACGAACAAGTAAATTATATTTATATATATAAATGTATTTTTTTAGGGGGGGGCTCGCTATTTCCTATTGGCACGTTTTGGCCTCCTCGTATCGACCAGCAGAGGCGCTGTTGGTGCCGCTCGCCGTCTCATTGTTTTGCGGCTCAGCGTCGCTCTGCACCGCCGGGCGGAGAGAGCGACGGGTCGGAGGAAAATGGCGGACGGTGTGGATCACATCGATATCTACGCCGACGTAGAGGAGGAATTCAACCAGGTAATAAACACTTATTCACCACACGTCGACGACTGGCGTTTTTATGTTTTTATGTTTGTTTCTGTTTTCCGTCGTTGCTCGTGTTTTTCGGAGAGCGGTGTGTCCCGCTGAGAGGAAAAAGGACTTTCCCTCGCTCGCAGGCCCGTTTCACCATGATGCCAGCCTGCATCCTCGGTTATATTTTACCCGGCTCGAAATGTGCCGCTCGGTCGACGTTTAGGGCGCCGTATTGTGCGAAGTGGTAGTTTGCATGCACGGCGCAAATTGAAACATTTGTTTCGGTGGAAGCAAAACTCAACCATTTTTTGTTGTTGTTTGGCTATGCGGGTTTCAGGCCTTTTGCATCGCTTGCCCGTGGCGGGCTATCGAGCACAACAAACCTGACGTTAGTTACGGTAGCTAGCTGGTGTTAGCTGCCTTCCTCTTACAAACGCCAGCTAACCATCGTTTATAAGTTTATTTTCTAGTCGTTTGTGTTTTAAGTTCAATAAAACTCTTAATTACAACTAACTCTAATATGGTTGGCTATGGAACTTCCATTGTACGACTTGGAGACGTATTTTAACCCATGCTAACCGTACATTACGGATTGTTAGCTTTGTTAGCTTAATGCGACTTTAGCATGTAACGTTATGAGTCTGCTGAGTTTGTTTTTCTTCCTCCACACACGCCCCTTTTACTAATAACACGACATAGCTATATTTACAAAAATCTCGGGTGCAGACAATTTGTTGTTTGACTATTTAGAGGCAACGTATTGTTTTCTTAGTTTTGGTAACGTTAGTTTAGGTTTAGGTAAGACGTCTTGTGGATTTACTGTAATGTGACCACACGATCTAAACAAGTATTTGTTATAACGTTTATCATTTCATTTGTTTGTCTAAACAGTAAACCCCCCATCAAGTTATTGTGAGATTTACACTCGTCTAACCATATTATGCTGCAATTATATTTTGCATTGTTGAACTTGTCAAACCCAGTGAATAAAGGTGGAAAAATAATCACTATTTCTCCATCTGGGTTGATATTGTCCTTGAGAGAAATCATCATCTGGATTTTCTGTACCACAAGCAATCATGTAACGTTTAAAAGTAGAGAAATCTGCTTACAGTCGGGGCAAATTTATAAATGCACCTAACTTTTGAGATTCAATGCAATGTCTAAGGAAGCAAGCAGACCAACGAATGCTTCCGCAAAAGCATCTTGCAGCTCCAAAGCGATTTGCTTTTGACAATTCTATAATAGTTGTTAAAAAAAGTTTCACACTAAATTATTTCCGTGATGCTCAACAGGAATCGGACTATGCGGTCCATGAACAGATCGACCTTTACGATGATGTAATATCCCCATCAGCCAACAATGGCGATGCTCCAGAAGACCGCGACTACCTGGACACGCTGCCTACTGCAGGGGGCTCCGATGGAGGGAAGAGTTCCCAACCTAACGTTGTCTACACCTACACAGGCAAAAGGATTGCCCTGTACATAGGGAACCTCACATGGGTTGGTATCTTGAGAATTTGGCTCAGGCATTCTATAGCACAATTTTCTTTAAATTTAAAGACATTTAGGACAGTCCTGTAAACAATGATATTCCGAGTTATGCAACTTTTGTGTAACAAATATCAAATTAAGCAAGTCCGTACGAATGTACTTCTGATGATGCATTCTTCTGTTATGCAGTGGACGACAGACGAGGACCTGACCGAAGCAATCCGGTCGGTGGGCATCTCCGATGTGCTGGAGATCAAATTCTTTGAAAACAGAGCCAATGGCCAGTCGAAAGGGTGGGAGGTTTAATCCGTTTTTTGACATGATTAAACTAAATCCTAACCTGTTGTAGATCATTCCCTCTACAAAAACAATGTTCAATTATTTGTGTATGTTCTCTGCATTCATTTTACAGGTTTGCGCTGGTGTGTGTGGGGTCCGAGGCGTCATCTAGGAAATTAATGGAGTTGCTGTCAAAGCGGGAGCTCCATGGTCAGAATCCCATTGTCACAGCGTGCAACAAACAGTCTCTCAGCCAGTTTGAGATGCAGTCACGCAAAAGTAAGTGGGATAAATACACATTTTGGATCTGCATATTTTAAAAGCACTCAATAGTTTGTAATTGAACTTGCATGCTTGTTACCTGGCTGATTTGAAGAGGTCATGTCAAATATATTTGCAAATGTTTTTACACATCAGTTTGTCCACTAAATGCAATTGCACTGCATCAAAATGAAAATTGATTAAATTTAGTTCCTGTGCATATGAATGAGTTCCCTTATTGCAAATTAGAAGAAACCTTTATTTCCCCGGTACGCTGGACATACAAGGAAATTGTCATGGATGTCTTCTTGTTCAACACTGATGCATTTGTTCCATCTTATCTGGAAAGCTGAGCTATTTTTTCCTCATCTTTCTCAGGTACCCAGTCAGGCCAGATGTCTGGGGAAGGTAAAGCTGGGCCCCCTGGGGCTGGCCTTCGGGGGGGATTCCCCATGGGTCGAGGCAGGGGCAGGTTCCCTGGACCACCCGGCCCTGGTGGAGAGCGCTTCCCTGGTCCCGTTGGGCCTGGAGGGCCGCCGCCCCACTTCCCTGGTTAGTTTGGTAACGAGTGTTTATGCCAGTGTGGTATGGTAGGGACAAATCTGCCCTCGTTCACTTTGTTGAAAAATAATATATATTTTTTATATATATTTGTTTTATTTATATCTATTCATATTTAAGGCAGACATCAAATGAAAGGTTTATTGATCGTAAATTATCAACAGTTTATGCTAGAGCCTGTCTTATTTTAAACTATATTATTTAATTAATATCAAATGTTTTTGGGGCTTTACTTAAATCAATTATAGTAGTGTAGAAGGTGTATATATAAATAGAGTAGTCTTGTTCTACCAAACACAGTGAGTTCGTAATAGAAAATGTGTGTGTTATCGTGTCTCTAAAGGTGATCCAGCTAAATTATCTTGCTGAAACGGATGCAATTCATTTCCAGTTCATGCGTAGATGTATTGGGGATCACATAGTTAGCTCACTGCAAACGCTGCTAAAGGTGGTCTTACTCTGTCCACTCTTTAGATAATGACATTTTTATTATATAGCGGTGCAATACATTAAAATAATCACCATAGTGTAACAAGTAAATTTACCTAATTAGAAGAATACTGCTCTGTCTGGCAGTGCTGCTTTGTAACCACAGAAACTCTTTTCTACTACTCCCGGACCGCATGCAACCAAAGCTCGTCCATTGTCGTGTGTGTGTTTCTTGGGAGAAATCTTTGAACCATTAAATCTCCCCTGGCAGGAATTTGTCATTGCACGTTTCCCTCCCCGTCTGGTTTGTTCTTTCGTTGTCTGTGCACCTACTTTTGAACAAATATGACTTTCCTGGCTGCAATTTTCTGCTCACTGGCATCTATCAACACCATTGCTTGAGAAGCAGCTTGCTCACAGCTTTACTCGGCAAGCTACCAACCTTAAATTCCTTTTCAATCTCGGATTAGCTGTGTTACACATATAGTAAGACAGACTGGAGCTGCAAGTGTTTCTCTTTTTCTCCCATTTTTGCGCCTTTTCCTCCCCAACTTTTTTTTTCCCCTCTCTCTCCTCCATCTCTTCTTTCGCTTAGTGGCTGATGCCCCGCGCTGCTGGGCTGTGACAGGCCTTCGGTTAGTAGTTAGCGACGTTTATGAAGGGAATAGTTGTGATTGGTTTGCTTTCTTCCCCATTAGGCCCGGGCATGAGACCAGATCTGATTAGACACCAAGATGGCCCTCTGATGGATATGAGTTTCAATCCCTTCCCGCCGGGGGGCAGGAACGGGAGCTGGCGTGGCAGAGGTGAAACACCTCGATTAATCTGATTGAATTTATCAATCACCTTTTTATCTTAACCCACAGAGGTTTATTGCAGTTCTACCATTAAAAAACGCTGCATTTTGCACTTTCTTAATCCCTCAATTTACCCAAAATATGAATGGCTCCACATAAGGCCGAACTAAAACATTTTAGATATTTACACTTTTTTTTTTTCATGCTTTCATTATATCTAGTGAATAATACATACAGGATACTTATGTACCTCTTGATGCCCTTATTGCTTTGTCATGGCTCAATGTCAAGAAAGGCTTCCCTCCATATATGTAGCTGCATGAGAGAACAAAATGCATCCGATGAAGCGGCGTATGTCTTAATTCTCCGTAAATTCCTCCGTAAATCTCACGAGTGACCCTTGCATTCGGATAATAATTCTGCTAACTGCCGTGTCTCAAGTATGTATGAGCTTGTCATGCTGAAGTCTTGACAACTTATAGGAATGCTTCCTCTCAATTTATGTGTAAAAAAACAGAATTTAATGCCGGGCCTCAGGTTTAAGGGAAAAAAAGCCCGCTAGAGACCATTTGCCACCAGTGTATCTCCATCTTTTCTGTTGCTTTGTGGTTTAATTTCCAGCATCCTTTTTTTCTATCATGTCCCCTTTTAATTTGTTGTTTCCTGTTGCTGTGCCTTGCTCCGTCTCCGTCTGTGTTATTATCTCTAACTTGAATATCCTATAGTGGCTAGTACTTTAAAATATTTCCTTCAAAGAAGAGCTTTGAAAAGGCTTTGTTGTTGTTTTTTGTTGTGCTTTCTATAACACTTATTTTCCCGTGGTACTCAAGCATGACGGGGGAGAACTCTGCTAAAACATAAACAAAACCTCAAGTATTCACTACATTTAGTCTCATGGCTTTTTTTGGTCTATTGTGTTCTCTTTTAGGTGGGATGCAGGGCCCCCCACGTCCACCCCCTGGTCCACCTGGTCCCCCTGGTCCACCAGGACCTCCACTTCCTGGCCAGGGGCTCCCGCCTCCACTCTCTGGGCCTCCAAATCGCGGCGATAGGCCCCCTCCCCCTGTTCTATTCCCCGGGCAGTTTGTCCAGCCTCCGATGGGACCTCTGCCCCCAGGTCCCCCTCCTCCCGGTTACGGCCCTCCCCCGGGTCCCCCACCCCCTCAGCAAGGCCCGCCACCCCCGGGACCCTTCTCTCTACGTCCCCCAGGCCCCATTGGGCCCCCCATGGCTTTGGCCCCTCCCCCACACATGCCAGGTCCCCCGCCGGGTGGACCACCACCAGCACCCCATGTCAACCCTAACTTCTTCCCACCGCCTAACAACAACATGCCCCCGAATGACAACCGAGGCCCCCCCGGACCAAACGACCCATACGGACGACCGCCACCATATGAAAGAGGCGACTATGGTCCGGGAGGCCGGTAAGAATGTTTTTTGTCCAAGTTGTTGATTTACAGTTCAATGCGTTTTGTTGTTGGGGCCCATTTAAATTGTTGCAGAAACAACATTGTCTTGCGTAACTTTGTCTCTTAACACCTGCATCTACCCGTGTGTGTATTTATAGTGAAATGGAGGCGTCACGGACACCTCTGAGCGAGGCAGAGTTTGAAGAGATCATGAACAGGAACAGAGCCATCTCCTCCAGCGCTATATCGAGAGCAGTGTCTGATGCCAGCGCAGGTAACACACTCGCAACACAGCCGTGCACACATTTAATCTCAACAAGACAAGCACAAGAGCCTATGAAAACCAAAATGCATCCTTGTGTTCTCTCCTTAGCTGACTATGGCAGTGCTATAGAGACCTTGGTGACAGCGATCAGTCTGATTAAGCAGTCCAAAGTGTCTGCAGACGACCGCTGTAAGGTCTTAATCAGCTCCCTACAGGACTGTCTCCACGGCATTGAGTCAAAAAGCTATGGTTCCGCCTCCAGGTAAGATTTTAAGCTTGTGCATTGGCCATTAGATGTGTTACGTTACATGTTGTTGTTTTTTAAGCTAAAAAGACACAAAGAACCACTTGAGATTACTTACAGTAACAAGTTTGGACACACATTCTCATTCAATTGATTGAGACTGTGGTACTGTGTAAAGACAATATATTGTATCTAGAAAGTGGTGTAAAATTGTGTGAAATTTTAGCCATATTTGAAGTGTGGACTATTTCTTGTCTGTATGTGCTGTATTTGTGACTGTATGTAAACATTTTCTTTCCGATTGGGAAATGGCCCTGGAACATTTGGTATTTGAAACTTTGAACCCCTTGTACACAGTCCAATGATGCTTGTCCATGCCAGGAGAGAACGTTCCAGGGAACGGGACCACAGTCGCTCCCGAGAAAAGAGCCGACGCCACAAGTCCCGCAGCCGGGACCGGCATGAGGACTATTACCGAGAACGCAGCCGGGAGCGAGACCGCCACCGCGAGCGGGACAGGGACCGAGACCGTGAGAGAGAGAGGGAGAGGGAATACCGACACCGCTAGACCAGAAGGGAGGTGGGTACCACATTTCCGCTGTTCTTTTACTTCCGTCCTAAGCTCTCTTCTGTCTTCCTCGTCACTACACTTTTTAGACCCGGATCGAGGCAGAAGATGCATTTGCTTTGAGTGCTCACCTCTTCGTCTGGATTTAAGGATTTAGTTTAGTTCAGGATTTTCTGAGGCAATTTGTCCGGAATGTAATCTACAGATTATAGCCAAATATTAAATACAGTCAGTCTTGGGCCATAAAAGGCTTTTGAGCATTCAGAAAAGTTCATTTGAATCTATATAACAACGTAGACAAGGTAAGCAAAGGGAACTGTTCTAAAACTCAGTCCATTGGTTTCAGGTAGGTATACGGTAAGTCTGCTCTTCATATGTCACATCAGTCCACGGTTGTCGTATATCTGTTCTCTCAGACAGTATTTCTTGCTGTATTCACCATGATATTTAGCTTAGGGGGGTTTGTAAGAGTCCGTATCAAGCTGTGGCTCTCCCCAAATCAGAAAATACACTGTGGATGTTGTGTCACCTTTTGGTCCACGTGCCTCTGACGCTGGCAAAATGCAAAACTTGAAATGACCGGATGAATTATGAAGCAGACAACATGGCCAGAAATCCCTGCTGGTTGTACGTGTTTTGCTGGGGCACGAAACGTTTGCATTAGTTCTGCTTTTTTGAAGTTCGCAGACTCCTCTAAAACCTTTACTAGTCTAAACATCTGTTTGGCGCCTAAAAAAAAGTGAAAAATTATCCAAATTTTGTCTTTTGCCAGTAACAATGGTCGGTGAACCAAAAAAAAAATGTTTGGACTCGAATATGAAAATACTTTGTAATTTCCATATATGTGAGTTTAATAGAATTGTATGTTGGCTTGGATTCCCCAATATTTTATTACAGAGATGGCATTTTGTGTGGTCTGTTCAAATTGGATTGTGTTTTTAGAGGAACAAAAAACATTAGAATGTTGAACCTGTGGTTTACATATTACAAAGTTTGAATATATTTATACATCTCTGTCGGGAGAAGATGAACATTGATTTATCAAACAGTGTTGATAACTGCTGAATTCTGGACACTTCTTGAAATTTTGACAATGTTATTGTGCCTTTTTATGGATGTCAGTAATTTTCCTGACATTTTAATTTGGTCAAATTGAATGTCTTTCAGCCTAGTATTACTTACCTTTCGACCGTTGTGTAACCTATTTTTTGAAGCAATGGCTTTGCATTACAATTTCTAATTTTATGATGTCAAAATGGGTTCAACTTTAGAATAGATGCATGGATTAATGCAGGATCTTACAGATTTGATTGGCAAGAGGTATATTTACTGATTCAGTTAACCTGTAAAAAATCCAAACTTTATTATTATATTGAATGTATGGAAGAATTTTGATTCACGCAGCAAACGTATGAGTCCGATTGATCGGTATTTGACACTGATACTCAGCATACATTTACATTTGTTTTGTATGTGACTTGTATGTACTGTAGGCTGCAGTATTGATTTTAAATGATATCTTGGCAGGAGATCAAGTATTTTGGCCTCATAGTGTTACTTTTTTTGCTGACTTTTTGGATGTTGAGTCATGTAATGGGTGATTTATAGTTAAAACTACACAACACCAGCTTGTGCTTAAACAAATATTCCTGCCATGTTCCAAAAGGTTCGTTGCTCTCAAATGATTTGAGGTAAATATTGTGAGGCTAATTGTCTGGCTTGGTGCGAGGTTTCCATACGTTTAAACATGATACCTTGTGTAACGTTTTGGAACTGCAATATTGTGTGTCGTTCCCATGTTTTTCACTGCCAACGCACTAAGATGTCTGTGGTGTTGCGTTTGAACCAGTTCTTGTAGCTCTGAGTCTAGTAGCTTAAACGGATTCAGCGTTGCCACAAATAATATCTCGCTTAAAGCGCTCAGACATAACTACATTAACCCTTTAGACCATGATGTCTAAATGTAAAGTCTATACACATGTCCTACATGCATTATTTCATATGTCTAACACTGAAATATTAAGTGAGGGGGGGGGGGGGGTTGCTTGTGGGCTCGCTGCATTTAGAAAACGTGAAATCCAGACCAAGAGAACATAACAGCTAATTGTCTGTATACTAAAGGTTTTTCACTACGGTAAGACTGTGTCCACTGGGAACCTCTTCACGAAGGATCACTCTCGTATCGAGAGAATATAATATATATTTGTCCACGTTCCGTCCACTTAAATCATCACCTAAGTACGTTTTCAGTAGGAACCGGTAAATGTAACAACCTAGCAGCATTTCAGTAGTTGCATTGCAACAGCACACTTCATTCGGCTGCTTCTGTTAGGTTGGAGATCCCCAGTGGGCACAGCATTTGTTGAGTATATTTTCACCTAAATGTGTGTAGGTGTAAAACTAGCTTTGCACTCAGTCTGATCTCATAGCGTGGTCTTCCCTGGGGTGGGGGGGTTCCTGGTAGTTGTTTGGAGTGCTCTAAAGCCCTTGTATTGTTCATGTTGCCATGGGGGATTGTACACTGTTTGCAAACTGGCTGAAATGACCTTCTCATGCGATCCCTTCAGTCTGTGTAGGTGCATGCTCGGGGTCAGAGGCCTGATGTCCTTTTCAAACAGGCCGTATACTATTGGCTCACGTTGAGCCAGGGTCAAGCCGTTTTATGTACATGTCATCAATCATCATTCTTGTCCTTTTTAAATGACAGGGAGGATTTATAATGTATAACTGAATGCAGTTTGCATGGCTATTATGCAATTTAATTTGGCTATTTTGTGAAATTTGTTTAGTTCCTATTCAGCAAATCAGCTATACAATCAGCATATTGAGTAGAAATGTAAATTTCTCCACACAGCATTCACAAAAGATGTATTTTTCTGGTATACAACAAGCAATCTATAACATTTTCTGAAGGAGTTATTCTTAATGAGGCACAGGTACAGGTAATGCCCCCTGCTTGTACAAAATGTAGCCTTTCAAATAGGACTATTTAAATCTTCAGTATTCCATCGTAGTAGTAGTGTTTTTAACAGATTAACACTTTGAATATCTGAGTTCATGGACTGGTTGACCCTGGTTTGGCTCTGTCCAGTTTCATTTCCATGCTGTGATAGTGGAGACGCTGATCCATATTTTAATATGCTGTAAGACCTCAGATATTCTATAATGAACATAAGTTCAAGGCATATTTTCTAATATGGCAAACGATTTCCTTAGTCTTACAATTGATCTGTAATTTGACTTTTTTTAGTCAACCGCCATCTCACTTGTACCGGATGTTAAAGTCCCTTATGAATGATAGTGTGACAAGGATGTGTTGTATACAATATTGTTATTGTCGGGTCATCTGTTTTTTGTCTGTAGCCCTGCACCATGTAAAACCTTTTCTACAGCAAAAACCAAATGCATTTGAATCTGAGTCATGTGAAATCCTCTGTTCTCATTTGACATGCCTGTAAGGGAGGCCTTTTTGGTGCAGATGCCAGTTGTAATTTAACCTGTCAATCAAAACCTTGCAGCACCAATACCTAACTAGTTTGAAGTGGCATTCACATAATTTATCACTATTGTTTCTGTTAAGAGGTGCTTTAAAACGGGGTAAAACGTGTCCAGTTGACTCACTAATTGCTCATTGCAGCTGTCATTTGTAACTATGATAAAGACGCTGCTTCTCCAGTTAACTGTACCTTCCATGCTGGACCTATCTTTTTTAATTATTCAACACATTTCAGCTTAATTGCTGGCATAATGTTTACCAGGTTATAAAAACATATTAAATTACATTGACAGAATTTTATCCTGTCGAATGTAATTTGTTTATTTACAATTAGGACTGGGCGGTCATAGCAAATAATCTGTGTCTAAATCAGATGTCTGCATTCCTTATAGTTTTATGGTTTATATATTTATAATCTGTGTTCTTGTATCTTAGCTTCTATATTAATGGATTCCAGAAAAGGAATTATGCACTGTTTCTATGTGACATGTCTCAGTGTCTGAGGCTGACGCTTACCAATTCTAGATTGGTTGTCAGGAAAATGTATTCTTGAGTTAGCTGAATGATAATCGGTGTGGGAGGGGGCACGTTATCAAAATAAAAACATATAAACGTCTAGTGGATAATGTTTTGTTTTAGTCTGTTATATATAAAAGACTATTATATATTTTAAACTCATGTCTCTGTTGGGAGAGAATTACACATTTTTCACCTTTTATAAACCTCATAGAATCTGCTAGTGTGTATGGCTGACCCCATGAATTTCATCAGAAATTCTTTACTTTAATTAAAATAAATCCCGGTCACTCAATTTAGGCATACATTGAACAGCATATTGTATTATTTCTCTGGTGTGTTTGTGTGCATACGGATACATTTGGCTTCTTTGATATTTCCTGTTCAACTTTGCATGACTGTGTCTGTGACTGTGCCAGGGTTGGGTGCAATACCAAAGTCAGCTGAGCATTCAGAGAACGGAACATTCTGCCGTTAACAGTCCCCTTGTCTGAGTGACCTGTTGGGCAGGTGGATTTGGAAGAACTCTGTCCCTGTGACTCAAAGTGATGTTGGATTGAGCCCAGCCCTGGTGTGCACCATGTATGTGTAGCCTAGAGGTTTAATGATGATGGGGGGGAGAGAGAGAAAGAGTGTTCACTGTTGGGCTGCCTCGAAACCAAACTCCACCCTTCGTTTTGACACCTTTTCAGCTGACGAGGATCAAGGGTGGACAGAAGGAAAGGGAGGAAGAATTTCAGAGCACCACCACCTCCCACCCTGCATGACCGGACAGGATTACCACCACCTCCTCTGCCTCCATCGCTCCTCTCGGTCTCCACCTATCCTTCTTTCTGTCTGTTCATCTTGTCTGCCTGAATGAGAGCAGTGGATGGAAGACCCTGACCTGTGTGTAAGGCTGTGTTATCCCAACATGTGTACTCATGGTAACTACGAGATGATGAAAAAAAAAAAGAAACTTTCCAAGCAGTTCTTTTATTTTTATGATGTTTTATTTGACATAAAGATGACTACTTGTGGTGATATTTTTTTTTTTTTTTTTTGCAAAGAAACAATAAAATGGCCCACATAATCCCAATTAGAAGACACAAACGTGACATCCTACTTGGTTTTGGTTTTATTTTCCTTTGCTCGCTGTACTGTGTACATTCAGTTTAGAGATCAGTTTTTATAGGGTACATATTTGATGTGTTCTCCCCTCCCCTCATTCTCATTTATTCCTTTCGTTAGAATGTTTGTAAATGTGTCTCTGCTTTTGATTAAAAACTAGATGGTGTTGTAATAAAAAATGTTTACTGAGGTACTCAATGCATTTGGTGAATTCCTCTGTTTGGCTCATTTATATTAAATGTGTATTTTAGATTGTTTTTCATATTGAATATGTATAGGGTTTTTTTTTTCCAGTATTAGAAAGCAGCTTTATGGTTTAAAGTATTTTTGTTTTATTTTATTCAAATGGATAAAACGTTAACAAGGTAAGACAATTTAATTGAATGTACTTTTTTGCAATGTGCATTAATGGAAGGTCATGTCAAACTTTAAAGAAGTTGAAGGGCAACATGTACATGTTGCTCTCTGAACAATTTTGGGAAACTTTACGCAAAATCCCAAAGAATATTGTGTACAAAGGGCTTCTGTTGTGTGTATCACACTGAATAGCTATCGCCAATAATTCTTCCAATCCAAACAAACTCAACTTTGTCCTGTTAATGTGAAATTTACTTATTGTAATCCTCCGTAATCCATGTTACCTCCAGATGCAGTTGTAGTTTAATGTTAATGGTCGTCCTTTATATTCATATCTCATTTTGTGATTTGATATTTAAAGAAAATGATTGCCTTTTGTTTTGTTTTGCTCCCGTCTCCCACGCCTTGCCTGTCTCTGTATGTTTGTGTAAACACTTCTACTCTGGCAACATCGTAGATGCGATACTTTGAAGCAACATACGGAAAACACCACTTGGTTTGATATGTGATCTGCGCCGTAACATTAACTTTGTCATCATACGCAAGGCAACGCCTACTTATTCCACTGCCCTGCATGTCCAAATGATTGTTTTGTCAAATGAGCACTTGTCTGAGGTCAAGATATGCTGGTAGAAAAGGGCCGGGGGGGGGCTGTGTTTTCTCAGGGCCGCACTGATGACACGTAAGCAAACACGACTAATGTGTATGTGCCCCACAATAACTGTCTAAATGCCTCCTTTTATTTATTCAAGGTTATTTGTCCACATGTCCAAATGATTGTCTTTTCTTTTGACCCCCACCTCGTTCCAAATCCATAGTCATCCCCTCAAATCTGACGTGTTCTCAGGTGTGTGTTGATTGTAAGTGCTGTGGACCCTAGTCGCCGTGATAACTGCAGGAATCACACCGAACTCTCCTGAAACAATGTTATTTAGACTGAAGGCATCCAAACTACTCTGAAAACCTCACGGATGCTCCTGTTATGTAACATTTTAACAGTTGACTTTAAAGAGAGTGTTATATATTCTCGCATATTAATCCATTTGCTCCCGTAACTTTGTAAACTCTGTAAAAGAGTAGTGAAGCATTGTAAATTGGGTTTTTGTACAGCAGAACAATGTGAAAGAGTGAGACATTTTGCCCCCGAGGGGGATTTTTCAATGTGATTAACGCCTCTTCCTCTACACCTATAATGGTTTGATGCCGCGGCACCATGAGTCTTTTACACTAATGGCCACCCAAAGCCGTCCTAAACTGAGGTTCTGATTGCTCACTCTACTTTTCTATACTACACTAGTATAGTTTGTGTTTGCCTTGTGCTGACCTCTCTCCACAGCGCTGGAGGTAAGTGTTTTCAGGTTGCCGTCACCACGGACGACCTAGCGGTCCGTTGGAAGTGTGGCTGCTGCGTCGAGACTTTACCTCACACAAGTAGCTGTGGAGCGTCTTTTTCTAGTGTGTTTTTAATAGATCTTTTTTAAAAATTGGAATGGTAAGATATTTTTTCTACTAGCCGCAACCTGAATTACAGCTACTTCTTCCACTGTAACATAACAGAAACGCTTGAAGAAATGCATCTATGTATAACCCAACCTGACAGGTTTAACTGGGTGGGAACCGAACTAAAATATCCCCTCTAGATTATTCATGGTAAGGGCTGTCAGCTGTGTCATTTTAACTACACATTCCTGGTCTGGGAAAGAACCATGGTAGCCAAAAGTCTTCAAGTGGTCTTTTGCACTTAAGTAAATAAAAACATTTCTGAACTCTGATTTTTGTGCTTTTCCTTTATACATGATGCATAAGCTGAAGGAAGATGATCATTGATTTTTTTTTCCAATGTTGAACCATTGTGATAAAGTAGTTTTAGTTTCTATTTAAAAGTACTAGAAACTGCATTGTGCTAAAATGGATTCTTAGCCTATTTAATTTAAGTTCATAAAATGATTATATTTATTACAGTAGTGCTAACCTACTTATGTCGTTGTCAACTAGAGACATATTTAGCACATTTATATTTACTTAAACAAAAGTCATAACTCAAGCCGACCATTAATCTACAATAGTGTTTTCAAGCGCAGGTGGAACAAAATATTTATTCAGGAGTCAATTGAATTACAATTAACTTGAAATAGCGGTATCAGTACAGATGCTTATATTCTACGTGTTGCCGGATCAAAGCTATTTGCAGTATTTTAGAGCCGTCGTGCTGTGATACAAACTGTTACACAACCGTATTACATAACGTCAACTGTGCTACTCGTCCGACGGGTCATCCATCAGCCGAAAAGCCGGAACCTTCGTGTCACGGCGTTAGTTTCCTGCCGAGCAGCCCAGCGCGTTGCACTTGTCACTTCCGGCTCTTGTTTGAAATAAAGAGGTTTTGGCTAGTTTTCGAAGCCTAGTTTATGCGCTTGAATGGCAGGTTTATTCAATGAGGACACACGCGGTGGAACAAAAAGGGTCCTTTAGAGTGAACCACGGGGTCGACTCCACTCTCTCTCCCGTACTATGTTCAAAAAGATGACTGAATTTGGTCCAGATTCCGGGGGGCGAGTTAAGGTAACGTCACACCGGAGATGCCTCGCACTATGGAAAATATGAACTTCTATCACAGCTTATAGATTAAATAACGTCACCCACACAGCTTCTTTGTCTTGTTGTTTTGTATTATCCTGTAACTTAAAGTACTTAAACAGGTCCCCCCCTTTCACCCGCAGGGGATAACCATCGTGAAGCCCATCGTGTTTGGGAACGTCGCCCGTTACTTCGGGAAAAAGAGGGAGGAGGACGGACACACGCACCAGTGGTCCGTCTACGTGAAGCCTTACAGAAATGAGGTCAGAGGTCACAACGCGCATGCTTAGCATATGCAACGCTGCCGTTGATGGCTGTTACCAGGCATAATATTACGGGTCTGTTTAATTGATTTCATATGCATACCATTGCTTTTCCAGGATATGTCTGCCTATGTGAAGAAGATCCAGTTCAAGCTTCACGAGAGCTACGGTAACCCTCTGAGAGGTGAGTAACGCATCTGTTTTCTTTGTCACGTGCTGTCGCCTCCTGTGGATTGCGCTTATTGATGTTAAAATGAAAATGTGACCTTCAATAAAAGCAAGAGGCGAATGCTAATATGGACGGGCACAGTGGGACATCATATAAGCATAAAGACAGGTGCACAGTGCCCCCCCTTTGTGTCTCTTCCCTCCAGTGGTGACCAAGCCTCCGTACGAGATCACAGAGACGGGCTGGGGAGAGTTTGAGATCATCGTCAAGATCTTCTTCATTGACCCCAACGAGAGACCCGTGAGAGCCTATCTAATATCTTCTGAAGACGCTTTGCAGCTTAGCACCTGATACTCGCGACATGATAATAACTAGTATTTAGTATGCAATTTCCATTTTAGCATGCTTATATTTTCGTACCTTTGTCTCAGGTGACTCTGTACCATCTGTTGAAGCTGTTCCAGTCAGACTCCAGTGCAATACCCAAGAAGACTGTTGTCTCTGAATTCTATGATGAAATGGTACTTCTGTTCGCTTGCTACAGCATTTAATCTTGCCTAAATCGATTACATGAATCACAATAGGTTTCCACACACATTAAGCTTTCAAACCAACATTATCACATCAGTGTTTTTGTGTAAATTTTGAATTGTGTGGAACTGGGAGTTATGCGCCGGACTCTTTTTCTTTGTAATGTTTCAGATCTTCCAGGATCCTACGGCCATGATGCAGCAGCTTCTGACCACTTCGAGACAACTTACCTTGGGTGCATACAAGCATGAGACCGAATGTACGTATTTTATGCAGCATTTTTTGTACAGCATAAGAGGAAAAATAAAAGTTCACGCAGCGGTACACAAGAGCAGCGTCTGCATGGTTTTGAGTAACTGAAATTGGGTTTTTTACTGTGTGTGTTTGCTGTGTTTGCAGTCAATGAGCTGGAGCAGAGGACAAAGGAGAAAATGGAGGCAGCAAAGAAGAGAACCAGCCAGGAGATCACTGAGCTGAAAGACAAACTAAAAGCCAGCAGAGAAAACATCAACCACCTGAAGGCAGAGATCAGGAAACTGGAGGAAGACGGAGACCACAAGGACCACTGAGACATGGACGAACGCACACAATGTGATATGAAAAAAAAAAACGTGGTTTCCATTATCTTTATTTTTCAATAACACAATATCGTAAAGCTCAAATAAGACATCACAACGATTTCCTAGCAGGTCACCACAATCTGTTTCCTGGTGAATCAAAACAAGGATTTTGTGGCTTCTACCTTTTTAATGGTGTTATTTTTCAACCCAAACATTGCTGGATTACCTGGCTGTCAGAATGGTTAAGTATCCCTAAACTATTCCCAACGACCCTAATGAGGTAACCACATTTGTGTGAACAGTTCTAAAGCTTATTTCTTGTTTTTCTTACTGATCTTTCAGTTTTATATAAAAAATAACATGTTTTCATTATTGTCTGTAATTGTCTCTTCTGTTGTAACCTTTTGAGTTTGATGAAGGTTTATTCATGAAACAAAATGACATACAGATGTTGCACTGCAACTATCTGTTTTTATTCATGAATTTGGACCCTTTGCTTTTAGGATTTAAGAAACGGAAATGCATTAACATTGTGGAGTAAGACTTGCTGTTACAGCCAGTGCTATGCAAGAATTAGTCAAATTTATTTAAGAAGTTTATCTGTGCAAAGACTATGAAACAATCCCCTTAAATGTAAATCCAGATAAACATATTCATGAATATATTTTTGGGACTACTTCTGGAAAATATATACAGAAGAAACTTTCGAACACCACCATATTTGTGCTTTTATATGTTATGATAAAAAAAGAAATTCCTCAATGTTTTAAGGGTTTAATTTATGCAAGAGATGTGACTTGTGAGATTTCCTTAAGTCCTTGAACGCACCTTGCAGGAAGTTCAAACTAACTATCCGGTCGCTCAACAACTTTTCTTAAGCTGCACACAAATGCTTCTTTGTGTTCTCGGACTGTTCTCGACCAAAACGCCGAAGCCATAATGTTCCGACACAAAGGGCTAACATGGGAACAGTGTTGCGCGGGCAGTTACGCTTGTTTCTGGCGTTTGGGCGTCAGTTCAGTAAATACAAGGAGCGACTGAACGCTGTGAGCGCGCGCGGGTTCCACTGGGCTCAGGTGTCCTTCAGGAGCAGCAGCTCGAGGTCTGTCTGTCTGTCTGTCTGTCTGCCTGCCTGCCTGCCTGCCTCCCTGTCTGTCTGTCTGTCTGTCTGTGCTTGTTGCATTCGGCTTGAGCCCTTAGTACGAATGTGGCCTCGAGACCGTGTCGATTAGAAGTCCTCTTGTACTAACAAAAAGTAACGTTACGCTGGTTTTTCATTTGATTGTAAGCTTAACCACTGATCCTCTCCCCCTAACTTAACGTTAAAGTGATCATGATGATGTTCAACCAGTATTCTACTGTCGGGGATCACGTTTCAATGTTGACTTTTGTCATTTTAGGAGGTCAAAATTGTAAATGTTTTATACCACAGGTTCCAAATTTGGGTTTAAAGTTTAATTAATGGCAGTGATTAATGACGAAATGCATAATGTGATGTGACATGGATTGTTATTATGAATAATAAGCTTACCTTGGAGACCATCTTGAACATATATAAAAACATTTTAAACTTTAGATCTCCCTTGTCTCTACGATTTTAGTAATTTCTAAAAACAGCCCACAGTCATACTGACGGGGGGGGGGGGGGTTCCTTCGGAGGTCACGTGATCAGAGGGCTTTGCACCTACGTCACGGAGCCCGAGCTGGTGCCGACTAATGATCCTCAGCGTCGTCCTCCGCGTGCAAACTCCACGTCTCACCTTCACGAAAGACGCCTCGCACCCGCCTGCGTTTTCCTCCCGCTCGCGTGACCCGAGAGGGGAAAAACACCGGACCGATGCGACCCGCGTCGGACACGCTCGTGGAACCGTGCAGCTCCGAATAATGTCCCCGCGGCGCGCGTTAACAGGAGAATAATGGAGAACGTAAACGCAACAAACATGTCTCCCCGCTGAAGGGAAAAACCACCGGTGGTGTTCTGTTGCGTTCAGGTTCCCCAGGTAAGTCTGCAGGGGAAAGAGTCACCTCTGGCCCTTATTCGCTGTGTCGATGCCGGCGGGTCTTTTAATCTGTTACGTTGTATCACTTGTTTTCTTATAAAAAGAAAAAAATCTGCTGTTGCGTGACTTTAAGAGCGAGCTTTACTCCATTTCCTGTTTGGATTGTGTGAGAGGTTTATATTGCAGCCAGGTTTGTGATCAGCATTGTCCTTACTCTTATCGAATGTTTTGGGCACTTGGGTCACACTTGTACGTCATGATGATGATGATGATGATAACAAAAACACCAATTTGGTTGCTCAGTCTGAGTGACCCCTCTAGGAAATATGGTCCAGGCAAGGTTGGGTTGATCAGCCATGAAGTGTCCTGCATAAATGGTGCATGATATGTTGCATTGCATTGATTTTCAGCCCGGCTGCAGGAGGGAAGAAGCTCTCGCCACAGGCTCGACGTGCTGTGTGACATCAGGCTCCACAGACCTCTGTCTGGTCTGTGTTTCCGTGCATTTTTTAAAAGTCTACCCACGAGGCCGAGTGCATCAACATCATCATCGGCGCGCTTCGTTGTGCGTGGGTTCCCCAGAGGGGACGGGGGGCGCTGTGGGGGCCGTGTTCCTAAAGACCAACAGACCATCCGTCTGTTGGCCCCTCAACGATACCAACGCCGCCAAGGAAATAGGATCTTACAATTATCTTCACTCAATACGGGACAGCAAAGGGGGGCTTTTCGCCTTAGTGGGTAGTAGTTAGTATGGGTGTGTGCGCCTCGCTGTGATTGCTGCGGATAATGAAGGGCTGCGGTTGTAGACTTGCTGGCTTCGGGGTGTGTAGGAGCCGTCACCAGTGCTTGTGTGTTGCAAATGTAGGTGTTTCTTCTTCTCCTCCCTCAACTAAGAGGTCGAGTTCGCTCCCAGTTTGACCACTTTTCCCGACAAAAGCGGTTATTCCTTTAAGTCAGACAGTCAGTCCAAGACTTGCGTTTCACCGGGGGCCAACACAGTGCGGGGCGCCAACCCAACAACACAATATCGCATCATCACGTCTGAGATGGTATTTCACAAGAATAAATTCCGGCTTTTTAAAATAAAGTATCAGTATGATTGAATGTGTAGTTCGATCCCAGTTTGGCATAATCCCATCATGTTAAAAGTTAGTGTGGCTGGCTTTCCTTATTTTTGTGTCGTGCATAAGTGCATCAGTCACTTACGAAATCAGGATTACACAAGAGTAAAAACGGCTCTTTGTGTATCCGTCTCCCTCAAGAGGAAACTTGGTTCATAGTTTTTCCTGCCAACAGTATATTAAAGATGAGACTAACTTTAATACCGAAGCATGTTGTATTTTACTGCTCTGTGTTCGCACTGTTCTGATAGTAGTGTTCCTTTGAATAAGGTGAAATTGATCTTGCTGATGTGTGTGATTGTTTTGTGTCCTACGCAAGCTGCTATGGTTTCACTGTGTTACTATGCTAGATGCTCTGTTGTTGTTGTTGTTGTATGAATCAATGCTGCTTATGGTGCACCTTTCTTTTGTGACGTTACTCAGTCAACTGGTTTTGACTGTGTGTGTGTGTGTGTGTGTGTGTGTGTGTGTGTGTGTGTGTGTGTGTGTGTGTGGTAGGTGTGGTCGTGAGCTCATGGAGAAGCGACCACCTTCAGGCAGAGCAGCTCTGGAGGAGAGAAACAGCCTGGTGGAGGTAAGCGGCCTGCACATCGATTCGCTACCACATGTGGTTCATTCAAACATACATATATAGTCCAATATAACATCAGTCCAAAGCACAACAAAGGAACCACCCACTAAAAATGATTCCACATCAAGTTGAGGGCCTGAGAGAGGTTTCTTTCTCGCGGCTGGTTGTTTGGTTAATAAATGATTCATTCATTAATCTTCCATTTCCGTTTGAAATGCCGTGGAATTGACTCCTTCACTGTGTGTCCGTACCTGTACTGGAGGAGGGGGCCGTGCTGAGGGGGGCCGAGGGCGGAGACGTGGATGCCCGGACGCCGAGGAAGAGCAGCTCCTCCCGCTCCTCCCGCAAGAGCTTCCGCTTGGACTACCGGCTGGAGGTAAGACTTCACTTCCCATAATCCCCGTGGGGCCCCCGATACCCCGTCGTCTACTTAAACACCCATCAACTCGTCGGCCTTTCCCTGAATCATCATCATCATCATCATAGTTCCCCCTCAACATCCCCCTTATCGTTGTGTGTTAACCTGACATTGTTTCTTTCGGCCTAAAAAAATAAGATAAACTGAAAGGTCGCTGTTCACTTTCTAGGAGGAAGTAACAAAGTCGTGCCGGGACAAACATGGCCGCTGGACCAACCCGTGGCCCACATGGCGGTTCCCTTCCTACACCACCCTGCTCCGGTTCCTGTTACTGGACAAAAACCACAGCAACATCCCGACTAGTAAAGAGGTGTGTTCTTTTTACACTGAACTGGTACAGCTGGTAACTATTTTCCGCTTTGTTTCCGTAATATCACAAGTAATCCAAAGGCCTGATGTCGGATCAGTATCGACTGATGGTTACAACATAAGTTTATATACAGTGTTTCCGACCCCTCGGTACAACTGGGCCCGTTTGGGTTGCTCAAAACCCACACAGTGTTTAAAGGTCCTAGTTGAAACCTTGCTGAGATTTGCTCAATAAATCACCCCATCAACCCGAGAGGTCGTTTAAAGTAAAAACGACTGAAATACACATTTGTTTTATACTGCGGATACTCGTCCCTCTCCTCCCTGGCGTGAAGGCGCTGGACGGCGAGCTGCCGGTGATGGAGCCGTACTTCGTCCGGAGCCCGGACCTCTCGGACTCCGGTCCAGGTCTGCGGGTGACCTGGCTGGGTCACGCCACAGTTCTGGTCGAAATGGACGGGCTCAATATTCTGACGGACCCAATGTTCAGCCAGAGGGCCTCGCCGCTCCAGTTCATGGGGCCCAAAAGGTACAGAGGTCCCCCGTGCACCGTGGAACAGGTGTGGTACCTTTTTTTTCCTTCTGTTTTTAGCACTCAAATCACAGTAGCTTAGGCCTTGTTTCCTTCTTTTGCCTGCTTCCATCATCGCCATGCTTTATTTTTTCCGCTGCCAACAGCTGCCCAGGATCGACGCTGTTGTCATCAGTCATTCTCATTACGACCACCTGGATGTCGGCTCCGTGGCCGGCCTCAACGAACGCTTTGGAGGGGAGCTGCGCTGGTAAGCGGGGTCTTCAGAACGAGCCGTAAAAAAAAAAAAAAAATGTTTTTACTGCCTGGCTAGTAAACAACACACACAGCACGCCGTAAAAGTGTCGTATCACAAATGCGATGAGACGCGTGTGACGCGCAGGTTCGTGCCCCTGGGTCTGATGGACTGGCTGGTGAAGATGGGCTGTGAGAATGTGATGGAGCTGGATTGGTGGGAGGAGAACTGCGTCCCGGGTCACGACGACGTCACCTTCGTCTGCACGCCTTCTCAACACTGGAGCAAACGCACGGCGCTGGACGATAACAAGGTTCATTTGCCTGTACTTTCATAGTTGGACAAAGTCTGCAAATATAGTCAACAGTTTCAGTAATAAAACAGCTTTTATTTTGACTTTAATTATATAATGATCGCTGTTTTTATTGGGTGGTCCTCAGTCTCTTTGGGGCAGCTGGTCCATTTTAGGTCCGGATCATCGGTTCTTTTTCGCTGGCGATACGGGCTACTGCACTTGCTTCCACGAGATCGGCCGGCGCTTCGGACCATTTGACCTCGCGGCGATCCCCATCGGCGCTTACCTGCCCAGGTTCCGGCCGGTCATAAATCTGTCAAGTACATAAAAAAAAAATTAAAAAAAAGTTTAACGCCAACAAACCGCCAACAAAATGGGTTTGGTTTTCAGGGATATGATGCAGGGGCAGCATGTCGATCCAGAAGAGGCTGTTCGGATTCACCAAGACCTTCAGGCCAAGCAGTCTGTGGCCATTCACTGGGGAACCTTCGCTCTCGCTTATGAGGTACAAAATGCAGTTAAATGAAGTGTGATCAGATGCTTAGCATGGTTTAAAAACAGGAAAAGAAGCTGTTGTATTAAACAAATGAAAGGGTATCCCTGCTACCTTGGGACAAGCTATGTTCAGGCTAAGCTAATATTAAGTTAGATAAAAAATGTCTGTGTGAAGTTGAAGCAACCAAAAGAAATGTTGCTGCCACACTGTTTGTGACTGGGCCGTGTCGTCCCTTCTCCATCCAGTACTACCTGGAGCCCCCGGTCCGCCTCAGAGAGGCCATGGAGCAGAAGGGACTGAAGCCGGAGTCCTTTTTCACTCTGCATCACGGGGAGTCTCGCCTTATAGCTTCCCAGGAGGGAGACGTGTTCGAGTGATCCTCTCTGCAGCATTTCATGGCCCATGTGCCTGTAATAAAGTGCAGAACATGTTTTATAATGCTGTATCTCCACCATAAGAATGTTTTTACATTTTTCCTCAGATGCATTATTATGAAATTAAAGTCATACAGTTAGTATCTGAGGTAGAGCACTTAGATTAATGATTTGCACACTTCAGGCAGCTCCCAGTCCAGTTAAACAATCTGGTTTAGAATAAATCAAGCTCCCAGAAAGCTGGACTGAAGTTCCTGGAGCTGCAAAATAAGGTTATTTAGCTCGGTGCTAGCCAATAGCCAGATAGAAAAATGTATTTTCTGAATGTAAACCCATAACTACATGACATGCCGAAATCCATTATTGTCTGCGGAATTAATTCCCGACCACTGTATATTAATGTAGAGCTGCAAGATGAAGACTGGAGACGAGCTGGATTCACCTTCATGTCTTAAATAGAACTTTTTAGTGTGATCATTTTCACTGTTTAGAACCTGAGTGGAAAGATCCATTTGCTTTAGTGCAAAAATAATAATTTGAGTACTCACTGTTAAACTGATGTGTTATCCAATGCTGAATGAATGTGGCTTGGACTTGATTCATTAAATATGAATTACAATTAAAATGTCCTTTGTTGTCCATAAACGTTTCATACAGTAAAAAGAGCCGTAAGATGCAGACTGAAGCTGAGCTTCAAAGTCAAAAACGTGTAAAAAAACTCAATATATCAGAATCCAAGACAGTCGGATAACGTCTGAAGAAATCCGTACAGCATGTTGAGTCAATTATGTCAAAAGTCACAGTACATGTAAGGTCACAATGTGTATCATGTATCCAGACGAAAAGTATATTTTACAAAAACATGTATTGTAAAGCCAAACAAGTAAAGTCTTTAAAATGTCAGTTGTCAATTCATACTTTTTAAGCTTCATACAATGATATTTATTTCGACGAGCGATATGTCTGTTTCACATAATATATAATGACCTACACTTTTATCAACATGCTATACTATCAACTTTTTTCATGACTATGACTAAGAACTTTTTACTCTTTTTAACATGCTGTACTATGACCCTTTTTGACATGCTATACTTTAAACCTTTTCTAAATTCTATACTATGGAATGTTGAATAAAGGTCATTCTATAACTATTTTCTTTACCGTGAATCTTTTCACTTCATACATATATTTTACATTCTATGAACCTTTTCTCCATTTTTTCGTATCTATATTAGGACCTGGATTCACTTTTTACGGCCCGCCATGCTATGACCAAAGACAACACGCTACACTTTTCTTCTGCCACCTTAAGTTAGTTAGTGGTTTCATTCATACCTGCTGACGAGGTCCAGAACATCCAAACGCTTCTTGGAACTTTCGTCACAAATTGTTAAACGTTGCACTCGACTAAAGCACTGCTTTATAAACTATTTCACCTCTTTAGAGTAGCCGCTACCGTCACTGCGCTCCCTCCATGCTGCATTTCTTTGTGCTGCCTCCCTGCACCCACAGGTGCCTGTAATTACTCCCCTCTCCTTCCTCACCCTCCTCTCCCTCCTCCCCCAACACGGCCGTAAAGGGCTGTTCTGCCATTTTACTTTTCCCACTTCTTCTTAATACACGTTTTTTTTGTGGTATTTATTTAGATGCAATGTAAATAAATAAAAGAGAATGACAAAAGATTAGGTTTTCTTATAAAACAAACCAAAATATTGCTCGATATTATTGGAAGTTCTCAGTGTTTCCATCCAAATTGTTGCAAAAATGCCGTCTCAGAATAAATCTAAAAATTGCTGCTATGCTGCTTGGAGGTTGATGATGTCATTTGCAATGTTTTGACACTAATATGGCGCATTTGAGTAGCTTAGCTGAACCACATTGATGGAATTATTTAGGCTCCATGATTGGGTCAGTACAACGCATGTATGTGATCTGCTCCCGGATGTGAGATGAAGGAAAAAAAGAAATCCAAGATGGTTTGCCCCCATGTAGACAGGCTTGAGGGGACGTCCTGTATAAAATATTTATGGCGGAGACGAGCTGCGGTTGGTTTCTCTATTTAAAGTGGGAAAGGCTCTGTTAAAATATCTCCTGATTAACGTCTGACAACGTTGTAAATAATTCAATTAGGTTTGTACATAGTGCGAGACGGAATTCTAATTCATATTTTTCTTATTTATTATTTAAAATAACTTTACGTTTCAACCAACAGAGTTGGAGAGTTTATTTTCTATTCAGTGTTAAAAAGAAGTTCAACAGCCTACAATGATACAATAGCCCATCTCTTGCAGAGATAATTGACAATTATAAAACATTTCGTCAACACGTTTTCATTCCTCTGTATCATTCCGGGGGGACTGACGTTCTCAGAGACGAGACCAAAAGCCAAATTCCTATTTTCAGTGTTCACCAGACGTGTCTCTGGGGACGGGTGACCACATCTTCTGAAAAAATAATTTAATTTGAGTCCCATAAAAGCGCGGTGTCAGGAATGTGGTCACGGCGCCGCGTTGCTTGCACGCGTCTCTGCGTTAGTGTGTGTCTGCTCCCTCTGCTGCGCCTCCTCCTCCTCCTTCTCCTCCTTCTCCTCCTCCTCCTCCTCCAACCCCCCCGGAGCGACGCGCAGAGAAGTCCAGAATGATGCCGCTGTGCTCCGGCTCCGAGTCCAAAAACTCCGGCGCGTCGCCCGTCGTCGCCTCGAGGCCAGACGGGGTACTGGGACCGGATGACGCGTCCTGGGCCGGCGCCCTGGAGGATGCGGGGGAGTCGGACGCCGGCGAGCCAGGACAGAGCGTGTCCCCTCCTGGGGAGGGCTCTGGGAGGAGGCGGGGGGAGGGAGGGAGCGGGTGGGGACCTGTGCAGAGACCGACGGAGCAAAACAAGGACCTTGTGTGTTACGTGTGTTCACAGCTCTTTAGTCTCTCAGGGGTTCGAGATGTTTCTGGTGTTAAACAACAAATAAACAAGAGCTATTTTGTACTCAACATTTTCAAATATTCTGTATTTTTCTAAAAGGCGTCAACCCATTCAGGTTTTTTGACACCCGTTGAGACATCTGAGGGATGCAAACAGTCCTTCCCAGTGTTAAGAGCGTTCTTGCCATCTTCACGTTTGCTGGTGCCAGTGATTTGTTGGGTCGTCTGTTACCAGGGGAACCGTACCTGGAAGTGCGGCGCGGGCGGCGGAAGCTGGAGCGCGGCGAGCCGCCCCGGAGCTGTTGGTTGCAGTCGTTGCGGATTCGGCCAAAGAGCTGCTCTCCTCCAGGCAGGACGTCATCTCAGAGACCGAGTGGCGTCTGAGGCCGGCGCCCACCGCCGTGGAAGAGTCAGAGTCATACTCCACCACAGGGGTCAGCATGGGCACGTTGTAGCTCTTGGAGCGTACCACTGGGTTCTTGGGGATGGGGGAGTTTCCGGGTTTGGACGCCCAGGAGCGATGCAAGCGTTTCTCTGGAGAGAGAAAGAGAGCGAAGCACAGAAAGATAGAGGGAGTCCAAATCCACACATGGATACTTACATGGGAACACTACACCTCTATCGCTTGTCTTGTCTCAACACATTTACACTCGCACGTACGTACCTAAAAGGCAGGAGGAGCAGTGCAAATTGGAAGATCCATCTCTGGAATACAGCCCATGAGTGCTGAGGTATGGAGAGACCACCTTCTGGATCAGAGCCTCCAAACGAAGGTAGTCGTCTGTTACACCTTTAGATTCATGGACTCCCTGCATCAGACACACAAACACACACACACTAGTTGGATTTAGCGGATAATTGCTGCTTGTTTGCATGTGCCAATGGAAACTTTAAAATCTTTGGGAGAGATCTCAGGCTGAAAGTTAAATTTGCCCTTTCTGGGATGCAATCAAACACTTAGCAACTGCGAAAAGTAAACAGCAGATGTAAAAATAAGAAACTTAACGCACGCAAAGTTAGTCTGGAGTCCTCAAAATATTGATTAGAGCAGCCGAAGTGAGAACAGGCCCGATTTCAGTGTTGGTGTTAGATTAGCATCTGCTATCACAGGTCGATCCCAACGGGTTTGCGCCCACGAGGCAACGTGCCCTTGATGTCCGCATGCGTTTAAGTAAATCAGTGGCAAAAAAATGGCCGTCGATCAACGCAGAGCTGTTTAATAACTTCCTGTTTTAAAAGCTCAGGTTCTGTATTTGCGTGATGGTTGGAGTCGCCTCTACAATTGACGATGCACCTGTGGCCAAATGTTCGCGTTGAAGGGTGTGATACGTGTGGCCCCCGAGAGTCGCAATAAAGAGATCAATTGTGTTTCACTACTCGGAATCGTTGAGTATGTGCATCTAAACCACAGCACACAGAGTAACCACATCAATGGAGCAGACTTCGGCGAATTGGCATCACAGAACGAAAGGGAAATCACTAACAGATGAAGCCAGCAGCAAACATTCAGCGAATTGTGTCCGCACGAACCTCTGGCCCGCTTTGCTTTCCTGTCTGCCTTTATACAGACAGGAGAAAAAAGAAATACAACCAAAAAGCCCCGTTTTTCTGACGCTCTATGTCATCCTCCGTCTCTAATCTAGAGTTGCCCTTTGCGACACCAAAATGTGTCTTTAAATGTTGACGAATTGAGGCGAGCTCTCCACAGGGGACCCGTCTGCCCTCTCATCTAGTTACACAAGATTCACATATTCCTTTGACCTTTTGCTTCAATAAAGCTTTCGATTCTGAGGTCGCTTTTTCCAAAAACAGATAAATGACTCGCTGACGACCAGCAGGCGCCTTAAAGGACGTTGTTTAACGTGGTTTATTCGCACGGGCAAAACAGTGGCACAAACGGACGCAGTGGTCGTGGGAAGACGCGCCTCCTCTGAGATTACTTCCCGTGGGATCCTTTTGAGTCAGCCGCTCTCTTGTATCCTCTGATCCTCCATCTGTTGTCACTTACCCTCCTCCATCAGCAGCCGCGGATGTTTGTCTGTGCGAGGCTGGTGTTTCACGGCGTGTGTGTGTGTGTGTGTGTGTGTGCGTGCGTGCACCTGTAGTAGTAGCAGCATCTGTATGATGGAAGGGGGAACTCGGGCTCGGGGACGACACAGAGCTTCGTCCAGCTTCAGGTTGAGGGTTATGATGTTCCGGAAGTGGAGGAGAGCCAACTGACGCACTGATGGCTCCTTCCCCTGAGGTCAACGCACAGTTTTGCAATGGAACCGGAAGCGTGTGAGCGTGAGTGTAGTTGTGTGCGTGTGTGCGTGTGTACCTGTACAGGATAGAAGATGGCCTGCAGCATGGACAGAACATCACAGAAGAAGAAGTCCCACGTGTCGGCCAGAGAGTCCAGCAACTTCTGACCTATAGCACACAAGCAACAGACCACCGCAAAGTCAAAGACGTCACAGTGTGACTGCGCGAGGTCAACAACGCACGGATAGAATTTCATAAAATTGTACACATGCGTGTACAATGTATGTCAGGGTTGGCATGACAGAGCCTTGTTAAAATGCTGATGTTTCAATTCCTGAGAATCACGTGATGTTCTTGCAACATCAAATTTTGCAGCATAGGTCTGCCGGTGCATCGCTGCGCAGAACTGCGGTTGAGTGAGACAGAACAATGGGTCCGTGAGTCACTGCACGCACCGCAGTGTTTTTTGTCTCATCTCATGTCGTAGTGCGACATACTGCATCACTTCCCATGTTTTTGCAGTGACGACAGCCCTGAAAATGTGTGTGTGTGTGTGTGTGTGTGTGTGTCGCAGGTGTCTCACATAAAAGGTCACATTCGCCACAACAGAGAGAACTAATTTATTTAAGCGACTTGTTCTCACATCCTCGTGCACGTGTCTCTGTGGGTGTGCACATACAAGTGCTGACTGTAGGAAAAAGGATCCATCACACGGGTTGATGGTGCTGAGATAAAAGCATGATCTACAAAGCCAGAAGGCTGCGGCAAAGTGAGGAGGTTGATGGATGTTTTGCGTGCCGTCCGTCAGGCAGCTGAGTTCCGCTTACCTTCGTAGAAGTGGATCTTGTCCCTCAGTATCACCATGCCTTTGGTGAGCAGCTGGTTCTGAAGGTACTCGGTGAAGAAGGAGCCCAGCTCTGTCTTCAGGAGCTGCCTGTATATATATATATATATATATATTTTTTTTTTTTTTTTAATATAAAATAAAATAAAGAAAGTGTGAGTGTCAATTGTAAGTGACACCGTATCCCCACCCACACACCATCAGCGCTGTTTAAACCACAAACACTTAGTTGTAGTCAACTGGAGAGCTGCTGTGTTTAGACAGAAGCAGACTCAGGAAATGAGAAGAGATGTGGTTCACCTTGACGACAAAGAACGTTTCAACAACAGGATTTTTTCCACTGATGAACTGAGGAGAGCACAGGTAGAGATTAGCTTGCTATTCTTACAGGGAGGGAACCATTGACCTTTGATCTTTATCTTTGTCATGACTACGGCCCAGGATCCTACAACGTAATGCGAAGATTTCATATTGTTCAAGTTCATTACGAAGGTTTGAGTCAGTGTGTGTGTGTGTGTGTGTGTGTGTGTGAGAGATGCAACAACAAAAACAGTCACTGGCATGTGTTAATGTGTCATTAAAAGATTACATTTAGCATGGCGAAGCTGCCATTGTGTGTACATAGGAGTAAGGGAAGGATCGAAATTACAGGGTGCAACATTACAATTTAGTAAAATACAAACCAGATCAAGCACAACATTCGGCGGTGCTCGTGTGAAGGTCGGCGGGAGAGTTCGCAAAAAAACGGGTGAACGGAACGAAAAAGGAGGCAGAGAGCTCACCTGACTCCTTCATTCAGAATGTAGAGTTCATTTTCCCCCAGATCCTTCCTCTGGAAAACTGATATCACCGCGTTGTGGATGCTAAGTAGAAGCACACAAGGAGCCTTTAGTGGACAAATATCCACAACGTGGGATCGTGATGAAATATTACCAACAACATGCATTATCACTACATGACTCGCTGCGGTGAGGTAAAGGTTTGCGGAAAAATGGAGTGCTTCAAAGTGAGATCCATTGTATTTAGCAGAAAAAGAGCAAACTGAAAGACCGAATAAATCCTGAGAGGAGAGTCAAACATCCGGGCAGTTGACCGGAAAAGAATGGATCCAAAATTTATAAAGAGCGATTGCTGACCCCCATAGTAATCGAATTATTATTATCAATTTTTTTTTGGGGGGGGGGGGGGGGGTTCTGTCATGTTTTGTCGCATTATTTGTTCAGTGAAATAGATTTTCTTTTTAAACTAAAAGAAAGCAAAACATCAAGAAGGTCAGGAGGGGGGCCAGAACCTTTACTACAGCTCATGTTGTCCACGCACCTCCGACCCCCCGAGCAGACCGAGCACTCTCTGCCTCTCACTCTCCGCTGCATTGCCGCGAAAAAAAAGCATAAAAATAACCAGAGAAAGAAAAAGTGAGAGAGAAGAAAAAGGCTCGAGAGGGAGAATGAGATGAAAGGAGATGAAAAGAGACGAGTGATGGACCCTCGGGGAGGGGACACAGAAGTGTGTTTGTATTCACAGCACACGGCCCACATACGTCCATGTTTGTGTGTGTGTGTGTGTGTGTGTGTCAACATACAGGAGCAACAGCCTAAATGGAGCCCAAATTCAGTGAGGCAACAATACTGACCCGTTCCAAGTGGCGTTGGCGCCGGCCCTTCTCTGCTGGGTCCCTTTGTCCCTTCTGCACTCCTCCGCCTGTCCCCCGGCGGTCCCGCCCTTATCGCCTCCTCCGACGGCGGGAGCCTTCGCCTGCGAGAGGTCGGTCAGACTGGAGGAAGAGCCGATACCCAACCTCAGCTTGTTCTGAAGACTCCTCGAAATCCCAAAGACAGAGAGAGAGACAATTAACACTGTTTGGAGTTATTGTGTTGCTTTAGCAACATATTTCAATTCCTGCTGTGTGTTTTTTTCCTGCGTATTGTTTGTTTTATTCGCTGCTGCCGGTTGGCTGAAGGCCACAGAGGATGATTCCATTGTATCAGTGCAATGACAATAAAACCTCTTTACTGTACTGGATGATACTGGCGGAGGCCACGCCCACTTTCCAATTACGCTGTTAATTATTATTAACAGTCCATAAAGTATAAAAGTCATCAACAGACAATCATTTTGTCAGTGAAAGTTAGATAACGTGATTTCTGTTACAGAAATTTCCAATCTATCAAAAATACAGTATGTTTTCTCTCAGAACAACACTTACACACAATAAAAAGTCACAAAAACACTTTCATTGTGCGTGACTTCGTTGGCCGGCAGCACCTTTCATTGACGGATGGATACTTTTTATCAGCCATCTGTTGATGTTTACACAAGCGTGTGCGCCACGCTGCATAGAAAATATACAATTCAGAGAGACAAGTGGGTACAGGGAGGCCGTCAGGAGGAGAGTCAATTGAAACGGAACGAGAAACATTCAAATATAGGAATGGAGAGAGGAGTAAGCTGGGAATGGAGAGAGGGAAATGTAAGACAGAAGGAGGAGCTGAGAGAGAGAACGAGGGAGGATGAGGAGGAGGAGGAGGAGGACGGGAAGCTAAAGGATCACAGCAAAGTCAGCGAGGGGAGAGAAAAAGAGAACGGAGACACTAGGAAAGGGAAAGTGAGAGGAGATTGGGAGTGTGTGCAGATTTAATAAATAGGTCCACGCAGGAGAAACATCAACAGTTCACTTTGAACCGTTGAAGGTGTTAAGTGGTAAGAGATGCTTCACGTCAGTGAGAGCCCCTATAAACTACACGGGAACAGGATGTGATGTTGAAGCGGAGTATAAAGTCGCTTAATAAACTCAGAAACAGGTAATGAAACACTGTTCTCTCCCAAATGAAATCTACTGAACCAGAACTTCCTGCAAAGCACAGGACACACACACACACACACACACACACACACACACTGGATGTGCTTACTCCATGGGGCCGAGAGATTCATGAAAGGGTGAAGATGTGGAAGAGAAAAAGTGTCTCTGTCCTCATGGTTGTTCACAGGCCCCTTTTTGACATTTTGCTCTCATTGCACGTCTCTCCCACCTACTTCCTTTACTTTCTTCTTCTCTCTCTCTGTGTGTGTCTCTCGCTCTCTCTTTGCCAGTCTGTGCCGGTCGGTGACCATGCAACGTGAGCTTTTGTGTCAGGGCAAACAAAGGAACCCTTTGAGGTACGAGAGCTGCCAAAAAGGAAGGGGAAGGATTTAAAGGTGACACACATTTCACTTCCTCTTCCTCCTTTTTTTCTCTGTGTGGGGCCCTGTACACAAAGGTGATGTATAAAGCTGTAATTTGCCCGATCAATGAACTTGATTGTGTCTGCTTTTTTACGGTCATCTGCTGTGGAATTACTCCTTCTGTTTTCAAAACCGTTGTAGAGATCAATGCCCAATTTAATGCCACTGAATTTCGAGACAAAAGGAAGAAGACAAAAGAAAAAGGGTCTGAAAGGAGATGTAAAAGAAAGGATGGGACATTTGAAAGCATGTAAACAAATGTGGCAAGGAAGAGGGAGAAGGTGTGTGTGCGCTTGAGTGTGTGTGTGTGTGTGTGGTTTTGGACCGTCTGTCAACCTGGATCTTAGTTCAACTCCACATAAATAGGTCAGTGTGAGAAACAGGAGCCTGGGCCTCAGATAGAAACACAAGCGAGGATGCACTTCCAAATCCTCTGAGAAAAGGTGCCGCGATGAACCGCGTGCAACTAAACCTACAAACACCTGAAGAGCCGCCGACGCAGAGCAGAAAGCAGAAGGTGGAAACACCGCGCGGTCGGCGCGATGGAACCAGTAAACCCGGAAGTTGGATGCTTTTTGTTTGTGCCGCTAACACAACAGGAAAGAGCCGGGAGAGCAAAATCGGTGCTCTAATTACTGAACAAAGGAGGATAAGGGGGATGTTTGCACGGCTGAACGAACAAATGAGGTCATTGAGGAATGTGGTGTGAGTCACTTGCGTCTACCTTTTTGTGTCCCGAAGGCCGAGGGGACAAAGGGAGAAAAAGGAACAGACAAAGTACAGATGCAGTGAAGCTCTCTGAATGAGGCATGCTGGCTGATGTGTGTGTGTGTGTGTGTGTGGTCTTACCTCCTAAATGAGCCCTCCCGTTCCATATTAGCCTTGACGGACAGCTGCGGCCTAACGACCGCCCAGCGTCCGCTGCGGCCTCCTCGCCATCTGAAACAGGTGCAATGAGAGGTGGAGAGAACCGTCTTGATTCAGATTTTTAAAGACCGCTCGCTAACTTGGACCCAAGAGCGAATCGATTGTCTTCCTGGGAGACGTTTGACGGGTAAAAGCACAGCGGCCCCACTGTGAAAAGCGTTCATGACACATGCAGTGAATGTTTTATGTCAACAACCCTCATAGAAGGCTGAACAGACAGGTGTGTATTACCTACTTTTGGAAGCTCTTCTGCGTGACAGAATAGAACTTTAAGAATATTACAGCTCAACAGCATTATAAAGCAGCTCTGAGTAGCATTTGCCTTTTCATTTCCTGTCTGTGTGGCCTCATGTCGCGCTCTCAAATAAAAGGCATCATGCTCACACGATGATAAACGGATTAATTCATTAATGACGAACTCTGGGGCTAAAATACTTCAGGACTGAGTCAGACAGATATTCACAGACAGACAGACGGACGGGTGTCTCCACCCAGCGTCTAGCTAACAAGAGCGTAATCAAATTACACCCAAGTGGGTGAGACGGACATCGGATCCTGCCCCGAACTCAGATGCCCTTATTCTCACACACACACACACACACACACACAGATAGAATGACACGCATCAGGCAGGTCTGTAGTACGGGGCCAACTGGGCTCCTGACCGGTCTGTTACATTTCATTTAATGGATAATAACAGTTACAGCAAATGGTCTCAAGCAATCAGCGGACGTGGTTCAGGCTTTAAGTCCAGGAAGTTGTAGAATATAAACGTTGACCTCCTGTTGCCCGGCGGCTACAGGACTACCTGTTGCCCATTTAGTCTCGTCGACCAATATGGTTTTTCAACATAAATGCTCCTGACCTTGACGCATGAGAACGGATTTGAATTAAGTAAGACGATGGCTTTAAGAAGACCACTGCGGCGTTGCGGTGGTAAAAGCAGCGGATGATATTTGGCTAAATAGATGTTGCCGTGGTTCTGGTGAGCGGCACAAATGCACCTCTGCGTATCGCGCTGCCTGTCTCCAAAGAATCCGCTCTCGCCACATCCCTCGCTGCCGTTTGATGGCTCTTGTAGTTTCATGGATTGTGGTTTTGGGAGCTTAAAAGTGGATACGAAACCTGTGAGCTCCCACTCATTTAGAATCCAGACTTCTCCGAGTGTGAAGCCTCCTCCTCCTCACTTGTCTCTTTCTCAGCAGTTTGCATTGGAAGTAGATATCAGGGACACTGCTGAAAATGAACACCCATAATCTGCTTCAACTCACACACACACACACACACACACACACTCTGCAGACTGGCAGAACCACAGGGAAACTACCAGCCTGCAACAGACAAGTGCAAACAGTAAGTTTCCCGCACAGGTTCGAAGGCTCCTTCAAACCATCGGTGTGTGTATTAAGATCAATCCAGTCCCAGTCTGCTTCCTGTCTACTGGTGGTTAATGGAACACTTTGAAATGATGCAAGAACATTGACATCAGTAACACTCATTGGAGGACAAATCGGTAAAAAGACGGAAGGAAAAAGGCTGTATTAGGAATTTGAGGGCGATTTGTTTAATAGTAAAAGCTGAGCGTTTTTCAAAAATATTCTTCTATTGTTGTAAAACAGTAACGAGGACAATTTGTCTTTCAAGTTCAACTCCTACTCACTTGGTCAGAAGTCACCCCGCTGCCTTTAAATCCCGCAGCACCGCGGAGAAAACAAGAAAGAAAGAAACGCAAAAGAAGAACCGACGCTCGAACTTGTTGGCGTGAAGCTCGCGCGGAGCGCTGGAGTCCAACTTCTCACGTCTTCTGGCGCAGACGGCAGCGCCAATAGGCTCCGATACGCGGGACGCGACCGTGCGCCGCGCGAGCAGCGAGACGTCACAGCGGCCGAGAGAGAGAGAGAGAGAGCGACACAGGGGGTGGGTGGGGGAGAGAGAGAGAGAGAGAGACACAGGGGGTGGGTGGGGGAGAGAGAGAGAGAGAGAGAGAGAGCGACACAGGGGGTGGGTGGGGGAGAGAGAGAGAGACTCGCAGCCTTTGGAAAGTGTTTGGTGGTTTCGCGTGCGCGTGCGTGTGCGCGTCCATGCCGGGTGCCTCCACTCGCACATCGTAATATCGCGCGCGTGCTTTTTGTCCTCTATCGACACACGTGGCCCCTGATGGTCCCCGAAGACCCCCGAGCTTTGCCTTTCAATGCCGATACTGAGAGAGAGACACACACACACACACACACACACACACACACACGACACACACACACACACACACACACACACACACACTACTACACGACACACACACACACACTCCTGGGGACAGATTTTGTATTTACACAAAGGGAGTTTTAGTTATATTCAGAATGAAGCAATTCATTGACGGATAGTGCTTTAACTGAAAGACACTCTGCAGCTACACAACCCTTCTGTGTGTGTGTGTTTATGAATGACAAAACATTCATTTTTAAGAGATAAACTTTACGCTGCACACACACACACACACACACACACACACACACACACACACACACACACACACACACACACACACACAATCTAATAGACAGATCTGCTCAGATTAACCACAGAGCTCAGTGTGTCACATCAGACAAACAGCACTTGGTCTGCAGGCTGCATATGCAATTACTGATAGCGGAGCACGCACACACGCACGCGCGCACACACACAACAATGTGGGTAATAAGAAACAGGTTTGTAATAGCAAAGTCTACTGGGCAAGGCCAGATTCTATCTTAAAAGTTCTCAGGACCATAAAACTACAACGAGTGCACGTATACAGACACACACACACACACACACACACACACACACACACACACACACACACACACGCGCGCACACACCTGGATAAACACAACCCACCCAAAGTTCAGTAATCACTTAACATACAAACAGTGTAACTAAAGGTCCCTGTGCACATAAACAGATCTTTCCTAAACAGTATTTTTGGATACATACAGATACTGTAGACACGCTCACAACCTCATGCACTTTTTAATGATGGCTGGTACCTTTATGTTCTACACTCTGATGTGTGTGTGTGTGTGTGTGTGTGTGTGTGTGTGTGTGAATCCTACCATGGAAGTCAACTGTGTGTTTGCGTTTTGGACGACGTGGCAGACAACAGGAAGTACAGGACGAACCCGTCTTCTCTCTGGAACTGGACACAGCATGATTTTCACGTCATCCTCTCATCCGTCTGCTTTTAGCCGAACTGTTAGTCGAGATAATTGAATGTTTGAATGTGATGTGATTGAGTGTCTCGCCGATGCTCGTTTCCGTCCGCAGTGCAGCGGCAACAACACTGCTGAGGTTTGAGAGGAACTTTTACAGCAGACTTTGAAGTTCATTAAAAAAACCCACAAAAGAATAAACCACACGGCACACTGTGATACATGCGGTTTACTTGGTTAGGACAAATGTAATAACCTTGGTCACCGCTATTTAATCAAAGTCATTATGTGGTAATAGGACTTTCAGATGATGGAGAGCTTTCAGAGTGCAACAGACACACACACACACACACAATAGACTTTGTATTCTGGGATTTACCATAGAAGGCAGTAAAGTAGCTGAGGCGCTGACTCACATCACAACGCAGGTAGAGGTGACGTGCAAAGTGTGATCTGCAGAGAGATACACACTGTTTGTTTATGTTCGGCTACACTCCATCTCCTCCGGTTTATTTAAACACACACACACACACAGTCACATTAGGACTAACACAAACAAACACTGTGCAGTCCAGACAACATGTGGACAGGAAAAGCAGTTTAGTGGACACAGGCTTTTACCAAGTACTCACACACACACACACACACACACTCGTCCGCAAGCCAAACTGGTGTCATTTCAAAAGTGTGTTGCGTGAATCTGGGCAGTGTTAACCGACGGAAAGGGGGGGGGGGGGGTGGTAGAACCCGCAATGACTCAAGAGTCGACGCCGCCAACCTGCAGCCTCTACACTAATAAACCGGGAGGTTGCTGCATCATTGCTGCTGCAGATGGGGGGGATTCTCCTTCCTCCAAACAGAGGGATAGGGGTGTGTGTGCTGTGTCAGTGAGTCTTGTGCTGCTGAGTAACCCCCATTCAAGGGCAGCTGAAGCTCAGGGAGAAGCTCAGGATGTTGTTTTAAGGAGTAAATAAAGGAGCAACTAGAACAAGGGACAACGAGGGACACAAAGGCTCCTTTAACGCCTTTTCCTTGCTTCCCTTTGGTTGTTTATTTGGTGATATTTCTAATCTGATCTTGTTTTACGATACTCTATAACAACGACTTGTGATTTCGCCATCAGATGATCATTTGAAGGCCACAATCACACACACTCGTTTGTGTAGAATTATTCAACAGGGAAAGGAAGGGTCACGTGGTGAATTGAAGTCATTCTGTCTCTGCTGAAGTCATTCAGTCCCCCCCCGTGTCCTTCACTCGGCCCCCTCGTCTGACATCGTGAGAACTCGTCTGAGAACAGCGAGCACTTCCTGCTTCGCGTCCGTGAAACGACCCTGCAGAGCATCCCCAACGTGACCTGTGAGCACAGCTGTCAGCATCTTTGAGAAGGTTGTGTTGTCTTTATTGTGCGGCTCTACGGATGGAAACCGCTTTGGTTTTAAGAGTGAAACATGTTGATGGATATTTGGACTAAAAGATTTGGCTGCAGTATTTAAGTTATGTTGACCCAAACATCTCAATCATCACAGCCATGTCTTTATGTATTTAGGACGACCACACACACACACACACACTGTCTCTGTCCTTTCATGAATATTCTTAATGTCAGGATAAGAAGTCATCTGAAGACACCCGTGTCTGTCTCCGCCAGCGCCATCAACCCCGCCTCTTTCTTTCCTCAGGGCGTCTTTTAAACTTATGAGGGCCGTAGGAGGAAAAGAGGTCGCTGCAATTCAAGTTGACCAAGTAGTCGCAACCACAGGAGGAATAAATAGAAGCGTGACGTCCTCCAAAGACTAAATAAATCCTGTTCAAGTAGATTTTCCGTTTCAATTCGTACACTAAAATCTCTGCTTGTCGCTTATTATTTCCACATTCAGTGCAGAATTGAAAGGGGTCACTTCCTTTATTTGGTCACTTCCTGTATTTTTGTATATGTATGTCATATGTCAGAAGACATGGTTACATGCATGCGTGTGCGTGTGTGTGTTTCTTTCATATAAAGAGTATCTGTTCATCACTTTGGAGTGCTGATAGTCAGAATGGCTCAGGTACTGTAACCAAATGGAAATAATTCTAACTCAAATCTGCTTTAAGACTTGAACGCTTTATATAGCTCGCAGACAATATTGGATATATTTAGAGAAGCTGACCAGAACTTTCACTGAGCACAAACATCTACTCGTAGCTGCTCTCTGGTGGACAAACTATGTACTACATGTCTAAGATGAGATAAAATCCTATGATTTATTCATCAGATGGATTCTACTTTAGAAACAAAGTAGTCTCCTCATCTCCTCCACGCACACATGATTACGTAGAGTCGACAGCAGACTCGGCATCAATGATCTGTGACTGTTTAATTACTTACCTTCTTGCACGCCCGTTCTTGTCCTGCGGCCGAGGTGACTCCCGAAATTCGGCCAAACAGGAACCAAAAGGTTGGTGGTTTCCTGCGAGATTTGGAAGCAAAATATGAGGAACATACACAAATCAGACACACATCACACGGCCATTATTTGTAGTCAAAATCCTGTGGTGCGTAGATTCTCATCACTCTCTCCGCCTTCTCCAGAAACGTTTATTTTTACCAAAGCTCGAAGAAGACACTATGTAGTTTGTGGATGTGTGTGTGTGTGTGAGAACTTGAGGGATGGGCTTTGCCTCACGGTTGTCACTTTTGTCTCCATCCATTTGTCCTACTAAATGCAACGTAAGTCCTAAATATCTACAAGCTTCTTAATTGCCAGAACAAGTCAATTCCTCAGTGGTAAGTGAAATGACATCATCCCAAAGTGTGCAACTTTCGGTGTTGGTGTCCCGGCAGGAAAACAGCATGATGGAAATGTATTGTTTTAATGCACCGGTAAGTCTCATTTTCCTTCCTCCTCTCCTTCCTCGGGCCTCTTTTATTGTGGGCTGAGGCTTTTATTTTCATTGTCTCCATGGTGACGGATATTAAGCAGATTCACACCTCTCAGCGGTTTCATAACTGTTTAAAGGTTTGGATAACAGGAAGAAGTAAATCCTGCAGGTGCTAAAGTTAACGAAGATACAGTGGAGAGGATAAATAACTGCAACAAAAAAAGGGAGATGAAATAATAAAGCCTCGTCTTTTTAATGTTTAACGTTGACTGACGTTGACTAAAGCCCGCTGGATTACAATTTGCAAGAGAAATGAATGATTTGGGTTTTATTGCCCGGTAATTTAAAACAAAATTGAATACCCCCATTGAACGGAACACTGAATATCAAGGTTATGGTAAATTCAATATTATCCCGTTTTATATTTGTTAACGTTTTAATCAATTAGAAGACGTAGTAAATAAAATTGCCTTCCCCCGGAGGTGACATCATTAAATGGTTCACAAGAAAAATCTCATAAAAACAAATGCAAAGTCACTTACAAGAGAATATTTTCAGGCTTTGTGTCCTTAGTGTTGACTCTTTGTCCATATATATTCTGGTTCATCGTGAACAAATATTTAATGCTTTGTAATAAACAGTGGAGATACATGATTTCCTATCTTCATATTGATTTATAGTCCAGCCACTACAACTCATTTAAAACAACTTTTATTTATTAAGTTTTTACAAATAACGTAACAAATTTCATTGTATTGTAGCGCAAGTTTTGTTTTTTATATGAAGCTTCAACACTCTATACTTAGTGCAAACATACCGTTAAAGGCTGCCGATGACTCTACATGTATTTTATTGTTTTCTCTTTCATTCATTCATTCATTCACCCACTTTTCTTTTTTTTTAATCCCACCACTGGGTACAATGTCAAACACAATACAGAAAAAGGAAACCACCCAAGGAGCCGCTACAGACATTAAAATCGCTGCTAAGTGAGAATAAAAGAAAGAAAAAAAAAATCCTAAGTGCATCGGAGAAACCAGAAACATATTCAACATGTTTGTTGTTTTCAGTAACAGAGAAACTGTTGCTGTGCTTGAGACCGGACATCATTCCACAGGAGCAAGCTACATGGAACAACAGGAGATCTGATGCACAGAAAGGCAACTGTTATTTACACGTGGACACAAAAAGGTCAACCAGTGCAAAGCACAAACTGAGTCTAACGCCAGCAAGTAATGCTACAATATGTGTGTGTGTGTGTGTGTTGGCAGAAAAAGATATTTTCCCCCCTTACTTCACAATAAGTGTGAACACTGGGTAACCCTTTCACAGTAAGAGTCCTTCCACCATAACTAAATGAAACTTCACAAAAATCACACTCACTGATGTTGATATTGTAGCATTAAAAAAAAAAAAAAAAAGCCACTGTAACCTCAGAGCTCGACAGCATACTGTAACTTTAAATTATATTGCATTGCAGCCACTGCACAGTAGGCGTTTCTGTCAGAGTAATCATGTAGTAGAGACACAGCAAAATAAGATCAAACTTCTACTGTGGAAATCATTTTGAGGCTCAAGCGATTGCAAAGTGGAAACCCAGGGCGTCGCCTGGCAACTAAACCGAAAGTGAGTAAAGGCAATGAAAAGTACACAGAATCAACATTTCCTATTTCACCTTCACCGCTGATGTTTTCACTCGGCACATGATAACCAGAACGAGAGCAGAGTGGCTCGAATGAGTCTTCACAGCTTCAACCAAACTTGCCGATGAGTAAAAACGTTTCATTATTATTGATGGAGACAATAGAAAACATGCCCAGGAGAGGTGAGCAAAAGCAATGCGTTTTTACAAAGTGACCGTTTCATGTTTCTAAGTGAGTCCAGAACATTCTGAAAAAATAAAAATAAAAATAAACTGACACACATCAGAATGTTTTTCGGTCAATGTCAAAAGTTTGTACCAGATGTGTTTTATTTGCGTGGGAAAATGAAAGAAAATGAAAATAAAAAGGGAACGTGGTGTCAAAAGGCCTCCAATCTAAAACTGCCATCATCACTTCCATCGTTTCAACCGCCGTCGCCACTACGCGCAAAATCATCACAACAACACCCACCGCCGGGCTCGGCCATTCGGACCCAAACCTTCTTCTGAAACGTACAGTGACAATATCCAGACCTGCCGCAGACCCACGGCAGCTTTTCTCAGACGAGGCCTTCCCCGCCAAATCTGTAGAGCGACTACAAGCACTCGAATTCTGACTCATTCATTCATTCTGCTGGCTTCGAAACTGCCTCTTGATTTGGATGTTTGGATTGCCGACGCCTTGCTTAAAGGTTTGAACTAAAAGGAGCAGTAAGCTTCTAGTTCCTACACGAAAACACATATCACGCTTTTGGTTATTCTACTGGAGAACGCTTGTGTGTTCCTTTGTTCTGCTCTCGGCTCGAGTGGATCGCAACCATCAGGGTCCAGCGACCTGACGGCGGCCACAAGCTGACTCCCACAAGGGAGCAGCACTGACATTCCTCTAAAGCCCCCCCCCCCTACTAACCGAAACACATTCCTGTCCGGCTGTCGCAGACCGGCAGTTTCGAAAATTGATCACGCAAAGCTGATTTCTGATTTTTCTTTCAAACGAAAGGTGAAAAACGGATTGGATCATTGGTTTGGAAACGACATAATTTGCTCTAGAGATCTTCGTCCTCGGCCGACGTCACGCCGCACCGGTGCCTCTAAAACACAGAGTGGTCCGAGCTTCAAATACAATCTTCAACCGCTCCCTCCTTAAAACCGAAACACATTCCTCCGGTTTCACGTCGGCGGTGCAGAGGGCCTGGGGGCGCCGTCGGGCCTCGTCTGGGCCAAACGATCTCATGGGTTTCAATGGCAGCAGAGTTTGGGTCAATTCATCCCTCTAAATCGATCCTAGGAGCAACAGGAAGGATGCAAGGCACTAGTAAATTCCTCCACCGAAAGCTCTAAGCGACGGTCAAGGGAAGCAAAAGAGCCACAATAAAAGACAAACTCTACTTTTTTTTTGTTTCTTCTTCAAGTACATAAAAACTGGACACCATTGTTTTTTTTTTTACATTCACATTCATCTAACAAATACAGAGAAGAGGAGGGCCGTTTAAAGTGTCTGATATACAAGTACTGTATTAAGAAAGAAAAAGTAGCTAGCATTTACTTTAATGCCTAAATATCAACTGTCCTGCCCGTCGCTGAGAATCAGGCACGGAGGTCGGTTTCGACTTTCAATTCAATCAGTTCTAAAAAAAAACTTTAAAAAAACGGAACTGACGCTGCGGTTGATTAGTCGGTAAGGCAACGGTAATTTCTTTGAGGGCGCGTCCTCGGTCACCGGGTACGAGGACCTTTATTAAAACAACGCTGTTCTCAATTTTCACATTTGGCTGAGAATCCATTGGCTGAGAGCAGTGAATTGAAAGTGAAAAGGACCGTGAACCGTTCTCTGAATGCTTTAAAAACCAACAAAAAAAAGTTTTTTATTTGTGATTTTCACCCTAAAACGAATGTTGCCCAACATCATTTGCTAATAATAAACAACAATAATCACAGTGTTTCCACATCGTACACCGATGTGCGCGTATAACAGGTCCATCAACAGAACACTTTTTTGTTTCTTTTTAAATAGAATAATTAATCATCAACAACAATGTACATTGCAATCATTTCAACACATGCGTTGAAACCCCCCCACGATGACGAGGAACCGAGGCGTTAGGCTGTTGAGCGGCTGCTACGCCTCCAACAATGTGTGGGTATTTACATGAGCCTGGCTGTGTATGCAGGTGTATTTATTTATGTGTGTGTGTCTGATGCATTGTGTGTGTGTGTGTGAGAACAAACCCAACGGAACCGAAATAAAACAACAAAATGGAATCATCGTGGCCGACATTAAAAAAAACTAAAAACAAACAGACAGACACAAACTGTACAGGGATGTGATATTATTCGGTGAGCAAGGCCACTTTTTCGCGCGGAGTTCTCTCATGTTTGGGCTGCTGTTTTTTAGTTTTTCAGATGTCCTCTAAAAAGGTCTCTGTTGTTATTGCTTCGGTGGGCGGAGAGCGGCCGGAGGTGTTCGCTGTGCAGCGGTCGGCCTACGATAAGCGGTGGACGAGGTGGTTGACTCGATGCGAACATTCTCCCCCCCGTCCGTAAGAACAAGAGGGGGAACAAGACACAGAAGGTAATCGGGCTGACGGGTCACAACTGCGTCCACGCTGAGCCGGGCTCAGCTGGGGGGCGTCTTTGATTCACTCGAGGATTTTCCTTTGTGCTTTGAATTGAGGGACATTTCTGAATAGTGACGGAAATAACCAACCAAACCCGAACATCTGTCCATCTGTCTGAAATGAAAGCGTTTGACCTGCTGCCATGTGCACCAGAGGGACGATGGCCGGCCTCGCTCCCCTCCGTGTTATGCACTGCCGACGTATTTTCTGTTTTCAATTTGGAGAAAACAACAGCTGCAGTTTTGCCTGTTACTGTCGCCTTTACGTGCAGGAAACCGTCTTAGCACTCAGCATGAAATGGACCAGGTGGAGCCGAGCCACAACTTCACTCATACACCAACAGCAATAAACGCCAATCCGGCACCCTGTCCAAATCTCTTTGGCCTTTTAACAGTGCACTCGTGAGTCTGTTTGCCACAGTCGACCACAGCACAAAGTGGGACCGATTCCCATACACACACGCGCGCACACACACGCACACACACACACACACACACACACACACACACACACACGGATGGACGCAGAGGTGAGATGCATCACACAGACTTTGGCCTCATCGCACTCCTCGTTTCTTTGCTCCTCTTCGTTTTCCTTTCCTTCTCTGGTCGGCTCGCCGTCCCTTCGAAGTCCCTCGCTCTCAAGTCCGCAGCCCTCTGCTCCGCGTCCGGGGCGGGCCGTGAATCAAACCGGCCCCGTCTCCCAGTCCTACGTGGTCCTCATGTTGGGTCCTCCTGGGTTGCTGAGTGACTTCTGGAGAGAGCTGTTCAGGTGGAAGGCCTGGAGGGGCCCCTGCCCGGGGATCTGGACCTGTCCACCAACGGCGGTGGGGTAGGGGCCCAGCGTCTGGGAGGTGCTGACCAGCAGGGGGCCGGGCGGCGGCGGCGCTGCCTGATTCGACGGGCCGTGACCCGGACCGGACCATTGTGCACTGTAGGCGGGTGAGGGGGTGTAGTGGATGAACTGGGGAGGTTGGGGCTGGGCGCAGGAGGCGGGCGGGTGACACAGGGACGCCTTGCGGGTGGCCAGAGAGGTAGCGGTGGTGGAGTTTGCGGGGAGGTGGGCTGAACCGCCGAGGCTGCTGGGACACAGCTGGCTGGGAGCGGAGTACTTCCTGCCCAGACTGGCTGACTGGACGACCTGGAGAGACGGAGAGGTCACACGCGGGAAACATCATTTGCGGTTACTACTAAACATGTGCGTGGACGAACGAGTCAAGTTTTTTTATTTAGCCTCATTTGGTAGATAACGCTGTGCGTCAGGAATCATTTTGTCCAAAATACCAATCCCATTTTTCAGGTCTGCTTCGGTATTGTAATTAGGTAATTATAAGCTGAACCCGAGTCCTTGCTTGTGGAGGGGTGATGTGCTTTAATCTGAAAAGACTTTTATTGTTTATGTTATAATCAGTGAAAAGAGAGGTGAATTTAGCCTTCGGGCCGCCTCAGCAGGTTAATCCGGCCATGATGCCATAGGGAGTATTCTCAAACTAACCTCGTAGCTATGTCCCGGCACTGGGGCCTGCTGCAGCTGTTTGGCACTCCTCTTCCCCTGAAAAGAAACATTAATTCAGTTTACTCATCTGCACATTACTTCATCAAACAGACACACACATTCATCGCATTTGCCGTCTTCAGCTCTGCTATTAGATCACACTGAAATTAAGATAAACATATAAGAGGTAGAAATAAGATATGAGTTGAACTAAAGACAGGAATTTGTGTCAAAACGTATTGTGCCAGAGTGAGATGAACCATAAAGGACAATAAACCTGTGAGAGGTTCATGGCATCTCGGGCCCAGTTGTCCACCAGTTTATGGAGGTCATCGGTGAAGGTTCCTTTCCTCTGGTGGGAGGCTGACATGTTGGGGGGGAGACACTGAGAACCCCCCTGGCTCTGACCCAGACCGCCAGAACCGCTCACTGCATTGGTGCTATTGGTCCCTGTGGGTGGAGGCGTTGGGGGGGGGGTTGGAGAAGAGCAAAGCACGTGAGATGTTGCACAAACCAGAAGAGGATCATTCAAGTTATCTGAATGAATGAGAATGCACTTCCTGTCTCGACCATGAGAAGGACGCGGCGCGGTCGGGACAGAGTTTTTAGGGCGGGTCAGCATGTCGACGCTCTTTGGTTTAGTTGTAATGATGATGGATGGAGATACGGGAGGAATGATGGTGCTGGAGCAGCATTTGAAAACACCGCAGACACTTAAGTGACAGAAACTAATACATTTCTGAATAGTAAACACTGCGTTCTCGGCAGATTATCACTCAGGTCTATTCTTTGACCATAAGATGGCACTGGAGCTCAGGTAGTGGGCTTTTAATACCAACCCGGAGCATCAAACTGATCCCAGCAAAGTCACTGCAGAGCATGAACGCAAACACTGCAGTGTTCTATAGAAGCACGCAGCCTCTCTTTGTTAACTTTCTCTATGAACTCTTGTATGATTCCTTAGTAGCTCTCTAACAATCCAATAGGAAATCAGTATGAGGGAGAGATTATAAAATAGTTTTTGTTCTTTGCTACGCGCTGCTGGTTTCAGATATTGTCACATAATTATCTCGGAAATAAAGGATTTGAATCAAATGTGGAACGCCAAAACTGCACTCAGATCTAATAATAAATCAAATTCACATTAGGAAATTGATTCAGGCCAGTGAAAGAAAGCATCAAGAACATGGTCCGCTATTATGATTTGACTCATGAGTCATGAATCAGAAAATTCCCCTACTGACGTAGTTTCTTTATCATCGTTTTTCTCACAATTGCGTTAATCCAGACTATGATTATATGACACAGATCTGTTCATATCAGATATCACGCGAGAGAAGACATAATACACACGGATTAGCCAGGAAATACAAAACTATACATTTTCTCAGACGGAGAACGGTCATGCTAAATAAAGTGGAGGAAAATAAGAACGAGCAGACGCTGAGTCATGACTGTCTGCTGCAGGGGGATTCTGGGCGATGTAGTTAAGACCACAAGCCATGACGGGAAAAGGGGGCGGGCAGAGGAGCCAACAGCTGTTCAGATGTGCTGGTGGGTTTGTGTGTGTGTGTGTGTGTGTGTGTGTTTGCTCTCAGGTGCATGCACTGACAGCTGGAATCTGTGATGGTGGGTCAATTCAGTCATTTCAGTCTTCAAACCGGGGGGTGGGAGGGGGGGGTCCTTTGGTCCCGCAGAGTTTGAAAGAACAGCGTTTCAGCCGCTGAAATGACTGAATCGACAGCAGATCGAAGTTGGAATCTAAAGGACATTAGAGAGCAGGAGGAAGCGCAGGGGGAGCAAGTGCAAGGATGGAGGAGGGCATTGATGGAGGGAGGAACGAGCAAAAAGAGAGATAATTACTACAGAGCTGGTTGCAGGGGCAGACTTTTTTCACCATCTTCCCTGTGCGGCCGGAAGACAGCGATCGGAGGATTGGGAGAGAGTCAAGAGTTAGACCTCGCGCCCACAACACCCGACAACCACACACAATACATCCAAGTCAAACCAACAAATCACCGTGGGGGTTGAGTCGCCCAATAACATCTTCTACGTACGAACTGCACACGAATGCAGGGCACTACTTAAAAAAACGGAGTGTTTTCCCCACAGTAGTTAAAACTGGAATACGATATTCGCCTGTGTTTAACAGGTCTTTGATGCAAAGTGGAAGAGGTCTTTGGGTAACCAACCTCTCCCCCGAATTCTCACGTGAGTCTGAGTCCTCTCTGCAGCTCGGCCGTTCCAGAACTGGGTCTAATTAAAGATCAATATCATAGTATTCCGTTTCCAGACCTCTGAATTTAAACAGAATGAGGTGAAACAATATGTCTTATTGTCAAGGACGGTCGCATGAACGATCAGATCAATGTTTTTCAGTAAGACCCGGGTCCGTCTCTCTCCCTTACTGGCTGTGCAGTCACAAGGACGAGGTGAGGAAAGGAGTAAGGAGGAGAGACAACGGGCCGGAGCTGCAGAGGCATTCATAAACACGTCTTTATGATGCACAACAACTGTGTCCAAGACAACATACAACGATTATAATGCCATTTAAGAAAAGAATTCATTGCAATAAAACAATTTTAAATCAAAATAAATAATACAATTTCTACGAATCTCAAGTCATCGTGTTGCACGTGTCTTTCCTTGTTAGTATGCTGGTTTTCACAGACACAAAAGGTTCAAAACGCAATCAGCGTTTCAGATGCCGACACAAAAACAGAACCGCAATGCACATTTCTATGATGGTATATTTGTGTCTTTCCTTCCCCTTTTACAGCCCCGCTCACTTCATCCATACCATAGGTTTTCATTTTGTAGCCAAAAAAAGCTAAAGCAAAACTAACCAATAATTTTTATATTTCTACTTACAAACAAACAAATGTGCTTTCAAAACATTTTTTTTGTTTGGGTAATGAAGACACAAATATACCTTCATACATTTACAGTTGAGTAGGACTAGAGGTGAAATGGATGGAATGCTTGTTATCAAGCTTCTTGCCACGCAGAATTATTTAATTGGCAAAAATGTAAACATGCTGCACAATGAAGCGATCTGAACAATGTGCATTTTAGCTGATGGTTTACATTTTCCCGAGGAGTGCAATCTTTTAAAGGTTACATTTCAACAACCTACGAGGGACTTAAACTCCTTGTGGCCTCTAGGAGGGTTCCGGTGAAAATGAGCAATTTGTTGCCTTCCTTTTAAAGTGTTACTTTAAAACAGTCAACGAGTTCGGTTACAACGGTGGCATTGAACGTCAAGACTTTGTCAAAGGAAAACTATAAAGGGAGAAGGAAACAATGCTGCGAGGACAAAGTACGACGACTATGGGAAGCTCTGTGCTGTTCAGTAAGTTACCTTTCCGTATCCTGCAGGAAGCTCTTATCCCTTTTCCTCTGTACCCTACCTCCCTCTGGATGTGCCAATCAACTGTACAGACTTTAATTCTGGTCATTTTGAGCAGAGCACTTGAATGCCAACTGCTGCAGTGGGGAAGCGCTCAGGTTTAAGAGCAGTCCATTGCACGCTCCCCTGGGAGAATCAATGTTTTCTATTAATGCCTGCAAAGCTGACTTTATTGGGGAGACACCAGCTCTCTGCAGGACACTGGTGATATCACACGCAGAGGGTCTTCCTCCATCGAAGGAGGAAACCCGCGGGAAGACAGGACGACCGTGACTCGACAGATATAAGAGTACAAAAATAAGAACAAACAGTACGTAAGGACAACGGGTCAAAAGAGAAGAGCAAAGGAATAAAGCGTTACACACAAAGAGCCAAGCAGGGCGTACTCAGAAAGCGCGTCCTCCTGCCGCCAGGCTTGACGGCCACACGCTCCGAACCCCAGCTGAACTTTACACAGCCTGAAGAGAGGGAGGAGGGAAGAGATGACGAACCAGGAGAGGAGAGCAGAAAGGAGAGAGGGGAGACAGAGAGAAAGGTAGAGGTGAAGAAGAGAAAAAAGGAGAGAAAACGGGGGGGAGCAACGAGACATACAAGGAAAAATAGGTACATATAGACGGACAGGACAAAATCAAGTGAAGAAAGGAGGTACAGAGGAGAAGGGAGAATGTCAGTTAGCCGTCACGCTGCTTGACACACAGCGAGAAACAGAGGAAGATAGAAGACGATGTGGATCGTAACTTTGTGAGCAGGTGGAGGCGAACAGACTGCATGCGGTCATCGCATGTATTTTCTGTCGTCCAGGAAGGGGGGGGTCATTGAGGCCTGCTGCAGGATTGCGAGCCTACCTGGGGTAGAGCACACAGGCTGGGCACGGACAGCCCCGCCTCGCTGGTGTAGGCCCGAACACAGGTGGTTGCTGGAGGGCGAGGGCCTGAGGGTCTGGAGCGGAGCGCCGGCGCACGAATCGGCGGATCCCCCCGGGGCCGACAGAGCCAGCTGGCCGGGGAGCGCGGCGGGGACGCTCTGGGCGGATAAAGTGCTGCCTGGAGGTAGCACAAGGCACGGGCGGGAGAGGACAGGGCAGTAACGACACACCGCAGAGACCAGAGGCACACAGAGACAAAGAGAGTGGACGAATAAGACATCCGTCACCGTGGACATTTACAAAAAGACACCAACATCCCTCCTCCACCGCTCCCCCCCAACACACAACCCCACCGCACGCAGACACACAAGTACACAGAGAGAGAGACAGGCGGAAGGAGCAGTCAGAAATGTTGAAGCACTGAGCCTGCACCTGTACCCGCGTGCACGAGAAACCAAGCACATCAACACACACACACACACACACACACACACGCGCGCGCACATGCACATGCACGCATAAACACAGACAGAGTCACGTTAGGGACCATTCCGGATGAAGTGTAGGATTAAAGATGTCAGTTTGACCAAATGACAAAAACGACACATTTTCTCACCGACCTCTTGTGGTAGCAAAGTATGGTGATATTTTTTTGATTTAAGTCGCCCAGGTTTCAGTGAGATGAGATGTTTTAGCCATCTGTAGTAGGTCAACAGTCAGCAGCCATGCTAGCAGCTTTTGGATTTGGGTAATTGCTTTAGATAGATACGAACGTCAACATAATCAACAGGCTAATGTTGATCAAGTTATGTCTTAACATATTTGCTAGCATGCTAATATTTGCTGATCACCACTAAACACAAAGGAAAACTGAGGATGACATCAGGGGTTTTGCACGTGCATGTCAATATTTTGACTTTTGGAAAAAAGTGTAAATGTCAACTATTTTCAGTTGTCTTTCTGAAAATGCTGCTTTTATATCTGGGGCATTGAGCAACATACACTCAATCTCATTCACCTACAAAAAAATGTATAAGTCAAATCCTGGACAAATAAAACCAACCACAGCATTGCCGGTAACCACTAGAAATGAGCAAGAAAGCATGTTTCTTTGAACTTTGGGAGAACCAACTCTTCAGTTCTGTTTAAACAAGCGCCTACCTGGCTGTAATGGACTCTTGCTGCTGTGCACAGAGCTGGTTCTGGATGATTTGGATGATTTGCTTTTGGTGGGACGTCTCCTTCTGCCAGTTGAGCCCAAAACTGGAGGGAGCACTGCAGTCGGAGGCACCTACACAGAGTCCGAAGAAAGGATGGTTGTTTGGTGACATTCTATCGGAGGTATAATGTTTGTGGTGCGCAGTGAAGTTGAGTTACCTTTCCCAGCCTGGTGAAGAGGCTGTCTATTTCCTCCTTCTGCCGGGAGTGCAGGGCCTGAAGCTCACGCATGTGCCTGGTGGTAGAAAGATGGAATGAAAAATATTTCATGAAGAATGAAACATTAACAGGCAGAAGAAAAGAGCAGCGACGCAGCGCCGAGAAAGAAGCAACAAAAGGAACGTGGGCGGTTAACCTCATTCATCAGGGTGGGAGAAGAGGAAGAGGAAAAAAGAGAAGCACGGCACAGCTTTTTTATCTTTGTGGGGGCACAGAAATAGAACACAGAAGAAGGCTGAATCTAGTTCAGTTCAAAGCAATGCAACCCAGTGAAGTGAAAGAAGAGAGGCTTAATAGGATAACACAGCTGTTTTCTCTCTGAAGTGTTTTTCGGGAAGACTAACTTTTCTCTGAGGTGGCTGACTTCCAGCTTGAAGTCTTCATCCTCAAATTCGGAGTCGTTGTCGCTGCTGATGTAGGAGTTATTAAAGGAGTTGTTGTTCAGACTGGGCAGCGAGGCTCTGTGAGCAGAGTCTGGACTCATTAACGGCCCAGGGTTACTGGGGCCGTTAGCGGGCGAGGCGGCGGGTGGAGGCGTCGCCCCGGACTCCGTGCTCTGCTCCTGGGCCCGACTGACTGAGAATCTACCAACGCGGGCCTCTGGTTTAGTGGTAACCTGAAAGAAAACGGCAACATATTCAAAGAGATCATGAACGAGTTGACGGTGGGACAAACAAAAGCATTTCTCTTAATGCGCGTTAAAGAAGATGTGAACGGGCAATACCTGGAAGCGTCCGATGGTCGAGGTGGGCACGGGAGAAGTGCAGGGTGAGGTGAGGGGGGAGGGGTGCTGGGACCCTCCAAGAGTCCGTTGGGGGAGTCCGTCCACAACGTCGCCTCCCTGTCCTCCTCCCCCGCTCAGAGGAGACGGGGAATCCTTGTGCAGCGTATTCTCCGGGCTTGACATACTGGAGGAGGAGGAGGATGAAGAGGAGGAGGAGGTGGTGGTGGAGGAGGACTCGATGCATGCGGGCCGTTGGACAGAAGGAGTTTCGGTGGCCAATGAGACCTATTTGGTGACAGGAGTCAGGGAAAAGGGAGCAATGTCACAGACTCACTTAAAATCCACAAACTCAGGCAACCTGAAATTCATGATAGACCTCTAATAACATTTGATATGTCAACTTTAGACCCTTTGTAAAGAAAACGCGTAGATATTCATGAATGGCCTGACATGTAAGTACAATCTTGCCTGAAATCTTCCCAGTTTGATTCCACCAGGATGAGGAGGACCACAAGACGACCCAGTTATTTCCTCCAGAGATAAGGGAACTTAAAGACAGATGTTAAAATTATTAGAGGGACAGAAAAAAGCAGATATGGAATCAGAAATATAGATTCATATACATACTTGGTTGTCCTGCTAGAGGTGCGCCACTCTGAGACACCTACGGGCAGCATCGGGAATAGAATAAAGCGTGTGAGTACTGAGCGGTGTCATTGAAATATAATGCCAGTATGATTAATATTCAAACACGTGTGTGTGTGTGTGTGTGTGTGTGTGTGTGTGTGTGTGTGTGTGCGCGCGTGCGTGTACCTGTGTGTGAGTGCTGATGGGAACGGCCTCTGGGCTCAGTGCTCTCCTCAACTGAGCATCAAGGTCCTCTAGAGGCTGCTGGGACTGGAAAAAGACAACATACACGTTTAAGATAAACACATGCAAGTGGAAGCAAACAGGCACACACACACACACACACACACACATCTGCATTAGTAATGCAAAAGGTACAATATTATTTTCACTGCCACTCAGCAAAGTCTGCACATTGTAAACAGCACCTCTCACACACACACACACACACACACACACACACACACACACACGTAAGGTTAAATGCAGAGACTCTTCTTTGACGGTAGCATATACACAAAAGTGTGTAATGTATTTCTTGATGTCACACCGTAGAGTTGTACTGTTTAGTCTGATGTGTGCGTAGTTATTTAGTGTGTAAAAGTACAATGGAGATGAACCAATAATGTCTCACAAGCTTTTAACATAGTCAATATGCACTATGAGTCAGATGCATTTCCGCAGAACAGAATCACTATTTATAGACAGCAGATATAGCAGATACAGCACAACACAATAAACACAAGCATTACAGGCTCAGCTGCATACAGTGTTGCTTTTCACTGGTAATCCAACTAAAAATGAACAAAAAAACACCTGTATTAGACAAGGTCCGGGGAAGGACGGCGGGAGTTCTGAAGGAGGAGAACTGGCCTAATCCCAGAGAAAGAGAGTCGATGAAAAGACAGAGTGGGAGAAATAAGAGCAAAGATTTCAAGAGGGGGTTTAAGAAAGTATTTGATGTGAAGAATGTTAAGAGAAATTTGCATGCTAGTTAAATTGTAAGAAAAGTGAGCGGAAATATCTTGCAACACTTGTTATTTGTAAAGATGAAATAATCTATGGCTTCGTAACATTTCAAAGTGTAGCACTATAAATGACTTTCTCTTCAAAAAGCTGGTTGAGGAAGAGGAGAAATAACCACAGAATTCTCAGCAGTTATCTAGAGTACAATAACTGGTGCTCTAACTACATCTATACAACCAGTATACTGGCTCACTCACCGTTGTCCTGGATAAAGGGGTTTTGGATGGAGTGGTCTGGCCAAAGGATGAAGTAGGTATGACTGAGGAAACTGAAACCACAAAGTCAGTGAGCAGCATAATCAAAAGGAAATTGTTATCTGACCCGGCACGCACAACCACATTAATGCACCTACCGATGGGTGACGGGGTGGTGATCGGTGTTCCAGGTCCCTGGATGGGGAGAGGTGACCCGAGTAACAGGCTGGAGGGGGGCTGAGGGGGATTGGCTGGCTGACTGGAGCCAGGTGTGGTGACAGATGTGCCGGAGGTAGAGCAGGGGCCCTTTGGGGACGATGTACCTGGAACAGGAGCTCCAGAGGCAGGGTCGGCTGCCAAGGTGTCTCCTTGGGGTCCACCGAGATCCATGAAGAGAGAACGCAGCTTCTTCTCCAGAGCTTGGATGTCGTCCGGTTTGCCTTGCGAATCAGTGAATGCCTCACACCTGTGAAAAAGGTTCAAGCGAGGTTTTACAGCTCTGCTCCATGAACGAAAAAAAATCAGTGTTTGATACTCAAGATGGTCCCAGAAAAGTGACGAGTCTGAATTAGTAAATGAACTAAGATTAAATAAAGACATCTCTTCCATCGCTCACCTTGCGTCGCATTCCCCAGAGTGTGTGTGCGTCAGCCCGGGCAGGGCTACCATCTGCGGCTGGGAGTGGACAGAGGTTGGTTGGACTGAGGGAACACCGGCGGTCGCCAGCTGAAGCCCCACGGCGGAGGAGGAAGGGGGGCTGTGGACGGGGTGGGAGGCAGCAGAGGGAACCGGTAGGGGGCCAAGGATCGCCGTGGTGGGGATGACAGAAGTGGAGGAGGGGGGAGAGACCGACGGAGGATCGGGGGACACTTCTCCGGAGCCTGGAGGGGAGGACACGGGAGGAAGGGTCTGGGCAGGAGGAAGGGAGGTGAGCATTGTCGGGGGGACGCTGGCGGGTGCTAAAGCAGAGGGTGATGAAGTAGCAGCGGCGGTTTGAGGCTGGGCGAAAGCCTGGGGCTGAACTTGTGCTGGGCCCTGGACCTGCACCGGTCCGTGGGGTTGGGACACAGCCTGTGGCGCCACCTGTGACTGAAGGATGGACTGATTCACCACAGAAGGAGGAGGGGAGGAGGAGGAAGGGGGGCTGAGACTGACGGCGTGCTGAGAGGAGGGGGCGGAGCACGTCGGGGGAGGAAGAGAGGCAGCAGAGGCCTGCTCCTGTGCCCGGGTCAAAATGGCCGTGGCGTCCGCAGTGGGGGTGACGAGGCTGGCCTGTGGGGGCACACATGCTAACGCGGGCTGCAGGAAAGGATGGGTGGAGTGGATTGAAGCTGGGGCGGTACTGGGTCCGGCATCAAAGCGGCTCTGTCGAGAGCTCGGTGAAGGCCTGTTGTAAGCTGATCACTTCCAGCAGACAGAGACAAGCCCACACCTTGAGCCGGAGTCTCAGGTGGAGCTGAAGGTGGAGAAACTGGGATAAGAAGAAAAAACGTTTAGGTTTGTTAGGTGAATCGAGGGTCACTGTGTTGATGAGATTGAAGTGATATCATTGTCTTATTGCATTTCACCGGTCATGAAATGTACTTCAAAAGCATTACAGCTTTGCAGAGTTTTTGTTAAAGCTTGATAAGAAAAAAAACGTGCAACATGGGTCTTCATTTCTTAGAAGCCATCTATGTCTACAAATTTTATGTGGAAGTCCAACAAGTAAGGCAAACAAATCTTCCTTTTTGGAAAAGAAAAGGAGTGAACTGCTTGTGCGACGCATCCCCCCCCCCCCCCACACACACACACACAGCTAACCTATTGGAGGAGGTGCCCGGGCAGGAGAAGGAGATGTGGGAAACCTTTGTTCCTTCAGCCTGGCTTCAGGCACGGGGCTGACGATGAACCTGCGACCTGCTGAATGGACCACTTGGGCAGTCGCACTGGGAGGGGTGTCTGTGGAGAGGTGCACGTCAAAACATCGGTTCATCTCAGACAGAACGATATGCAAACTGCTGTCCTTATCTACAGGTAACCTGCTAAAACAGCAACAGGAAGCTTTGTGAATTGAAAATAGAAGCTTTAAAGTAGGAAAAGTGTGTAAAAATTCTGTCATGTCTACATGATTCAGCTCAAGGAAACAAATGCTTCACACAGATGCTTCGAGCCTCGTCTTACAGTTGCTCCACTGCCACTCAAACTAGTGCAGGTTGTTCTACTAAACCGGTTTTGTTTAGTTTTACCTGGCATGGGGACAGATATAGCAGGAATCTGCTGCGCCATATCACCTTCCATCTGTGGATAAACAACACAACAAGGATAGATGGTGTAGAAGAAATATGGATACATATTTAAGACTGAAAAGAAGAACTGTACAGTGGATATAAGCAAGTATTTCACCCTTTCATCAATCAAGAACATCAGCGGCCTGAAAAAGGGAGAAAGCAATGAAGACTGAGTGTTGTAATTACCTGGCTGTTGGTGTCTCTCTCCAGACCCTTCTCATCTGCGTTCTCTATCACCTCTCGAACCTGCTCGATGAATGACTCCCTCTCACTCTCCAGTATGAACTCGCTCTGGACCTGATGTGAGAAGATGCGTGTGTTTGTAATGTGGGACAGAAACAAAGCTGGTTTGTACCACCGACGTGTCATTTAAGCTCTGTGTGGGAACCTGCTGATTTCTCAATGAAAGCACAAGGACAGCAATTATGTGCCCCTCAGTGGTTTTGGGTGACAGAGGGAAGGTGGCACGCAAACTGGCATCTCAAGCATATTCACAGTGGCTTTGAGGTATTAATAGAGCTGGAGAGCCCTGAAATGAGGGCCTGTGTACCATGATCTGGGCGATCTCTTCGGGGTTGTCTCCGTCCAGGTCAAATCTGAACGTCACCATCTGCCTATTGTGGGTCTCCAGCTGACACTCTGCTACCCGGTCTCCTCGGTTGGAGATCTTTTCACACACACAGACAAAGATGCATCAGATATCTCTAATAGATGTTTCTCATGTAAAAAAAACCAAGCAATTCATTTTAAGTTTATAGAACGTGCAATCACATTGAGGACATGCAGCTTCGCCTTTGAGGTCTTCTCATGGCGCGATCGGCTTCGAACGGAACGCCTCTGATGCCGCTTGGTGGAGCGCCCCTCGTGGCGACCCCCTCCTCCCTCGTTGCCGTCACTCAGACCCGAAGTCTCAGAGTGGCCGCTGAGGTACAGAGGCGTTCAAATTCAAAAAGATGAAATGTGAACAAGGATATTTGAGCGGTTCGGGCAGCGTGTTTGCTTGGTTGCACATGTATTACCTCTCTATGGATGAGAGAACTTGAGGTGGCTGCAGTTGGGACTGGGACAACTCTGAAGACTGAGAGGCAGACTGAAACACACGCACATAAAAATGCACAATAAAACACACACGAGAATCAAGATGATCGCTATCAACACAAACACCAGCGACATTCAGGGAAAGAAGATGTAGCAGGAAGGAATGAAACTTAAGCAAAGTTAGACAAAAATAAAAGAGAAATTTACCTAGAAGGTAAGAAGTAGGTTCATATTTTTAGGGTAAAACTAGGAGTCGTGGACACATTAAAATTGGTCCCAACCAGTAAAACTACAGCATGGAAAAAAAGTACAGAAGTAAGAACTTCCAAAAATAGGAAAACGATGGTGTTTTATAATGTTATGTATTTATAATTGAAAAGTTGACAGAGATATTGAAAATATGGGGAAGAGATATAGCAGAGTTCAACTCCTGCAGACCTTGAAACAGCAGACCAACACCAACGATCCAGGACTCCTTTTAAACAATTATTGCACTTCTCTTTTCAAAAGTAAGTCAGCGTTGCTACACTCAACCAAGCCACAAAAGCTAGTAAACCACGGACTACTTATTCAATGTGGTAAAACCAAATAAGAATATATCAGCACATCAAACAAGACTATGAAAACATTCTTGCATCTTATATAACATGCGGCTATCGTAGGAATTCCATAAAAAGCCACGTTCAAAATCCAACAATCTCAGGCAAACACCTGTAGTATTCAGGCGAGGTCTCACTGTCTATAACCAGTACCTTGGGCGGGGCTTCCACGGGAGTATCGGGCGGAGCCGTGACTACACTGATGATTGGCACCACCGTGGCCAACGGCTGAGGCACAGGAGGAGAAGGAGGAGAGGAAACAATAGTAGGCAGCGCCCCGACAGGGAGGGGCAGAGGAGAGGGAGGGGAAGCCACGGCCGCTGTCGGCATGGTAACAGGGAGGGACCGCGACAGACAGGGCAGTGTCACCATGGGAACGGAAGATGGGGTTAAGCTGGGCTGAGAAGAGGAGGAAGAGCCGGTTGCAGGCAGAGGAGGAGGCAGAAAGGGAAAATAAAGGGAAAAATGAGAAGGTAGATGAGGCAGAGGGGACAGGTAGGAGGAAAGGGAGCAACGTCATAGGAAGGATGAGGAAGAAGATCAACCCGAGCAAAGATATGAGGTAAATCGCCTCGGTAACGGAACAGTGAGCTAAAGCTGGTCTGTATTTTCACCTCAAAGACTTTAAAAATTAAAACTACTTGCTAATCATGTGAGTGTGGTTCTTTATCGATTACCACGATAAATAAATAAAGTTAAAGTTAAAAGACACTGGGAAAAACAACCATGGATAGTTCACTGGAACATTGATCAAATCAGTTTAGTGACGACGTCTCAAATAAAATAACAAAGGTTGTGTAAAACACACAGAACTCTTATGAACATGCAAACACAAACACAAGCTAACCAGGATAATCCACACAAATGAGCACCACTTGAATGAATGCAATTTAAAAGAAGGTAAAAGCGAACATTAGGCTATTAACTCAATACACCACCTCACCACACGCATACATACAAGGTGCCAGTTAAGCATGAGATAAAAACAACACAGATCCACGCAAGTCAAGAACTCAACATGGGATCTTTACATTTCCTGCATTGTATTACTGAATTAATTTACCCACGACAAAAAGTGCAGCGATGAAAATAACAACCAGTGAGGTGAAGGACCGACAGGTAACCCCTTGATTGGACAGTTGTGGCATTTGCCACTATGCATAACAAGGACCGTTGGAGGAAATGAAACTTTAAGAAGATAGAGTTTGAAGGAGCATTACATCTGGGGCAAACTACCAACGAGGATTGTCAGCAGGATTCACTGAGCACATCACGTACAGACACACGGGGGCCTCGACAGTACGTACGCTACAGCCACACACACTCGTACACGTCCTGCTACCTGAACAAGGACTAGCTGAGCGGCTTGGTACAGCAGATACAGATGTTCTATACTGGGAGACGGACTCAAGGCGAAAAACTGAACACACACACACACGCAATCAAACATTTTTTTACACATACATTGGTACGGACAAGTACATAGTTAATTGCATAAACAAACATTAGGACAAACCCGGGTTGATAAGTGCAGGCAGCAGGCCAGAGAGTGGAAAGAAAAACAGAAGAAACCATCTGAGCTGACGAAGAAAGGAGACGACGAGCAAAACGCGCAGCAACAACACTCAAATGTGATGAATATGAAGACTAACGGCGACTGTGTGTAAATGCGGCTGAAGACTTTAATAAACCACTGTTTAATAAATTGGCTTTGGCATTGTATGTGTGACATGACTGGATAACATCAAACTATGTAATTACTATATGTATGTGTTGTTTCAGTGAAGGTCGATGCAGATGCTTTGTGATCTGCAGCCCCAGATTGCGTCCATTAGCAACGTAGTTTACAAAGTATTGTTTTATTTATATATATATATATATAGGGTGCGTTTCATCAGTGGTGCCGTCTTAACGTACCTGGGAAGAGGCCTGTGGCAGCGTTGTGTGCGTGGGGCTCTGGACTGATGTAATACTGTGACTGGATGAAACCACCTGGAGAGGGAATGGAAAAGAATGCGACACAGATATTAGTGGAAAAAAGAGAGGAAGGAGAATTATTCAATATCAAAATAAGTGTACATGCGTACACAATACTTTATTTTATAGCTAGTGTTGTTCCCAAACGTGATTACCTGGATAAACTATAATCCGACTTGGTAAAAGTGGGAGAACAATATTATCTAATTAAATTCTGTTCGTAATAAACCCCCTGCATTGTCAATTTCCTTATTGCTTGTCAATCAATATTAATATGAAAGTATTTTGTAAACTACAAACACAATATCAATACAAGTGTTTTGCTATTTCAAAAATGGATATTTCATTCATTCCATCCTTTGAATTTCTTCATTACTGATTCACATCCAATTTCATGCTTAATCAAATCAGCTTAGGGTCGCAATTAGTTCACGGCAGTGGCTTGTGCTGGGGGGGTCCCTCACAAAGACTTTGCTATGACTGCAGGCAAAGTGGAAGCTCTGTGGGAGTCGATACCTTGAGGCAAAGGCAACAACTTCAAAGTGAAAGCCGACGTGCACGGTTATTGCTGTACAAGCACATGCGGTGGACACGAGAGGGAAGACTGGATGTCTAAAAAGGGCCCCTTTTTTTTTTAGGTTGCTTAAAAATGGTTTTGAGTTTCCTGACCTGTTGAGGGGTCCCGGGAGGATTTGGCTGGGAGGCGACGGGGACCAGCGGCGGTGCCGGAGAGGACTGGGGCGTGGGAGTCTGTTGCTGTGGAACAGATTTAGAGAAAGACAGACAGAAGTGTGGACAGAGAGGACGTGGTGTCGAGGGACATCGGAAGGTGGGAGGGTAGGGGGGAAATCGAGAGAAATTGGCAATGAGGAGAAAAAGAAAAAACGAGAAAAGACTGAATCAGAGCACGTTGGCATTTTGGTCAAGAAAGAAAGTGTACATTGAGTGCAAACACAAGGTACTTCTGCAGCACACGTATTGGTCTACATATTCTTCTTGTGTATGCACACATGCACACAGTAAACGTCCATCTATACGGCAACAGATACACGCGCACCAATACCAACTGCATTCACAGTTCGTAGTGTAGCATGGACAGTACAGTCACAGAACTGGGGTTAGGCAGGGTGTAAGTACAGGGGTCGTTCTTCACATGCAGGTCAAACCCTTAGTGATTGGTAGTGATATTAAGTCAAAGAAGCAATAAGTAGAAACTGGAATACAGGCGTCATATCTTGCAAATAACCGTACTGCTGTTTTCCCTGAGATGTTGTTCTATGGCGTTTGATAAGATAGGAGTCATGGATGTGGCGGCTGACTCGGTCTGCTCCTGATGTCGGTGTTCGGGGGGAAACCAAAAGCTTGAAACTGTAAACGGGCCCGAGTCGTGTTTGGTTATAAAAGATCGCCGGATGTAAAAGAAATGGTGAGCGCTAGGAGAAAAAAAGATATCAGACTCTATCGTGAGTTTGAGTTTTTGAGATTTCATCCGGATGCTGCACCACGTGACCCTGAAAGCAAACTTTTGTTTCGATCTAAACCGCTCTTTCAATGATGCGCAGAAGAATCCTTAAAGAAAGTCTGAAATGTTACGGATCTTCTGCCTACTTACAGTCAACATAGATTTTGGAATGATTGATTTTTCGATCCCGGTACGTTCCCGGGGAGCATCGAGCACCATCCCTTCCTGAATCCTTCAGATAATCTGCAGCGCGCCGGCATGCGGACGGCTGTGTGCTCTCCTACGGACTCGATCCTTGGAAGGATTTTTACAACTTTCTACTGCTCGTGAAGCACGGGCGTCAGACACTGCTACCTTTTTCTTAACATCATAAGCAGTCACGGAGAGATAAAGAATATCACGACAGCTAGATAGCTATTAAATAAAATTCATGGCAAGAATAGTTAGAAGGATAATGAGTAGTGACAGATAAAGGCTGAAGCAAAAGGGATGTTTCAAATGAAAGAAAAAAAGTAGAGGGAACACTGATAGTATCAGCGTTCTAAGGGCTCAATGAATTTGATATGTGACCTTTGAACCTTGTGTAGGAGGTTGATTTCCAGTGGGGGGGGGGGGGGGGGTGACACTACAATGTTCTACATTAAAGAACTGACTTAAAGCCGAGCTCTTTAGCAATTACAACACAAAACAACAGACAGAATGCAAAATATTCAAATTAAAGGCTATCTGAATGGTTACATCGGAAGTTTTGTCTAAGTCCCCTTTATTTTGTTGTATGTTTCTGGGTGTTTGTACATACAAATCAACAAAGTCTCAAAGCTTCATCATACTTCAATCTTTTTCTTCATTTGTAACGCACTATTCATTATGCACGTGATTAAATCACTGTTGTTTGAGTTAAATCGTTAAATCGTTTGAGGCCCAAACAGACTTTGGATTTGTAAGAGTAAAAATGTAAGTATACTGTACAGTATACTAACACAAACACACATTTCTCATACACATTTGTATATGAACATACAGACAACATGTTACTTACTGATTTTCACAAAAAAAGTAAAAAGAAAAAAAAAGAACACAACATAAACACAGGAGGGGTCTTAGACTGCTTATCAAGCGGCACAACAGAGTTTGTCTCAAAGACTACCTTCTGAATGGTGACTTTAAAAAAAAGATCTCTCAAGTCACAATATTGAGTCTCATGTTGGATTTCAAATCGAATGTTTCTGGTTGAAGCCAGATGTGCTCCGGGCTCAAACCTCATGCGTGACTTCTTACTGAAGCAATGCGCTTGACATTTTTACAAAGCAAATGTTCAAGGATTGCGGGAAGCACACGTTGCCATAATGTGAGCGACTGTGAAGGCAGATCAAGAGAACCACTCTGTCGCGTGGATATGCCTGGGAGGGATTAAAATCCCAAACAAAGACTACATGAAGACAATACGCATCGACTGGGGCTCCTCGGTTGGAAGGACCGAAAAACAAAAACAAAAAACAGGGACTGGTATGACTGGTATCTGAATGGTATATTCTGGGTCAAATTACTGTCATTACTAATTCAGTTGCTTTTATAGAAAGAATGACTTTAATGGATAACACTATTTTTTAAATATATTCAAATTATCAAGTTTCCAACTACATGCAAATGACCTCATGAGCAAAAGATCACTATGAAAATTCTCAATCCATGAATTGTTGACTGTCTGCAGTCAATTAACATTCATTTGTGCAATTACAAGGTAATTGTAAATGCTGGTTGCGGATCTGTGCTATAACATAAAAGCAACTTCATTTCAACTAGTAATGGACCCAGAGGTGTTTTTAAGGCCTGTACTAAGGTCTAAGTACCAGAGCGGGGTTAGCGGCTTGCATGGCCAGCACTGACTCGTGGTATGTCATGTCGGGCTGGGCTGGTATCACCCCTCCATGCCGAGCCCAGGCGCTCTGGATCAGAGACTCTAGCTGGGCCGACGATGCTCCCCTAGGTTCGCTGTACGGCGTGGCGGGGAAAAAGCTCTGCATGGAGGGCGGGTGTCCCTGGGGCTCCATGGGGAACGCTCCTCCTCCTCCTCCCCCTGAGGAGCAATCGTAGAGCGCAGCGGAGGACGAGTGAGGGATGGACTGAGCGGCGGAGGGGTCGAAGGGAGGCAGGAGCGGAGGGGGAGGAGGGGACTGGAACTCCCCGGCATCGGAGGACGCCACAGAGTCACTGGAAGGTTCGGGGCTCCGGTCTTTTGCGGCTAACCCCATGTGGTGAAGAAGGAGACTTCCCGGCGGTAAGGGGAGCTCGGGACTGAGATACGCGTACAGTTCTTCGGTCACCGGCTGAAGGCGGCTGTACGTGCCGGAGCCACCTGATCCAGCCCCGGTGTTGTCCTCCAAAGGGAGGTCCATGGAGCTCCTTCTGGCCCGGTAAAGTCTGGATGCCAGGAGGCTTGGGTCTCCCGCAGCAGCGGCGGCGGCGGCTGCAGCTAAATGGAACTCGAAAGCACTTCCAGTTGTGGGCGGGGCCTCAGCCATCACCGGAGGCGCGGCAATAGCGAAAGGCGACGGGGTGGCGTGGAGCGGTGGCGGATAGCATCCGTCCGACGATGACGAGGAGCCGCCAGCGGGCGCACTCAGAGGCGGCGGGATGGGGCTGTGCGCGCTCATTCTCTGCATGAGGTGCGCGTGCAAGAAGCTCGGCTGCGGTGGAGGAACCGGGTCGAAACCGAAGCCGGCCGCAGCAGCAGCCGCCGCCGCTTGCCTCTGCTGATGGAAAGTCAAGTGGCCGAGCTGGTGTGCGGCCATTGGGTATCCTCCGTACGCCATCGCTTCGTAATGGTCCAACAAGGCGGCTTGATTCAGACTCAGCCTCCTCACCACCTCCTCGTGCTCCGCCCTCATGTCTTTGTAGGCGTATAAACTTGGGTCGGACTGTCCCTGGAGATGCAGCGGCTCGCCAACGCCGAGTCTCTGGGCGGCTGCGGCGAAACCGGGATTCACCATGTAGAGGGACGGCGTCTCAACGCCCTCCATCCCAGAAAAGGGGTGCAGGCCGCTCCCATAGCGCGGGTAGGCCGGCTGGAAGTGTCGGGTGTGAGCCTCGAGTATGGACGTGCTCTTGCGTCTCTGGGTGTTGTAGCCCTTAGGAGGCCCGGTGGGTGGAGGCGAGAAGGAAATGGGTCGCTCGGGGATGCAAGGGAAGAAAATATTAGGGGGGTCTTGGAAAGTTTGGAGGGGGATGCTCCCTCCTGGCCCTCCTCCTCCTCCTCCTCCTGTGCTTCCTCCTGTGCTTCCTCCTCCACTGTAGGGGTGCGGCATTGAATGCTGCTGCGACAATGAGATACAATGAATTTAAGAATGAGAGAGAGAAACCACGGCAAAGGCCCACGTGAAATGGAGAAACGAGTAAAGAGGACCACTTCAAAAAGAAAAAGAAAAAAGGAACACATTGCCACATTGTAAACAAAAGACGTGGTTGAAAAGAAGACACACAACCAGGAGCTGTAAAAATGGATGAAGTTTAGAGGGAATGTTTAGCCTCAAAGAGAACAGACGGACGGACAGGGCAAGCTAAAAAAAACAAAGACAAGTGGGGGACATTGTGAGAGATCACAAGTAGATACACAGTGGGGTACTTTATAAAGTAGAATATGAAAAGTCCAAATGAGCTCAATCATATCCTGACACACGTGCAGTCAGGAAAACTGTCTCTGAACGCAGAGATTCTTCCATCGATCTTCCAGCGTCGTCGCCGCAAGCGGACTATCTAGACAGGCTTGGTGGCTTCACTTGTCAAGTTAATGCTCCGCCGGCGCCTCCCCCACGGGGTCGAGGCGCTGACTCTGAGCCAGAACTTTAGTTGAGCAACATTTGCCATCTTACTCTTGCATCATTTCCTGTCAGCTGTTTAATAAGGGAACCCAAATATGCCTTAAACAAGAAAGCCCAATCAGCTCCCGTTGCTCTAGCCATTTTAGTTCATTTCCGAATGCCCCTTTTTTTGGGGGGGGGGGGGGGGGGGTACAGGGACCCACTCTCACTCACAGTATGTGACTCATGACCTATTTTCATGATTATTTTTGTCAGATATGTCGTTCGTCTCGTTACTACCGTAATTTGCTTTATATATGAGCAGTTTTCCTGATGGCACGTGCAGGTGATATGGGACTTTGTATCATAGAGCAACGTTTAAAGGTAAAGCCAGACCATCTGTATTCAACATGAATACATGTCGGTCCAACAGAGGGAGAAATGGAGCTAAAGAAAGGTGGATGGACGGGATGAGACTCAGCGGTGTCTGAAAGTAAACTGCACTCTGAGGTCATAGTAATCAAGACAAAGGGGTGTGTTTAAATATCTTAAATAAAGATACACAATTACCTCAGCCCACATTATATTCTAGAAGATTGAATCAATATGAAGGGGAAGAATACTTTGAACATATTTAGTTAAAGTGTCTGCGAGGGATACAGTGCTACTAAAATAATTGATGTTTTCCTCAAATGATCAGATTCCACATGGCTGTTTATGCACTTCTTACTTGTTTAGTGCTTCAAAGTTGTGACAAAAAACTGCCCGAGTAAAACAAGCCGTTTCATCCACTGTGTCATCCTCTGCTGTGAGAGAAAATTTGACAAATACCAGTACATTGACTTCTGCATCTAAGCAGTTTTATCTTTGACTTCCCGACACCAGTGGCCCCCATCCCTCATCTTTCTTTCCCTCCCTTCTTCTCCCTCCGTCCTTGGGCTTTAAGACTGTGCACCTACGGGGGTGGAGAACAGGGCGGGTAGGCTGGCCCTCCGCTGCCTGGACCCGGGCAGAGAGGAGGCCGAGTGAAGGGGCAGGACCGTCTCCAGGGCCTTTGAGAGGCGCCCGGCGAACGAGTCCCTCTCGGCTGCGAGAGGCATGCAGGAGTTGGTGGTGGTGGTGGTGGTGGTGGTGTAGGAGGACAGGTCTGGAGGAGGGGTGGAGGGCCGCTTTGGGGGAGCGGCCGCGCGTGGAGGAGCGTGGGAAAAGGAGTAGGAGGAGGGAGGGACGCAAAAAGACATGCTACGGCTTCGGGGACGGCGCGACGCAGGCTGTAGGCCGGAAGAGGGAGGGGAGGGGGGGGCCGACATGAAAAACAAACAAAGGAATTACTACACGGAAAAAAACTAAACATCGTAAACAGCAGCAAACTTAAAATACAACCAATGGAAGTGTGAAAACATAGTGGCTTAGTAAATGGTAGAAAAAAAAAATTTGACTATTAGAAGTTATTAAATAAACAAAATATAGCTCGTTAATTATTGAAGAATTAATTAAAAGAGAAAGAACACAATGTGAACAGGTCATCAAGGCATCGGTGACTTTGTAGGAGAAACCAGTTTTTAAAACAACACATTTCAGACGAAACCTGAATGTTAAACAAGTTAAATAGCATAACACAAATAAATATAAATTACCATATGAACAAAGGCAATAAAGACAAATGGAAAACAGACGAAAACAGAACAATGACCAAAGAAACATGAAAAATAAATTCTAAAGTAATAAAATAAATGAACCCAACAGTACATAACAAGAAAGAAAGGTTATTCAAGATATTCCATTAAGTAGGTATTTAATGTGATAAACCAGTTTGTCGGTCTATACAGAAATGACCTTTAATGATGAATAATAAGCCTATTGATAAAGGTCCTAAAAATAAGTTCAAACCATCATTCAATTATTCAATTAAGGATTACTAATAAGGAAAGAACAAGCTATGCTTATTAAACATCAACTGAGTGAGTGAAAATATGAAAAATCTAAATCCAGCATCATAAGATAAAAGTATAACATTAGTTGAGTTTACATTATAAAGATATAATGTAATAATATAATATCAAAAAATGCTGAACTTCACTCCGCCGCCACCAGAAACTAAGAATAAGTATGTTTTTTATCGCACAACCTTTCTGAATATGGTGCTTCCATCCGAGCACAGTAAAAGATCATGAGGTTTGACTGGTTTCCAAGGAAATATACTTAATGACTGATATATGAAAACAAGTACAAAAACTAAAAGAAAAAGTAACTAACTAAACGACAGATGTGTTTATGAAGGAGCATTATGAACACAGGGAGAAAAGAAAAAGTATAACTGGCTGATGAAATGGCGGCGCTGAGGGAAAGAGAGACCCATGACACCCGGTTGGCTGAAGAGAAAGTCACGCGAGTTAAGGATGAACTACAACAGAAAAGGAACGCTTAGCCGGCTCATCGCGAAAGTAAACGTTCGACTAAGTGCTTGAGTTACCGCTCTGTCGGCCATTCAATGGGCGAGAACACCCCCGACAAAGTGAATAAATGTGAGACTGCGTTATTAATGGGCTCGCGTCTTAAACACCGGCCGACGGATGAGCTGCTGTCTCCGTTTCTGCTTCCGCGGTGCAGCCGGTCACAGCGGCACCGGGCCAGGAGAAGAAATCACCCCCTCAAGCGTTATTTACTACTCACTACCACTCTGAAAAAACACCACGCTGTGCTCACGTCAAAACTGACCACTCACGGCCGCCAGGCAGCGGCGTTAAATGCAAATCCAAAACCCGACACGTGCGCGGCGTCCGATTTCGGACGTTAAACGGCACTCACCATTGGCTGCGGCGGCGGCTGGGCGTAGCCCGGGTGCTGCTGCGGGTTAGCAGAGGGGGTGGAGGGGTAAGGGGTTTGGGGGTGGGAGGGGGAATGGGAGCAGCCGTAAGACATGGTCAGCTGAGCCAGGTGGGGGGAGTCCGCGGAGAAGACGGAGGAGCCCTGGCCGCTGTCCGCGCCTCCTTCAGCTGAGAGGCGGAGACGAGAAGGGGAGATTTGTCAGGGTCACCTCCAGCGCAACACATTCAGAACCTCACAGTCAAGTCGGTATTTACGTGGGGATCGTCTATGTATCTCCGTAGGAATGTGCAAATGCAATCTTAAATCCCACATCAGAGATGATTCACATAATGTCTCTTAGAACTAAAAACAGACGCGTGACGGAAACAACATCATCCTTGCAGAATGTGATCACGCCGTGCTCGACTCCCTTGGCTATTTGGGGTTTCGTCTTACATGCGTGTGGGATGCCCGTCAGCTGATAGTGAAGCTGCTGTTGCTCCGCTTCGCCCTCCTCTGCTTCTACCTGCAGACAAACAGACAAATGTCAGGGTCACGTCCACAGTGTCCCCACACTCCAATGTAAATTATACGAAAAAAGGACCACTGGATGCTGGAACCAGGAAGATATCCGGATATCGACTGAGGTTGTGTCAACAAACCAAAAGGACCAAAATGCAGCTTTAATGATGATAATAATATAATGGAACTAAGACAGCTGGCTTACTGTTCTACAAACCTGTGTGTGAGACTGTTTGAGAGTCTCTTGCTGCTGCTGATGATGATGCTGCTGCTGTTGGTGGTGTTGCTGCTGTTGTTGCTGCTGCTGCTGTTGTTGTTGTTGCTGCTGCTGCAGCAGCAGTTGTTGTTGTTCCGTCTCAAGTCTCCTCTTCTCCTGTTCTTCTCGAACAAGCTGCCTCTGTTCCCTCTTCCGCTGGATCAGAGACACGCGGTCCTTGATAGCCTTGGCCATGGTCTTGTGGTCACCCTCGGCAACGTAGCCAGACTCAACCTGGGGCCGGTGGGTGAAGCCAAAAAACACTCTTCTTAACAAACAGGACCTTTGACTTGTTTACTTCCTCCATCAACCCTCCTCCGGCTTTCCGGACACATGGTTCGTCTCATCCATTATCCTTCCCCTCTGTACGTACCATTTCCTGGGCCACATCTTCCGGGACATCCTTGATCAGGTCGAAGGAGAACTCGATGGCTTCGTTTTCTCTGTATTTGCCTGCAAAACAAGTCAACAAATGGCTGCTCAGGAAGACTTATCAAAAATCTACATAAATGGTGTATGGTTATTAGTACCAAAGTGTCGGTTTACTGAACGAAGACAATACAATTTATTCCGTAACTACAGGATCTTGATTACGTGAAGAAATACGATTATTCCTTGCCTTTGAGCTTCTTGACGTCTTCTATCCTGAGCCAGAGTTTGATGGCAATCATTTCCCCATCATCCTCCTCCGCCAGTTCAACCCGGACCCCTGTTTCCTCCTGAAAGAACGCATGGTTCAACAGGGTCTTTATAGCATACCTGGAGGAGCAAGAGCAAAGATATAAGGATATGCAAGAGGGGAGTAATCTCCAGCTGGTAGTTCAACAGGACACACATGGTATGTCATTTTCCTTTCATTCTAAATGCGGCAGACAAGATTGTATGGGGAATGTTTTGGTCAAATACAAAGAAAAGCTGTGAATCAGAAGAGGATTAAGAGTGTGCGTCTCACCTCTCATCCTTGTTTGTTCTGATGCAGCCCTCTATAATTTCCTTCACCTCAGGAATGGCTACCTTGTCAAAACTGCCAGGCTTAACTCCCTGCAAACACAAGAGGAAGAGCAGTGAGGATGAGGAACCTTTTCAGAGAAAGACGAGGGGTCCGGCTCTCACACACAGACACCAAAGGGTAAATACACGTGCTGGAGATAATTGTCATGAAATTGTCTGAAATATGGACCATATTAGAAGGACCCAAAAGACTGAACTGACAAAATCCTATTAGATGCTGCTGGATTAACTTTTACTGATTAAATTAAATATAACTTTTTCTAGGAAACTTGCAGAGAAACCCACTCTCCAATTAAGACCAACCGGCAACTATTAATTCCCCCATAAACCCTGATATTCTCTGGAATACATCATACACATAACATAAATAAATCAATTGTACTTGTAACGTCACTCATCTATAGCAAATTGTAAATTGGCTTATTTGAGGAAATTGCACTTTCTTGTTTCTTGTTCTTCTGAGTCTGTACCCCTATGGTTGAATGCGCTTATCGTAAGTTGCTTTGGAGAAAAGCGTCAGCTAAATGACATGTAATGTAAAAGGAAATCAGCAGGGAATCATTCTGAAGGCACTTCTGGGCCGAACATCAAGAAAAAAACGCATCACAGGAAATCTTCCGAAAGAAGAAAACTGATATAACCCAAAAGAAACCACCTATATTTGAATGAAGCAGCACAATGCAACGCAGGAGGTTGGTTCTTGGTGATAAAACAGTCATAGTATTATACCTTTTGGCACAATAAACTAACTAACTAAGCTTGAAAGTTCCATCAGAATTTTTTAGCTTGAGGGTTAGACAGAAGACATCTTAATGACCAGCACAGATGTTCAAACCTTGTTGGATCAAAACAGAAACTAACAAAGAAAAATAACTAAGCTGAAGCTATGTCCTGAATAAATAACAAATTAGCAAATAAAAATGTTACCAGTCCCCCCCCCATCGGTCATACTATGGAGAAGGCTGTAGGCTTAAAGTCATGCAATCATCCAGGTAAAGCCCACAGTTTTATCTAGATGAATCAGAACTGTAGCTAGCAGATGTTGTTCTTTAATCACATCAGATATAAAACAATGAGTAGATTGCAGGCCAAAAAAAAACGAGTTCAGAAAAGCTGAACGGAGTCGAAAAGAGAAAAAAGCAGGTGATATAAATGAAGGCAACTGAACACGTTTAACATTTATCAAATCAAAAGAAAGGGAACTTACCTAGAAAGTAGAACACTAGAGAGCTGATTAAGATGTCGTGGGAAGTTGGCCTCGGCCTTTAAACTAGGCTAACTGTTTATTTCACCCTCTTCATGCCACCTACTTCTGTTCTCCTCCTCCGGCTCCGTCTCCCCTCCCTACTTTCTCGGCCCGTTCCTCTCCCGCACCCCCCAGTGTGATTCCGAGAGCCAAACAAAGTTAGGACTAATGGAGGAAGTAATGCTATTAGGTCTGACAGCAGAAGGGGAGAAGGAGAAAGCAGTGATTCCGTTTAAACCGGGATGATTGGAGGGAAGGAATGTTCCAGGGGGAAAAGAACTGTGAAGTCGGTCAACAACGTTACCGTCCGAGAAGTCAAATCTGCTGAAGCCACGCGCTCTTAAAGGGCCCTGCCTGAGAGTCAAACAGAACAACAGTGTGGAGCACGACAAAATAACCTTTTCGTAACCCTTCCTCAATATTTTCCTGTTAGTGGAACCTGGCATCTGACTTTTTAACCGTAACCATCATTAATTAGCATAAGCGTTAAATACTACAGAGAACATCGTAACAACACTGTGTTTCAAGTTTGTTGTTTCATTTCTTAATCTGCAGGTGAAGGGTATTGAGGGGGTGAACCGAGGTCTCGGACTTTGTGGGAAACGCAGGGTGGAAAGCAGCATGGAACGATCAAGCAGTGCAATGAACGGAAGCAGGTGACTGGGACACCCCGGGGTTGTCACAAGGTCTTATGTGTGTGCGTGTGTGAGACAATAACAAATACAGACAACCGAAGTAGGTTGTTTGACATCTGACATTTGACATCTGAGAACAATAATGCGCTTTCGCTTTCAATTTGTGAGATTGCCGCGACAAAACTAGAGCTCAAAACACAAACACAGATGCGGAGGTCACGGCGATAATCAAATCCGGCCTCGTGGTTCCAATTTTAGGGGAGTGAGACAAAGACATTTGGACATATGAATGGAAATATACTGTCTGAATTGATTATTTTAATTGAATTGAAGAGAGATGATATTGGACAGAAATAAGATTGGTTCTTTTCTCTCTGGTGGAATACAACATTACAAAATCAGGTAGAAAAATGTACCTAACTAAGAAGGCAGATTTCTGCCCACATGTTTCAGCGTCTTTTCTAATTCGCGCTGCTGCTTTTTATGTTGCAGCGGTAATGGAGGCACTCCACCAGGATGCAGAGGGATGAAGAGGAAGAGAGATTTCTAGTAAAATCCTGTGGTCCATTAAGCATCACCGACAGCCGCCACAAAGCCGAGCTCAGTCCTGTGAGAGAAGGAGGGAGACGGCTTTCATCTGGCCTCTGTGTGTGTGTGAGATTGTGTTGGGGTGATAACCTCGCCAGCACTCAACTTAAAACAGCCTTTCATTGCATCTGTTGTCCACTGGGTCCGTCTCCTTTTGTTTTTCCACAGCGCTTCATGTGCCAACTGTCTATCTAAAGATGGAATGTAACAAAACTAAATGCGAAAGGAAAGCGAGCTAATTTACCGTCATCTCATTTAACCTGTATCCGAGAGAGCTCGAGGAAAAAGAAGCGAGAGGACGCAAAAACACGGTCATATGACTGCATCTCCCACAGCTCATGCCAAACGTATTAATACAGGCAGTAAACAAGTATCGGTGGGGGGAGAGGAGGGAGTCAGGTGGAGATTACAGACAAAAAAATGAGGGACAAACAGGGCGGCTGTAAGTGAGACGGGAACCATCAATACTTGTGTGTTTTCATTCACAGCCGAAAGACGCGGCCGGCCGCGGGGGAGAGGCGTACTTACACTGGTAACCCGCCTGTAGATCTGGGCGGCGTTTTGACATTCAGAGTAGGGGTACTCCGAGGTGGCCATCTCCAGCATGCACATCCCGAAGGCGTAGACGTCCACGGACTCGTCGTACTTCTCCTCGTACATCTCTGGAGCCATAAACTCCGGGGTTCCTGGTGAAAGCCAGGGGGAAAGCCGTTACACTCTTACATAAAACGGGTGGTGATCTGCGGCTATGCGGCTAAATACAACCACCAGAGAGGTTTAAACAAACCAAAGCAGAGAAAACACTTTGGCTTAGTCGGTCATGAGTAACGCGCACGCAAATGATTTGTAGTGAGCAGAGGACAGAGTACCCAGAAGCACAGCTGGAATTTGTGGATTACAATATCACTTACTTGTTGTGCGCGTTCATGCATGCGTGTGTGTGTGTGTGTGTGTGTGTGTGTGTGTGTGTTTTTGCGGGAAGCTGCTGGTGTCCAAATACTTGAGGTCTGTCTAATTACTAAGAAGCGGCTGTGAGATTTACAACGCAGATTATTCTCGCCTCAAGTGCATTTCCACTCTGCACAACAATAGCACTTGTGGGCGAACACCAGAATATCTGCGGTTACGGCCCAGCAGGCACCTTTTACTCAACGTCTGTGTGTGTGTGTGTGTGTGTGTGTGTGTAGTATGTCGACGTCACATCTCCAGACAGCTCAATCCTGGCATAGAAGCAGACTGACTGGTGAGTATTCAGCATTTCAAGTACCTGCGGTTTGCTTTTAAACCCAGACATTTCAGGTCCATCGACTAAAGCGCGGCGGGGAGATTCGATGTGATCACTCATCACCTCTCAAGAGGAACCACATCGTAATGAGATATACATTGACATATTGTGACGCGCAACTACGGCGAAAATCTCTTACTATAGTATCATACACACTATTCATGTAATAAGAAGAAAACATCGTTAGAGATATTCGACGGATAGGACCACTGTGGTGGTGGCTTTTTCCTACCTATGACACTCTTGGCGAAGGACGCCCTCTTCAGCGTGGCCAAACCCAGGTCCCCGATCTTCACCGAGCCCGTGGGCCCCGTGATGAAGATGTTGTCGCATTTCAGGTCCCGGTGAATGATGGGCGGCGCTCTGGTGTGCAGGAAGTGAAGGCCTTTGAGGATCTGCCGGCACCACGAGCGCAGCACCTTGATTTTCATCACCTTGAAGCGCTTCAGGTAGCTGCCGGGAACAGAGGCCGTAAAGTGGACATAAACACACGGAGAAGGCTCTTTGACAGCGACGTAAACTCGTCAAGTGGCATCGGTCCGCCAAAAGAAGTATTTTTAATGTATTACACAGTGATATTGTTGTGGCAGGACACAGACAACCATCCACGAGGGAGTTAATTATTCCACAGACGGCCAAGATGCGGCAATCGGAAACACGGATAACGCTTCAATTAAAGAGGAAAGCTTACGACCCAAAGACGATTACTGTGGGACGATTTTGAAACAGAGACGCCGTAAATACTGACACAAACAATAACATAGGAGAGATGCCGTCTGCATGGTTAGAGTCTGACGTCACATGCAACTACTGATACAGAGACGAATAGTGGTGTAAACTGATATTACCTTTTGAAAAGACATTTAATTTCATTTTTATTTCACAAAATCACTATTGCTAGTTGAAGTTGAATAGCCTAATTTTTTACCATTTAGAAAGACAAGCAGGTCGTATGCAAGCAGACACTCAACCATTTAAACCATTTACTCATTTTAACACCACGTAAAGCAAAAATATCCCAATGCGTCATGTAAACGTCACATTCTTATTAGTCATCATAAGATACTATTTCGTTATGTCTCTGGGTACAAGCTTCCGTTGATGAGTGTGGAACGGATCCTGACATGCACTGGGGGGAGAGACTGGGACACCCTTTGGCAGGTGGCTAGCGATCACAGAGCGGACACCCGTGTGTGATTCTGGAGCCTCTAGTCCATGTAGTTTTGGGAATGTGGGTGGAAACTGGAGGGAACCCCACAGGACTACAGGGAGCCCAACGCAGGAGTTTCTCATCCTCTTTCACTCAAAAGTTAAACATGGAGTCGTTATTTTAATTTGTCACAATGGAAGATGTCACTCCTGATGAGCTCATTTAGACCCAACGGTTGAATTCCAAGCAAAGGGTTTCCAATTTGCCCCCATCGGCTGGGGACGTGTCCTCGGTACCAGGAAGTAACGAGGACGGCCAGGGGACAGAGGCAGGGGACGGAGGGTTAGTCGTCCTTTAATCATCTAGACCAGAGAACACTCAACTGGCACCTCCTGGGGGGCCCTAAAGCAAAATGACAGGAGGGGCCCGGTTGGTACACAAACAAGAACCTCTGGTTGCTACGTGCTGACTCCACTGCATAACAGGAGGCAGAATAATTGGATTTTAGCTAATTGTTTTTATTTGTTGAACCACTTCAGGCTCAAAATCATCTCCTTAATCCATTCAACTCATTTTACTCAATGTCCGAGTTTTCGTCTTTTTTAACTCAGCTGACCGAACTGACTGAACCGAGGTCTAAAAACGAGTCCTCGCATCTCACTTTGAAGTTTTCTATTTCCAGCTCTTCAGACCTGCTTTTCTTCCGTCTCTGTGGAAGAGGAGCAGCGGCATGCGAGTAACACACCCTTCATAACGGACGGCATGTCTGCTGACCGGTAGAATCAAAATGACCAACGTACATCGTGTCCTCACTTCGGTCTTGCCTCGGCAGGATTGTTGGCCACGCTACATATTCACCAACCGGTACAGGCAGGTGTGAACGTCAGCATTATTAACACACCAATTCAACCCGTTTCAGCCAGTTTCATATCAGCGTGTCACCCACACGAGGGCTGCGGCTCTCATCATTCACTACCCAAGCAAATAAAGAAATGCCCATCACAATTTCACGAAGAACAAAGAGTTTGATGACAAATGATGACTTTGACAACTAGGAATATGGACACAAACTCCTTTTAGTGAACACATTTCATTTCCTCACAACCATCCCCGTCTCTCGCCGTTATTTCAACTCCTCACTCTGGTCTCCTCTTCCTCAGTCGGTACCTCAGTTCCCTCCTCCCTGAATATGCGTAGATGTGTCTTTGCGCTGGGAGAGAATATGCAGCTGTGCATAGATATGGACCATGTGAGCGGTACATACGGTACTGGTGCTTGCATGAAGAGATAAGCAATGACGCGCACAGATACACATACTGTAGATAAGGGGCCTCTAACACCCAGAACCCCAGCCGGTCAGTATTTCCATTCTCACCCTTTGCCTCCCTCTCACCATGTCTCCTTCTTTTTCCACCCCTTACACACACACACACACACACACACACACACACACACACACACACACTTCCTCTCCTTTCTGAGTCTTCATTTGGATGGCAGCCAAATCCCGGGCAGCCTCGACCCTCTTCATACGCGCGCTTCTCTCACAATTCGCTCACATGTTATAGACCAAACAGTAGGATTAGGGGATAAATCACGAATGAGTATCAATCGTCAGGTGTGTCCTTCATCTGGGCAAAGTAGAGTAGGATGGATCACGGTGTTAAGGGATTAAACTGTAATTTCTAATAGTTTCAATTTCTTATCAAGCAATGTGTGAAGTGATTCCTCCACTTGCTGTTTGGACGTACTTGCCCTACTTAACATTGTTTTTGCCTTCCGGTGACTCATTTTGTTCAAGGCCTCGTCTGAATATCGAAATGAGCAAGAAAACTCTTTTATCATCTCCTGAACTGAAAAGTAAACACACAGATCTTTGGATGGACCGTTACGTGGGAACGACGCAGGACTGACAGCGTCTGCATTTATTAAAGTTATGACGCTTTTGCCGTCTTCCAGTGGAGGGTGCTACTGTCCTTGGTGCTGCAGGGCCAACTATGAGGTCGCTCTGCACACTTTCTGCTTATCGACGTGAGTACTTATATCTGCATGCTGTCTCACTTATTCTTGATTTAGTCTGGTCACCGATCCATGCCCCCCCCCCTCACCACCATACGCCCCGTTTGGTCCCTCCCTCTGTCCATCCCTCCCGTCAGGAATGAGAGGAATCTGCAGCGGAAGCAGCAGCTGGGCCGATGTCCCACGATGCACTGCGTGGGGCATGCCGTCCGCCACGCGCTTCACATTTAGGCTTTTATTGTGTCGTGGGGGGGCAGAGGGGCGGGCTCAACATTCGCATTCACAGACACACATCTATTCTGTACGGCGGAGAGAGCGGCATGCGGGCACGGCACGGACAATGACAGATACTCAGAGTCGCCCCGTGATTCCTGAGCTTTCCCAGTTTATTGTGTCCCCACGTGGATCGACAGGCATTCAGCCTGTCACAGATCCACTGTAAACAACAGACGCATTCTGCGCTGGACATGTGATGAGTCATACACGCCGGCTGACCCGCTAACAGCTGCTCCCGGCACCGACAAACACCACAGGCTGTTTTAAGTGGAAAATAAAAAAGAGGAGGGAATGTGTGTGTGCGTGCGTGTGTGTGTGTAATTTATACATTAAAACAAAATCATCAATCCTAATGGGCTTCAGAAGCCGTGTTTGTGTCTATTCCTTGCAAATTGGTGTTTCACGATACACAACATGAACGTGCTTTCGGTGCCGATGAGTTACCGCTATGTCGACTTCTCTTATCTGGCGTCATCTTTTACCCCAAAGTCGCCGATCTAACGTCTCGGGAGAATGATTTTATCCCTCGCCAACTCACGTTTTGAGAGTGCCAGATGTCATGAGCTCCGTGACCAGAACGATGCATTTCTTCCCTTTGCAGGGTCCCTCCCAGGAGTCGTAGAAGCGCACGATGTTGGGATGCTGGAGACCCTTCAGCATCCCGGCCTCCTCTTTGAAGCGCTGGCGCTCTGACTTGGACAGCTTCCGATCCTGCACACGGGACAGAATGAGGAAAGAAATGTCAAAACAGAGTGAGTGAGATTTGGATGAGTGGAGTGGGAGGGCTAATCAACGGAGGGGAAATAAATAATGTAGAGAAGAGGAAAGCAGAGGCGGCGTAATAAATGCTTACAACATATCAAACACCGAAACACCATCTCAACCTGCTGCCAGAATCCAAAATTGGATGAAATATGAAGCAAGCGATGCCCCGTTACGTAAAATAGGGCACTAAAAGGAATATGTGGACGAGGCTGACAGCCGACCGTCCATTCATCTCAACTCAAAGAGGCCACGAGCGGTTAGAAAAGGGATTGATAGACAAACTGGTTTGACTTTCCGCAGGAGGCAAAGTACCTTAAGGGAGCTACCGGCCTGTGTTTTTTAATACACTTTTTTCCCATTGGAACGTTCAGAATCACACCTGACACGGCGGGAACGGGGGAATTGGCATCTTTGCTTAACTTTGTCCCAGATTACCGTTGTGTCGTCTTAATTAATTAGCATGATATCATGGATTTTTTGGGGCACAGCTTTGGCGTCACCAGCTGCTCCTTCCCTTCTCGTGTCCTTCATGTTGCTGTTGTTTTGGACGTAGGTTACAATCGTATTCATTACTCGTCGTGGCCAGCTAGAGTTACGCCCCACATTCTCTGAGCTTCTTAGAAAAGTCCCCTACAAACACAGTGAGAGTGCAATGGTTATTCTAGCTCCAGCACCGATACCTCAATGAACAACGTGAAGGGCGGATCAGTAAAGGAGTGTGTGTGTGTGTGTGTGGGTGTGCGTTCATACATCAGCCGGCGTTGACACATTCAGCACATCACGTCCCCAAAAAGAAACAAAATCAGTGCTGCCAGCTCACAGTGATTATAATAAGGCCCAAAAATACTCAAACGGTTTGAAGCCCAAATATGGTTTCAACTTCCTGTGTGACTCTGAATGATCAACGCACTCATTCAAAAGTCTTCACCTGTAGTTACGACGCGGTTCCACTGCGTGTGGGGTGGAAAAAAAACACTAGCAAATGAAAGAGATGTTCCAATTAACCTCCCGGGAGGAACTAGTGACACACAGCAGAGGGTTTGATGATGTCGGCGACCCTTTTAGAGGATGAACAAACAGAAAAGCGAACAGACGGATTATCACCACGGCAACCTGTTTTTTCCTTACATTCAATAAATGAACAATATACTGTCATCCTCCCGGTAGAATGTTGTGAGTCTATGCTTCTTTTTTTTCCATTTTTCGATTGCATTAGTGCGAACCACCCGAGCCGAATCAAAAGCTCGCCGTCAATCAATCACAGCGTTTTAAGCGACCGCGCCACCCAATCTCACAATGCTGGGATGCACAGCGGCGGTAATATTGAGCGGTTATTATGGAGACAATCAATACGCACCCCACACAGAAGTCAACGATTCGGGCACAGGAGGTTCTGGCTGCTCACGTCTTTTTGATGTGGTAAAGCTTTTAGAAAACCTTGTGAGCTGCTCCAGAGATTAGGACAATCTCTGGAGGTGAGGATCTCATCGTCACATTGTGTAACGTGGGGCCCCATTTATATCATATGACTCACACACACACACACACAGATATATGAAAAGAAAGAGATGAAGAGAAAGTCTGGAAGCTTCAGTGTGTTTTCAGTGTGTTTTAAGTGCATTAACGTGTGTGTGTGTGTGTGTGTGCGCGTGCGTGTGCATGTGTCAGCTTATCCTTTCATCCCGCAGCAACCACTTCCCTGATGATGCCCCATTAGCAACTGACACACAGAAACACCCGTGTGTGCGCTGACCGAACTGCGCTCCCACACTCATCTTCTTTTTCCCCTTCTGTTTCGTTCTACGTCACATGACGTAGCTGTCGGTCACCTGACTGACGGGAAGCGAAACGATCCATTTCTCAGCAGCACTTAAGAAAAGACCCCGACCACCAGGATCACTGTGAATACTCCTCCCTCGGGGCACCGGAAGACTAAGAATTAAATAAAGTCTCTCTCAGCCGGTCTAAAGGGGGCTTCCTAATCCATTATTGTTTCCTTCTTCATTGGAGTGGATAAATGGGTATGCAGCTATCCAGTAGAGGAGGAGCAGGAGGCTGTCAATGTTATTAGCTGTTTGGGTATTTGAGGAATCCATTTGATCCGCGGCGCATGAGTCTCTTCTGTCGACCCGTTTGTTTTTCCCTCCCCTGCGTCCCGTCCTTTCTGTTCCGAGCTTGAAAACATCATGAGACCTTGTTTGTTTGAGACTCAAACGCACCCTCTCACTCTCTACGCCCCGGAGCCTCGCCGGCGCACGCGGACCCCCCCGAGCGGGGCGACCCCTCGCACTACTGACCTGCGGGGCGAAACAAAACACAAATGGGGACTTCTCGCCCAGCTGAGGGCAGGAAAGAAAGCTCCCCATGCGCCCCTGCATGGCAGATACCCTCGGATCCGCTGGTCTCGCCCCACTGGGCCTTTTGGGGGGCGGGCGGGGCCCGGCGCCGTTAGGTACGGCCCTTCTCCGTGTGCTTTCTCACGGGAAGTTGTCCAAAGGGCCGAGTGTCTCCCGGGGAACAGGGGGAGGTCTAAACATAGCAGGAAGGATTGTTTGATCGCCTTTGTCCGTTTCCTTTATGCGACGGCAATTTGTGCTTACATAAGAAAAGCAAATACCAAGGGAGGAGAAAGAAAAACAGAAGCTGTTTTGACAACCACAAGGTTTTTTTGTAATGTGTACCGGTTCACCGGCCAAGGAGGTTTTAGACTGGATAAGAGAGGAGTGCACGATGCTGCCAGTCAGGTGTTGAACATGTCAGTATTTCAATCTAACCTCATTTCAAATAGTAATGATTTGGACTAACACACCAACACGGCTCCACACATCGTGATCTAACATCAGATCAAATGGTTCTGCACAGTATCCATTGTTTCACCTCAAAAACAACACCACGCTGTCCGACAAATAGGAGATGATTAACGGAGTTACGCACCAATTACGTAACGCAATTATGAGTGTGGGTGGGAGAGTTTTTTAAGAGGAGCTGCAGATGCACTCCACACATGACCAATCACAGCCACCAACTCGCTGGTTAGTTGCCATAATCATAAAAACTCTTCTTGGAAACCTGTAACTAAAAACTTCTCATCACGGCTCCTCCAGAATGTGCTGCTGACCCACTTCGACGATCCTCTGATTAACCTTCTGAGTCCTGACCTAAATTTGGAGGAATGCCGGTCTGCAGCTTGAGAGCGAAAAAAAAACCCAAACCAACCCAGGACCTGTAAATCTTTATTACGTTAAGCCCGTCGGTTGAGTGAATGACCCGATTTGTTTCTCTTTGCAGTAAAGAACCTACAGTGGCCGTGGACGGGGCCACATGTAGGGGTGCTGTGTGTGCATGAGTACATCCATAGACCATGAAAAAAGGTCCACTGTGTTCCATGTAGCCAAAGCGCCTCTCAGACCCCCCACTCTGGAAATACTCTCCTGCAAAGAACCTCAAGCCCCCTGCAGAACACACACTCATAAACATGTGCATGTGCAGAAAAAAAACGACACACATCTACGTGTTTCAGTTGCACACAACTCTCCAAGACCTTCGCCACAGCTTGTTATGGTTAGCCAGCACATGAGGGAGGGACGGAGGGAGGGAGAGACGGACAGAGAGAGAGCGCATCTGTTCTGAATGAGAATGATTGAAAAGAGGATGAATAAGTTCCAGCTAAAGTCAGAGGGGCGGGTCGTGGTCGGGCGATTGGAGACTGATCTCATCCTTTGCATGGACATGACAGCCAAACGGAGGAAACACGTCTCCTACACCCTCCACGTGATCGCTTCATCTTCTCCTCTCTTTCTCTCCCTTCTCGTTTACCGTTCACGTTTTGTCTCTCCATCACCCCCCCCCCCTTCTTCTTACCTCTTATTTGGGTGGTTTTTAGTTTCCCCATCAATCACCTCTCTACATATTTCAGTAATCAGGGCCATGTGTGTATGAGTGTGTGTGTGTGTGTGTGTGTGTGTGTGTGTTGTAATCCGACCTAAAACTATTTGGTTGTTTTCTGTGAAAATGCTTTGGTTCTCTCCTCTCGAGGTATGTTGGTTATACAATTTAGTTTACTTCTGAGTGTATGAAAGAACTACATGTGACCAGGTATCCATCTTCCGTAGAGGCGGGGAGGGGAGGGGTTTGATTGTTTCTCTTCTTTGTCCGACATGAGCGGGCGGGACAAACAAACCCATTCATGATGACGATGGCTTCGATAACAAGCCCTGACGTGGGTGTTGTTTGTGTTGTGCACTGGTGTGCGTTAACAATAGGTGCCATCTCAGCCCGCCGCTCGCTGTGCGCCCTATTGTCTCATCTCTCCGTGCCCGGCTGTGCAACACGCACACACACACGATGCAGTCATTGCTCTCTGCTGTGTTGGGTCACACCTCACCTCCTCGCCAATCTTCCTTTTTCGCTCCTCTCTTCTCCTTTCCTAACTGATCCACACACACACACACACACACACACACACACACACACACACACACACACACACACACACACACACACACACACACACACACACACACACACACACACACACACACACAATGCAAACAGGATGCATTTGAAAAGCCTGCCTCTCTCGCTCATCACGCCCTTCTGCTCAGCCACTTGAGCCGGTCGCGTCGATCCAAGGATAATGAAAGGAAGTCGGTGCAAAGTAATCCCGCTATACCCGGAGTAATCCCGAATACGGAGCTAATGAGTAAAAGCGAGGACACGTGCATCTGTGTACAAATCCTCAATCAGCTGAGCCAAACTGGTTATAACCTCTAATAAAGCTCTATTCATTGGCTGGTGTTTGAAATGATTTAAGCAACCAACACAATGCCCCGCTTTGTGGCGCAAACAGGAAAACGGTCCAATAAAGTTATGTGAAGCAAGCGAGGATACAAGGTTTTCACGGTCAAAAGGTTGCCACAGAATTGGTCACATTAAAAGGCTTTTTC